CCGGGCCTCTTTTGACTGCCGCGCAAATCCAACATGCTCGTACATAATTCCGCACCGTGTCTCCCAGTTTCGCCCAGTGGTAATGTGTCATTATGGCCCGTTCCGTTTCTTCGGCTCCTGGGTGTCCAGCTGTGGCTGCGTTGTGGTACGCTTCTAGTACCGCTGGTTGAAGGCTGCAGGGGACTACGAGTAGGTTCCCTTGGGGTGCTTTGCGGTAGAGGTAACCGTTGTCCACCGTGTAATCCCGGTTGAACCTTGCTTGTGCTGGTGTCGCTGGTCCTTCCTGCTGTATTCTGTGCCAGGTGCGTACCAGAACGATGGCGTTTTCGTTTGTCTTTTGGCACTCCTTCACATGGTCCGCCAAATTGGCCACTTCCACTGCCGCGATTACCGGGGTGCTGTTGGTTTGTTTGGACTCGTGTGTGGTCGTAGGTGGCAGCATGCGGTTTACGTCTTCTGCCGTGGCTTCTTCGGCTTCTTCTGCTGATGGGTGGCGGGACAGGTGGTCTGGAAGCTCGTTTTCTTTCCCCGGACAGTGGACCACATCAAATGTAAATTCTTGGAGCCGTAATGCCCAACGAGTTAGCTTGCTCTTTTCGTCTTTTGTGCGATCCAGCCACAGGAGAGCGCGGCTGTCTGTCTTCAACGTAAAACGTCTATCTTCCAGATATGGCCGGTATCGTTTAATGGCCCATACTACTGCCAAGCACTCCTGTTCGTTGATATGGTAGCGTCTCTGCGCGTGGTTAAGTTTGGCACTGGCGTAGCTGATAATTTTTTTCTCTCCGGGGTGGGGTTCTTGAAAGAGTACGGCCGCAATCCCGTTTTCGCTGGCGTCGGTTTGCAGCACGAATGGAGTGGCGAAGTCCGGACGGCTGAGTTGGAGTGGTTTGCTAAGTGCTGCTTTTAACTGGCTAAAGGCGACGTCGGCTGCCGCTGTCCATCGGAAAGGGGTGTTCTTTGTTAGTAAGTTATCCAACGGTGCTTGTAATTCGGCACACCGGGGCACGTACTCTCGTAGCCAGTTGGTCAATCCTAGAAAACTTCTTAGCTTCTTCCTCGAGGTGGGCCGGTCTGCGGTCCGGATTGCTTCGATGTGTTCCTGGCACGGGCGGTTCCCGTTCGCCGTGATGTTGTGGCCCAGGTATTGGATCGTTTGCACCCCGAAGCGACACTTTTCGAGGGACAAGCGGAGTTTGTGGCGTTGCAGTCGTTCCAGCACGAGGTGTAGATGTTTGAGGTGCTCGTCCCAGGAGTCTGAGTAGATTATTATGTCATCCAGGTATACCATGACGAATTTCCGTAAATACCCGGCGAGAACGTCCTGGGTCATTAGCTTCTGGAACGTAGCAGGTGCATTCTTGAGCCCGAACGGCATTACTTTGAATTGATAACTCGCTCCATCAGGGGTTGAAAACGCGGTGAGATGTCGGGATTCCGTCTCTAGCGGCACCTGCCAGTAGCCTGATTTGAGATCCAGGCTGGAAAAAACTTTGGCCGTCCCCAGGTCTCGGAGGGTCTCCTGTATGACTGGCAGGTTGGTGCTCTCGTCTTTTGTGATGGCGTTTAGACGACGGTAGTCGATGCAGAATCTCGGGCGGCCGTCTTTTTTCTGAATTATGACGATGGGCGAGCAATATTCGGACGTGCTGGGCTCGATCACCTGCGCTGCTAACATAGCTTCCACTTCATCCGCGATGACCTTCTTTTTGTTTGGCGAATGTCGATATGGCGGAAGTCGGAAGGGCGTTGTTTTGGTGACTCGGATGCGATGTGTGGTGGATGCTGTTGTTGTGGGCGTTGCAGGATCGGCCAGTGTGCTACCGAAAGTTTCCAGCAGTGTGGCCAGGCGTCGATCGAGTGGTGGTTGGAACCCGTGCTTGACTCCGGCGAAGTTTATGGAGTCGCTCGTTGTTGGGCCGCGGTTCGGAGCTTGGTCCCAGTGTGTTGTCTGCCTTGTATGGGTTCCCCAGTGGATGCACGCTCTCTCGTAATCCAGCACCGCTCGATGTTCTTGGAGCCACTTCTGTCCCAAGATCATGGGCACGACAAGGTTTGGTGTCACCAGGAAGTCGTCCGATTCTTGCTTGTCGTTGAGCGTGTACTCGACTCTGGATGTGCCGATGACTTCCAGCTGATGGCGGGGGTTCGCTAGGCCGGCTGTTTGGTGGTTGCTATGGTGGATTTTCCACGCGAGCTCCTTCTGGATGAAGTTATGGGATGATCCGGAGTCGAGGAGAGCTCTTACGCTTTTTCCGCGTACCTTGACTGCCAGCGTTGGTAGGTTGGGTCGGGTCGCAGTCTGGATTAGGTGGACGGCCGGGCATTGTTCCCGACCGCTGCCCCGTTTCCCTGGTCTCGGCGGCGGGTCAGTACTGGGCAGTCTCGGTGGAAGTGATATTCCGGGCAGTGGTGGCACTTTGGTGTGTTGGGAGGTCTGTCGGCGGGGGTTGGTGGCGATGGTCTGGGTTGGTTGTTTCGAGGTAGCGCTTTGTTGCAGTTTTCGATTTCCTCGGCGTGACGCACCAAGTCGAGGAGTGAAGTGGGTGTTGTGGTTAAAAAGGCTACTCTAATGCGTGGGTGCAGCAGGTCTCTCAGTAGCTCGAGGGGCTCGCCGATCGGGATCTTCAGCCGTTTTGCTAGCTGTGCCTTCCTCTGGAGGAATTGCTGCGGCGACTCTGCTCCTTGTTCTCGGCCGAAGAATTCTGATTGCATCTTCCCGCGAATCTTGCTGCTGTCGTATTTTTCGCGGGTGTAGTTCTTTAGGTCGTTGTATGTCGGTGAAAATGCCTCGTAACTGTTCCACCATTTCGCAGCCTCCCCTTTTAGTTGTGCTGCTGCTGTTTTTAACTTTTCCGTCGGGTCGGTGGTTTGGATTGTCTGCTCGAGCGTGCTGAAGAAGACTGTTGGGTCCTCCAGGTGGTCGCCGCTGAAGGTCGGTAGGTCCGGTGATGCGGTTTTCTGCGCGTTCTGGAGGGCGTCGGTCAGCGCCTTTAGCATGTCGAGGGTGTGTTGAGAGTGTTGGGCGCCACTGGACGGGGTTGCCGGGTCCAGACCGGGGTTGATTGCCGGGGTCATCTCCGTTGTTTGAGTGTCGATACCTTCGTCGGCGCCGGAGTTGGACGTCGGGGTGTTCCTGCTCCTCGTATTCATGGTGTTGCGCGTCGGCTGTCGCGGGAGCGTGGGCGTAGATCCTCAGAGCGCGATGCTGCTGGTTGACTCACACGTATGGGCGCCAATTGTTACCGGGCGGGGTAACGTAAGTGGCAAACGGAGGTTGAAAACGTATATTACACAATATTTACAAATAATACAGAGGCTATATGTACATATATAAGATCGCTTCTGGCACGTGGGATGGCGCCGGACTTGACTACGGTCAAGCCGGGAAGTGATGGCGTGCGGAGACGGTACTTGAGCCCAAGCGACCAGCCTCAGTCGCTTGTGTAGGGTAAGGTAGGCTTGCCCAGGCACAAGTGAAGTTCCCCTGTCGGTGCGCTGCTTATAAACGATTTCCGGTAGAGGCGTCTAGCGACGCGGCCAATAGGGCGCTAGTGGATGGTGGGGTGGAAGTTGCAACCCCTCTCCTAGTCGTCGTAACAAAACGAGGATTCTATAGTCGGTCCGTGCTGAGCACAGCTCGAGCGTGATCGCTTTGCAGTTATTTTTTAAAATTTGTATTTCGTTCACTATAGGAAATTTACACATACTGCTGCTTATTAAACGTGAACGAAAGTGTGTTTAGAGATAAAATCGATAAACGGTGAGCTTTTAGAATTAAATATGAAATGGAAAGTTTAGTTAAGCGCGAGCCCGACCAGTTCTAATAACCGCTGTATTAGTAGAATGAAACAAGGGAACTCGACGACTGGACTGAGTGCCGTTTCGGTTTTTCCAGCCGCCAAACATAAATAGCCAACGAAAGAGAAAAAGCGGAATTCGAAGCTTGACTTCGAACTTGGTGCGCGACAGTTTTATCGTTTACTCAAGTATACCGTTTCTAGTGTTCCAAAGAAACCCCTGTGCAAATTTCCGTAAGACGCGGTAAAGGATAAAACTGTTTGGGAACCTGACTTATAGCAGGGCCGATTGCATTGGGTGTAAAAAGAATTGTGCGGATAGACGCAACGATTTACACACTATTACGATATTAAATTAGCCGTTATAAACAAAGAACTTTTCCGATCGGCTACCGGCAATTACGGTGTAAATAATTAACACATTTCCTATGTAAACGAAAACATGGGAGTGTAAATAATATAATTGGTACGATAACGTTAAAGTTAAATGAAGTATAGGTAGTGACCTCATCCCGCGACGCACTGTACTCTTAATATAACGCTAAGTTATAAGTGGCATTCGATAAAAATTTAAAGACAATTAATTTGTGCATCTTACTCACAACAAGTAAGTAAGTTTACGGACAGCACTTCTATTCAATAAAAATCTGAACCTGAAGAAAGCACCAGTCTCATCAATAACTGTATTTTGTATAAGAATTATTTAACGGAATCATAATATTCTTAAAGGAACCGACCTGTGAATATAAATTGCATTAATCAGATTTTTATCGCAATCGCATTTATTGATAATAATCCGATCACACTTGGTTATTTTGTTCATAGTTGGAATTTGTATTTAATTTCAGTGATATCGCTCCTTTGGTTGGATTCAAATTTTGTTTAGCACTGAAAGGTGTGTAAATATTTTGAATAGGAACATGTACACAGGAATTCATTATGGATGAGAAATGAAGGAATAAAGGGAAAATCTAGCTGATACGTGATTTTAAAACAAAGAGGGCGTAAAGAAAAATGGAATTAGATGGATTGTATTGACGAAGAGCTACTAATGAATGAAACTGCAGTTGATACAGTAAACATGTTAGCTTAATTAGTTAGGGAAATTAGTCCACGTGACTTTTGGGAACTAATTATTTATTTATAGCAAAATTATCTTTGTTTATAGTAACATTCAAATTACACAATTAAACTTTGGCCGTGTACGCAAATAACTAGTGTAGTCACAACGTTTACTCTGGAAATTGAGGCACAATTATGAGAGGTTTAAGGGAAATCTTACAGAATTGTCGATATATGCAATATTTAGCCGCTATGTCAGGTATGATGCGTTCGATTTCGTATGCCTACCTACAGAAAGACGTTTCAGCCGCAATGGCAGCCATTTGTTCTTTTATGATAGGGTCATGGGGTTCGCCGTCTATTCCAAAGCTAACCTCTGCAGATTCGCCACTAGGCGTCGCGTTAAATAGTGTAAGTACTAATTGCAGGTTTTCTTAATTGCATATTGCTTTAATTAGGAGGAGGTGTCTTGGGTAGCATCCTCGCATTTGCTCGGTTACACTGTAGGATCACTTGTTTCTCCCATACCGCTTAAGATGATTGGACCCAAGTGGTCTCTTCTAATCACATCCTTGCCGTTAGCCGGGTGTTGGTTTGGAATAGCGTTTTCCAAGTCACCTATAGGTCTAATTCTGCTTCGTTTCCTATCAGGTGTATGTGATGGAGTTATTTTAACGGTAAAGTGAAAATGTTAAGCATTCAAAAACATAGTCAACTTCAAGGTGTTGCCGTTATACATCGGAGAGGTTGCAGATAAAGATATAAGAGGAAAACTAATTTCATTTTCTCCCATTTTTGCCGGGTTAGGAAATTTTATTGTACTGGCAGTGGGTCCTTTTGTCGAGTATAAAACATTAACTTTCATTTGTGCGGCGGTTCCTATTATTTTTGGGAGCGTATTCGTGTTCCTACCCGAATCTCCATACTTTCTTCTCAAAACTGGAAGAACTGAAGAAAGCAAGTGTTCCTTGCGTACACTATCAGGCAGCAGTGTAGATGAACCGACAATTGATGAACGAATGAATGAAATAGAAGCAACTGTTCGAGTCCATTGTGAAGCTAGCCAGAGGTGTAATGTGCTCTACATCTTTTCAAAGAGGCATTTTCGTTTTGCACTTTTCATATCATTACGTAAGAAACGTCAATTCTGTAGATTGCTACAGTCACAATTTGCTTTTAGATCTCAGATTAATAAACGTCTTTGGAGGAATGTCAGTAATAAAACCGTATCTGCAAACAAAATTGGAGCAACAGGAAGCAGTATTTCTCCCGAAATTTCGAGTCTAAGCTTTGCTATAGCGCAACAACCATCTGGTAACTGAACTATGTTCTGTCTTACTTAACCTTTATTTTTTTATAGCCATATTATCTGCGTATTTAGTGGATAGAGTTGGTAGAAAGATTCTTTTGATAATATCAACCCTTGGATGCGCTCTTTCACTTGGAATAGAAGGTCTCTATTTCTATTTGGAAGATATTACCAAAACAAATTTGAGCGCAGTTTCTTGGCTGCCAACTGCTTGCCTTGTAATTTACACCATCGCACAACCGATAGGAGTTGGTTCGTTGTCGAGTATTATTATGGGAGAAGTCTTTGCCGACGAAATTAAAGGTGTTGCAGCATGTATTTCAATAACAGTCAGTGGCTGTTGCGTCTTTTTACTAGGGAGATTTTTTTTACCAATTGCGCAGGCGTGGGGGATGCATGCCATGTTTTGGATGTTTAGTGTATGTTGTTTTTATGGTGCCATTTTTGCTACCTTTATGCTTCCTGAAACGAAAGGAAGATCGTTTTTAGAAATACAGGAAAGACTTTCCAAGGGTCGATGTTGTTGACTCTTGGTTCCAAAATGTTACCTAGGTAATTCAAATTAGTGGATTGTAGAATAAATATTTCTGTTTAGAAACTTATACCCTCATGCATTGAGTTAAACTGATTTTGATGTTGAATGTAATGCATTCGGATTTTTGAATGTATGTACCAATTGTGTTCAAAAAGGTGTTGAACTTGGAATGTTGTTACAATAGTGGAATACAAACCCTTTCTCTTAATCAATTTTGACTTTTTATGGTAGTGATGAATTTTTTCTTACACAAAGTACTTGACAGACGGCAGGCTTCAAAACCCAAAACCTTACAGAAATTTGGATGCAACTTCTTAGAGGACCGCTCATTATTTTGAATACAACTCAAAACGAATTTCGTTACCTTTAATTCTAGCGTTTTCTATAATCGTTATTTCCCTATGGTACACATCAGTACTGTGAGAAGTTTGATTTCAAAATTTCAAATTTCAAACTACGGGAACCGTTAGCATATACAAAGACACCGCTGCATTTTGGTCTGGCTGTTGGTACTGCTGCGGGTCCGGGGTGCGGTTGGCTGCGGTACGGAAGTTTGGCAGCGGGGGATGAATGATCCACGACTACTAATCTCCGAAGCCGCTTTAAGAGGTAAGAAGGCTTTCCCAACTCTACTAACCCTACTCGTGGATTCTGTAACCGGTCCGTGCAGAGTACACCTAGAACGCCAATTTCAATTCCACATCGAAACAAGAAACCACGCCCATAGTCTCGACGGTTCGTGCGATTTTAACCATATTTTGCGTTAAGTCGGTGGTTTCGTGGACGCCATTTGTTTGGTTACAAGGGTCCTGGGTTCGAATCCCAGGTAAGACATGGCTGTTTGTGATTGTATAGTGGGTTGAGTGGGAAGGGTAGCTAATTGCTGCCGCCCACTATAAAATAAAGGCAATGAAATTTAAAAAGTAAAATTTGCTTGTAAAGTTTTAGACTAGCGCCTGGACATTCTTAACATATTTACGTGTCGCAAATCGCTAATTTTTTTATTGTAGGTTTATGGTGTTTATATAAATATAATTAATTTTCTTTTAACACATGACAGTGATGCTTTACACATTGAGTTTATATTGATAAATAAAATTTTCCTATCAATGCGAAGTATGTTTTTGGGAATGCCATCTGCCTTACATTGTATTCTCGTACAGCAAATGCGATATTTCTATGAAAATAGGAACCATCTCAAATTTTAATCAAGATTATTGACTTATTATTTATCCCTTTACCCTTATTAGACGATGAGCAGTCGAGGAATATTAATATACCAAGAACCACACCTAATTTAATTAACGAGGGAAAGAGGAGAAATAAAATTGTAACGTCTGTTACATTAATTCTGGAGGCGCAAATTCAAGTAGAGGAGAGGCGGAAACTGAGAGAGGAAACATTGTTTAAACAGCGGAGGATGACGTAAATCGTTGCTTGTTTGGTAGTGGACGTTAATCCAAGTTTTTTTTGGTTTTCTAGATGTTAAAACGGGGCAGTTAATGGTTTTGGTAGTTTTGCCGTATTGAGGGGTATTTGCAAGAGCCAGTTTAAAGTTCTGTAGTAGAAAGTATTGTGTTCTAAGATGTTTTATCTAATACGTCGTTCAAAATGAATCTCGAAACAGTTAAAGGGGCTTTTTCCACCATCAAAGAATCAATATTGCATCTGAAATTACAATGAACTCATTGTATTTTAAATCAAAATGTTAAGTGCAAGTAAATAAGCGTTTCAGAAGCAACATCAGCTACTGGTTTTTGTATTTGTGCGTTCTGTTTCTTGAAAATCGCAGTTACGACCGGATATTTTGGATTATTCAAATTTTAATTGTTTTTTATTAAAGTAGAATAGTTTATATGTGGTGGTATGGTGCCAAATATTGAAGCAGTATTTCCTCTTTGGATGGCAGACTAATCCGTTGAAAAAGGAAACTGCTTGCACGGGTATCGTTTGAAAAATCAGAAATTCTTTTTCCAATTTCATTAATGAATTTATAAGCTTGTTAACCAAATATACCCAAAGTTTCTACAGCCACTGAGAAGAAAAGGTATGTGTTCGTCAAATTCTGGAATTTATTTATTCTAGCATTTTCGCTCGATGTTGCTGCGGATCTAGGACACTTGAAAGAAGCTAAGATACGTGACCATGCAAGCGTATCGGTGCAAAATCCCATACGGCTAGCTTGCCAAATTTCTAGGGAATTAAAGTCATGCCGTCTGGACGTTTGCCATCATCTCTGCTGACTCCTTGAGGCTCCAAAATTGAAGGGATCCCAGCTAAAGCTCTTAATTATATCATTCACAGCATGGTGTTTTGACTGTCGACCAGCGCTGAAGCGACAACTAGAACCATGGGCCCCTTTTTCATTTACTAAAGTACCACAAATACAGTTATAAGGAATACAAACTAGAGTTGCCAACAACCTCCAGGAAGCCCTAAATTCTAATGACTCCGCCACACTTACTGCCACAGTCCAGTACCTTAAAGTGACCGACCTCATCAATAAACTGTAAAAAATAATAATGTAGTTTTTAAGGTGCTAAAAACAAAGGTTGATGTTTGTACCTCCAAATAAATCGTCAATAAAAAAAAAACTGATGAACCAAGACGTAGCCCAATGGCGATTCTAAAACTATCATCATCAAGTACCCAGACACTTTACTGGTAAAGCGTTAAGCCATGCTCCTGAACCTTTCGAAGAAACTGCCAATATTCGAGCCTTTTCAGAAATAGATGTAGCTGAAGTTAACAAATTTTCGAAAGTTTTATTTAGGATAGGGCGATCCCATTGATTTTGAAATCGTTTGGATTTTATATCTAGAATGGGATTTGATTTGGAGTTCCATAGTTTACTCCCTCCTTCTTCGCATGAAATATATGGAGAATCATTAAAGATTTCAGGTAAAATAGATGTCCACAGGTGTTTCACACTATTGACAGATGTAAGAAATGCCGGAAGAACTAAAGAAGTAGATACACGGATTCCAAGTCCTCTTAATTTTATTGGTAAGGAAGCCTGGGTCCATGATGTATCTTCTAAATAGTTGTTCGTTATGTCTTCGAGAATAATTCTCATTTGATTGTCAAAACATTCCACTTCATCTATTTATGCAATGCCATGATGGGCTACATCTTAAAATATATATCATTTTAGGTGTTGCAAGGCATGTCCAGGTGTTTTCTCTAACTCTATTAATTTTCTAAGAATGGTTCTACTTTCAGCGACAGTAGACCCTACTTTACCACCCCTAAATTTCGACTTCATACTGTAGTTCAGTATCCCGTAAACGATTAATGTCAATTGCCATGACAATAATAGTTTATAATGAAATAACAATAATGATAGGTACAAAAAAAGTAAGAATATCAGTAGCTTCAACCTTCATTGGATCGAGTTTCTGAATACCCAAGTTGAGTCTCACTAATCAAAAGAGGTGTTATACCGGGTTCAGACTTGGGAATCGACAAACCAGGGTGAGCTCGGGGATGTTTAAGTTGTAATTCCCGAAAAGTTGAACTATCCAAATCAGGAAGAGAATCATTTGAACATAAAAGTTTAACAGCGGCAGATAAATCTCCATCAGACACTTTGTTAATACTTTTTTCCTCAAATTATCGGAATTTTTGGAGTTATATTTCTCATTTAATGGTATTGAATTTAAGTCAGAATCTATATTGGTAATATTATTTTTATGATTGTTGTTAAAGATTTTTTTGATTTTGTATTATTATCAATGGTAATATAGAAAGTTTTGTATGCGAAACAAAGACGTTTTTCCCAGGAATTAATTGAGTTGTTACTCACGCAATCATCAATTACTTTAGGTATGTAAAGAATCAGTTACGAGAATTCTTGCATTCTTAGAAATCCTCTTGATAATAGAAACATTTCGTTTTAAAAAAGATCGCTTGTGGGTGGTACTTTGTTTATAAGCCATGTATGCCTCTCTTTTTATCAGCTTATTGATTGATTTTGTCTCATAAATTTGTTTCATTTGAAATGGTCAAATGGAAATGGTGTTGTGATTAATCGAGCTCAAATTACGACCTAGAAAAGAGTTATCATACTAAATTTTGGTGTTGGTAGCTGATCCGACCCTGTAGATCTAAACAATCTGAAAACCTGAATTAACAACGACAAAAATATGACTTTTTGAAGAATGTAATGGCGAAAGTACAAGAAACATGTTGGAAGTACGGTTATTTTACATTACCAAAATTTGATTGTTAATCGAGTAGCTCATTCGGTTACAACATAAACATTTAAGTAATATAGCTCCCAGGGGAATGACCCTAATTACTTTTTTATACCTACCTGAAGGATGAGGCTCTTCGGACCTCTCATTCAACTCAAATGGTCGTAAGTAAAAAGAATACTCTCATTCCTTTAAAGCAACTAAAAAAAAGGCTAATTTTAAGTTGAATTCCGGTAGTGAGGCAGTGAGGTTGTACGAATTATGTTAAACTGGACACTTTTCGAACTCAACTTTAAATTTGGTTGACAAAAAATTAAAAAAATGGTTGTTATTCCCTCTACTAACTATTTATAATCTTAGCAATAAAGTGCATCAAGCTGGGAGATTCTCTTACACTAGTAATAAATTCATTCAAAAACCAAATTCCTCATGTTAAAAAAATCTCATACAACTTATTTTTTTGATTTTGAAGCTAGTTAATTACAATTACCTACGTTATTTTCAAGAGTATTACAGAACCGTTTGAGAAAGGGAAGACCTCAACAACAATTGTTCCTCTTTAGTGCATTTTCATAAAAACGTAAGTTTTTTTTAGGTGGTCGTTCAAACCACCATGGAATAGATATACAGTGTGTCCCAGATCGCGTGGGATTGCATGGGTAACTTTGTTATTATTAAAGATAGAATCTGAAAGCTTGGAGTCGTTGATCTGTAAGTGTAACTCTAAAACCGCGATTAGGGCTTCAGAAATGCAACATGCGTAAAGTGGAATTAATCAACAAGAGTGGGGGTTTTAGTAGGGTGACCCTATTTTTTTGTAAAATCATAAAGCAGAGAAGGGGCTATCTACAACTTAACCTTAACCCGATTATAATTATTTTCGTACAATTCGTATCACGCAATTTTTCGAAATACTTAAAACTACGTTATGATTAGCTGAGTTGATTATGTGGTTATAGTTGCCAGAACAGTATAACATAAACTATTTTTTTGAAATACCACGCGTTACAAAATTTGCGGTACAATACAGGTAAATTCTTGTTAGAGCAATTTCACGTTCAAAATAAAACTGGTTACGTACCCTTGATAGATTATTTGAAGTACTTGAAGGTAGCTGCTGATATTGTTGATTTAAAATACCCATTTCGGAAATGAAATACTTACGTAGGTAGTCAAAACATTGCAGCACGCCAGTCTCCAATAATGAGACAATTATTTGAGAAATGTAGATATATGCAATATGTAGCGGTCATGTCAGGTATGTCCACCGAAAAAATTTTCGCCTTTGCAGTCAAAATTTTTTAGCCGCAATGGCAGGGATTTGTTCGTATATGATAGGGTCGTGGGGTTCGCCGTCTATTCCAAAATTAACCTCGTCGGATTCGCCGATTGGTGTCACATTAAATAGTGTAAGTAATGGACGCTTAATGAAACTGGGTTTGAATTGCTACAATAATTAGGAGGAAGTCTCTTGGGTAGCATCGTCGCCATTGCTTGGTTTCATCGTAGGATCACTAACTTCATCGATACCACTCAAAGTAATCGGTCCGAAATGGTCCCTTTTAAGCACTTCATTGCCCATAGCTGGATGCTGGCTTGGAATAGCGTTTTCGAGGTCGGCGGAGGTTTTAATAGGGCTCCGTTTCCTGTCGGGCGTGTGCGACGGTATCATTGCAACGGTAAACCTCCTCCTAGCTAACCATTTAAGTGCAAAAGACTTTCAGGTGGTGCCACTTTATATTGGAGAGGTCGCCGACAAGGATATTAGGGGAAAATTAATTACCTTTTATCCCATTCTTGCGGGGTTGGGAAATTTGGTTGTACTAGCAGTGGGCCCGTTTGTGGAGTATAAAACATTAAGTTTCATGTGCGCCGCTGTTCCAATTTTATTTGCCACCACATTTGTTTTTCTACCAGAATCTCCATACTTTCTTCTAAGATCTGGAAGAGGTGCAGAAAGCAAACGTTCTTTACGGAGACTATTAAGCAACGATGTTGATGATACCACAATCGATGAACGAATCAAAGAAATAGAAGCAACGATTCGGTCTGAAGTTACCCATAAGTTTAATGTGATCCATATCTTTTCCAGGAAGCAATTTCGATTTGCCATTTTCATATCGTTCAGTAAGACTTGTTTGAATACTAATAATAGCTAATTACTATTTTCAGATTTAAGAGCAGCAACGGCCTTTGGGGGAATGACAGTACTAAAATCATACCTGCAAACAATAATTGGAGTAACGGGAAGCAGTATTTCTCCCGAAATCTCCAGTCTAATATTTGCTATTGCTCAGCAACCACCTGGTAAATGACCCGGATTGTGTTTGCGTTACTGACCTTTATTGCATTGCAGTGATTTTAACAGCATGCTTGGTTGATAGGGTGGGTAGAAAGATACTTTTGATAATATCAACCCTGGGATGCGCTCTTATGCTTGTACTAGAAGGAATTTATTTCTACTTGCAAAGGGTTGCGGAAATAGACCTAAGCGCCGTGTCATGGTTGCCGACTGCATGCCTTGTAATTTATTCCATTATGCAACCGATAGGAATTGGTGCGATACCGAATATTATAATGGGGGAAATATTTGCAGACGAAATTAAGAGTCTTGCTGCCGGCATTACTACCACATTTACTGGCAGTTGCCACTTTTTACTAGCAAGAACTTTTTTACCAATATCCGAGGCGTGGGGAATGCACACTATGTTTTGGGTATTTGGTGTATGTTGTTTTTATGGTGCCATGTTTGCTACATTTGTGCTTCCTGAGACGAAAGGAAGGTCATTTTTAGAAATACAGGAAACGCTTTCCAAGAGTAGATGTTGTTGACGAACCGCAGTTATTCGGCAACGACTCCTGATGAGTCGTTGGTACCGTTTAAAGATTGTGTTTCACGATAATAAAGAACCAATTTCAATTTGCATGTAGCTACGTGATTTCTTCATTTGAAGCCGGTTTATAGAGGAAAGAAAGATTGAGGAATTAGCACGATAATTCAAAATCGAATGGGGAAAATTGGGTACCTTTTTGCAGGCTCTGGTTTGAGATGACACCTATTAATTTTCATCCCGGTTGGCTATGACTAATATGCGGAACGTGTCCTTTCCGTTTAAACAAAACAGAGGCGCTAGTTTGCAATCTTAAGCACGTAAACTACAGCAGTTATGACACTGAAGCAATAAATGGCGAAAAATTGATTTTTCTAGCATGGTTAATTGTTTTATGTTGTCCTTAAGGAATGGATATTTAACTTGTAGAGAAAGCGCTCGGGGGGCATTTCAAAACCTTCCATTCTAGAATAAGAAAGTAACTTACTAATGGAGTGCAATTTAGTCGTTGAATGAAATTCATCAATTCCAGTTAGAAAAGGTGCAAGATTGACTAGAGATGTGCAATTGAGAAGATTTTGTTAATTATATTCAGTGCCAACCACTACAGCAATAATTCATTACAAGGTAAATTCTGTTCAATTTGAAATGGAATTAAGTTTGCTAATTTCGCAGGCTGCTAGTAAATTATATTAACTTAGTTGAAAGGATTAATTCCTCCTCTTATAACTCATATTTTAATTTTATCACTTCATGAGTATGCATGGAAGTGTTCCGAAAAAAGTACACTGTTTTAGGTTGGTTCCATATTGTTTACCCCTGCTGACAGTAAGATCAAATAGTGTCTTATTATATGTGAATTCTGTAAGAACCAGACCTAAGCTGCACTATGCCTATTATAATAAAGACATCATTATTATTATTCTGTCAGTGGGGTTAATAGAGCCTCTAATTGGTTCTGTGTAACACTATTCATTTCAACCCCTAATACCAGTCTGCGTTCTCGTAACTAATAGGTCCCGAGTACTGTCATTTATGGGTTCGCTCGTTAGACCAGAATTAAAAGGGGATGTGAGCATATCCTCTCACCCCCGATTCTACATTTATGGGAAAAGAATGGCATACAAGCCAATATATTACTTTATTATTAAAATCTGGTCCAAAAGATGGAGAGTCGGTTGAATTCGTTAGAAGAGAAGAACGCTCAAACGTTAATACATGGTAAGGTGTGATCTTATTCTCTTTACTTCAACGACAAATTCGTGGGCAAAGTTCTCTTTAATTTCTGTTGGTCTGAATTCTAGTAGGGCCTAGTTAAACTCGTGTATAAAAATGTGCGAATTGTCGGAAGTAAAATATCTAACGCTCTAACTAATATCGAGGTAATTATTATTAACTTCGCCGTTATAAGTAGATAGCTATTCTTAAATTGCGAACGTATAAAGTTACATTAGGAAGACAAATTGAATGAACTTCTAGTGAGCTGATTTTGAAGAAATGGTAGCATACACATACTCTGTGTGAAAACGGTTTTCGTCTAAAATCAGAGATGATAAAACAGTGGCATGTTGCTTACGAAAACACTTAAATAATAATCGGAAAAAAGTAGCGTGAGCAGGATAGTTGGCGTTTAGCATTTTTTATTAGACATTAGACGTTCGACGTTCTTAGACGTTAGACGTTGCACTTTAGACGTTAGACGGTAGACGTTTGTTCCGTTTCGGTTTTTATGCCGGCCAACTGTAGAACGTGAGAAGAGGAAAGGAGACGCGCAACGATTGCCTTAGAGTACATCTTAAAATCCTGTAATCACAAAAGAATCGATAGGCAAAAAAATATAGATTAGCGAAGGAGGAAAACCGTCCCAGAGTTCAATTTCGAGGGCTGTAGTTAATCGAATTCCGAATAAGCCGCACAAATCATTAGTACGGAAGTGTCGATTTGAATTGAAGTTCCTGACATATTATAAAATAGATCCAAGAAGAAACGGTATCGGTTGTAACATGCACAAAAGAGTTCATTTGTGGCCTTAAAATAAACGTTCCTCAAGGGAATATATAACGTCGTAGTTTTGCAACGGACGCAGGCAGTGTCGGTAAAAAATCAAGCGTTTCACTGACACTCGCCCAAAGGAAATAGTCAAGTGTTTTCGACAGATACGCATACGTGCAAATTCGTATTGAAAATTATCGCATAAATTTATAAAATCACAAACTGACGTTTCTGGCGAATAAATCATAGTTAAACTGATGGAACGATATTTAAAAAATTCTAATTCGAAAGTGAGAGTATGCAACATTGAATATTCGTTTGGCCTTTTTAATTCACTAAATAATAACATGACGTAAAGCTACTTTGAATGCAGACGATATAAATAGAAAGTTCACCGCCCGAACAATTGCACAACAACCGGTAATCATACGAGGAAGGTTCAAAAAAAACTTCAACAGGTACTCCAGGAAATCCAGTTTTTTGTTTCTGTTGTCAAGTTTTAAGGGACCTCGAGAAGGGTATAGTACCGATTTGTACTACAGGAAAACCACTGATTCTAGAAAACGCTACAATAAAGGTAGGTAACGTAATTTTCCTTGACTTGTATAAGAAATAATGATCGGTTCTCTTTAAGATCTCTATCCAGGAGAATATGCGTCAATAAATGAATGTAATAAAAAAAGTGCTTTGTTATAATTTTCTGCATTTTAAAGTTTCTGTTTCATTACATATTTTTTGTAAGGCACAAGTTTCGCATTATGACCATCATATTTTCAATATCTTGGGGCAAACGAGGTCAGTGCATTATTCGTGATCTATTTGTACGATAATTGGAAATCCATACTCGAAATAATGAAGTTTTTGAAACGCAATTGCGATTATTGCTAATTTTTTATCGAATCGAGCCTATTGATTCTCTGAGCTAGATACTTTTCTTTTCAAGCTTTTGTCTCTACAGCGTCCAATTTATTTATATCGTAGTTAGTTAACGCCTAGGGAGGCTTAAAATATTCCATATTAGCATACTACCCCCAGATGACTTTGAGTGACGGCCAGTACACACCTTAATTGTGAACAGTTTGCAACAGATGTTGCAATATAAGAGGGTTGATTAACCCTTCTTTGAGTTAAATGCTGGAACTCACTAATTCGTACTTGAAATTTTTTCTCATACAATTAAGTGGTCCTCTTGACATAAATTTCTTAAGCTTTTGCTTTAGCACTCATTTTCTGACTTGTTTGTTAGCAAAAATTTATACAAAAATGTTCACGAAACTTTGAACATATTGGCGAGATGAAATAAATCCAATCCAACGCATGTTTTCGCAGCGGTAGGCGTGGCTAAATAATTCGTAGTCGAAGACCGAACGTCCTCAAAATCCTCTCCGGATTAATCCGTACCTATTTTGTTGAATTAAGTAACTCTTCTTTCAAAATTGCAATTGGTAATTAAGTGAACTATTTTTTTTCAAGAGATGTACCCCTCCAATTAGATGGCCAATTTTTTTTTTACATGAAGGCATTACATTAGAGATTTCGCTATACTCATATCAACCAAGTCTTTATTATTGAATATATGTGTTACACTTGAGACTTTAACAGTATCTTTTTTGTTTTAATGAGTTTTGAATCTCTATAAACGATTTTCCCTTTGTTTCCGGAAGTATAAATAGACCAAACAATGCACCATAGCAACACACAGCACTGAAAATCCAGAACATCGCGTACATTCCCCACGCATCCGATATTTGTAAAAAAAATTTCGAAACCAAAAACGTCCAAGATCCGGAAAATGTTACGCTAATGGCAGCGGATAAACTTTTAACATTATCTGCAAAGATTTCGCCCGGAATTACGCTGGAAACTGTAAATATGCCCATTGGCAGAAAGGACAAATACAGTGCTATGCAGATGGTTGGTAACCATGATACCATTTGCAAATCCGCTTTCACTACATCTTGTAGATAGAAATATAGCCCTACTATTCCCATCGTAATTGCGCAACCAACTGATGATACCACCAAAAGTGCTTTTCGGCCCAGTTTGTCAACCAGGAATGCTGCGACAGTTACTAAAATATGTAATAAAATAGCTACAGTAGTAGCAGTGATACCAACCCGATGGCAGCTGAAGAATCCCAAGTATTAGGCTAGAGCTTTGTGGTGATATACTACTTGCAGCTGCACCAATTATTGTTTGCAGGAAAGCCTTAATAGTCGTCCATCCGCTAACTCCGAAGATCAGCTTTAAATCTAAAAGTAGCTTAGTTCAATGTTAAAGGGGGCATTTCTGGTGTTAACGATAAGAATTTGAACTTCCACTCTTATAGTTTTAACACTCAGCAATCTGAATGGCACAGCCTTACTCAAACTGAAGAACAACGCTATTCGGAAATGTCTCTCGGAGAGAATGTGCCACAAGTTAACTTTTCTACGAGTACCAATACTTTTAGCTATCGTCTGTTCTATTTCATTTAATCGAGCTTCAATTGCATTCTGGCTCGCGTTAACGGCCAGGAGTCGCCTCAAAGAACGCTTTCCCTCCACAAGTTTTCCCTTCTTGATCAGAAAGTACGGCGAATCGGGCATAAAATAGAATATAGCTACAAAAATTAGTGGAAATATACCGCACGTTAACGCCAAAGTCTGGTACTGTATAAACGGTCCAATTGAAAGCACGAATAAGCTTCCCATGCAGGCGACGATTGTGTGAAACGTGATCAGTTTTCCCCTGATGTCTTTGTCCGAAACCTCACCGACGTACAGTGGAAGAATCTTTAAAGATGCCTAGATCAATTATTCTCTGACTCTGGCAATAGTTACTTACAGTAAGAATTCCACCATCTGCTAAACCTGCTATAAATCGCATCAATATTAGTAAAACAGCAGATTTAGAGAACGCAGTTCCAAACCAAGCTATTGTAAGAGGCAATGCCGCAAGTAAAAGAGACCTTTTCGGTCCGATCACATCTAGGATAACGGGGGTCAATAAGGATCCCAATGTAAAACCCAACGGTGGCGCTGACGTAACCCAAGATGCCTCCTGCTGTAAAAGGAGTCAAACGTCAAGTTCACATGGCAGGAGGGGTCACAATGACTCATTTTGCCGCTACTGATCAGTACTTTTTTTAAAGCCAAACACGAATCCCCAAAAAATGGCAACGGAAGCAAAAATATGCCATGGTGACCCTTTCCACGATTGATGGAGTTCCAGTAATTACATGGTTTAAAGTTACACCGATCGGTGAATTTTTTGACAGCAACCTAGGGATGGAAGGGGAGGCCCACGTACCTACCATTAAGGCACAAAAAGATGCTAAACTGGCTGAAATATAGTTATTAGTTGAACTGCATTAATTTATAAATTACTATACCAGAGAAAACTGTAACATATTGCATATACCGTGGCACTTTTTCCTTTATAAAATTTGTCATCGTTTATATTGTTAATTTTCTTAATGTGGTTCCCTATTATATGGCTTTCTGATTATGTACTAACATATTTAGACTGTTGTATCTGCACACGGGTGTTGAGCAAAGTCATGTGTGAGAACATTCACGTACGTGGCGATAGTAGACCGCACATGTCACACGCCATTAATTATTGAAATCATCAACCACCGGAGTACAATGCCCTAATCGTGCGAGAAACATATCGGAAAATGGAAAATTTCTCCGATAGGTATCCTCGCCCGGTTAGGACGGTGCACCGTTCTGTTGAAACCAATAGTTTCCAACTTGCGTTTTTTTCTTGCGTATCTTTCATCGATGTATTCGTAATAAAGCCTGTCAAGTTTGACAAGTGTGTCCAGTGTCCAGTGATTGGGCACTAGATCAAAAGTTACAGCCCTTTGAATTTTTTTTCGAAAATGTTTTTTTGCCCAAACCTTTTGATTGTGAGGTTTAATCGAAAAAGTACGAATCGTTTTGGATTCTAGGCACCAAAATTAACAAGAAAAGTTTTTTCCCGAGAAATTTTGGAGTAGTCGATTTTTGGTAAAAAAGGAAGGTTACACACTGCCTTTTTTTGAGGCCCGAAGAAAAAATTGTCTCAGATCGACCGGGAAAAAACATTTTCTTATAGAATGTGGCCTGTAGAATCCATAATTTCAAACAGTTCCAAGATTGAGCTACTAGTTCAAAAGTTACAGCCCTTTGATTTTCTTTCGAAATTGGTTTCTAGTCTATAACTTTTGATTGAGAAGTCTGATCGAAAAAGTACGAATTGTTTTGGATTCTACACTGAGAAAAAAGATGTGTTTACAATAAAGATATTTTGATTAGTTAAAAATCGGTTGATAGTTAATTTTTGAGAATGATAAACAATCGTATAGTCTTTAAGGAAATACTTAATGAATTCGGATTACTGTTTGTTAATGCAAATCGTCTTACTACTTAATGGACTATTTATTTTATTTATAACTATTAAATATAAATAATACGGATTACTGTCAAACATTACAGATTATTTCTTAAACTACTATGGCTAATATCAATTTTGACTGATTATTAATAACTTATCATTAACAGTTAATTCAACAGTATTAAACGTCTACTTACATTGTTTATTAATAAAGAAAGAAAATTGACTAAAAATGATGCGAAAAACGAATAAATAGCTTTGAAAAGGGGGCTATAATTATGTCGTCCTCTGAAATGCAGGCTTTTATTTCTTACTTCCCTTTAATTGTTGGGGATTTAATCGATGATTCGGATCAGGTTTGGTATTTTTTTCACCTTCTTTTTACTATTGTTCACATTGTCACAAAAAGATCACTAAGATCTGAGGAAGTTTTCTATTTAAAAAGTATTATATCAAATTTTAACCAACTATACATTCGTCTTTTTGATTGTACTCTGCCACCTAAATTTCACTTTTTAGTCCATTATCCATCCACAATTGCGCTTGTAGGTTGTTTAAAATATGTTTCATCTATACGTTTTGAGGCATTTCATAAAATTGCAAAAGATAATGCTCATGTTGTTACCTCCACGACTTAATATTACATATACTCTTGCTTTAAAACATCAATTGATTTTATCGCACAGACTAGTTATGAACGATGGTTTAGAAGATTTGCCCATTTTGGGACCGTTTATTTGTAAGATCAACCAAATAGAGCTACCTGATTCGATAAAAAAGCGTTTCTCTCAAAACTGCAGTGTTATAAAGTGGATTAAAAAAAAGGGAATAATTTTTAAGCCAAATCACTATATGCAACTGCCCTTACACAACAGTGATGGAATAGAACCAGAATTTGGGAAAATAGACAACATTATATTTTGTGAAAATGGCACTGTTTGGTTTATATACAGTGATGTTGAAACTGGATACATGGAACATTTTGCTAGTTACCTTGTTATTAAGCATACCAACAAAAAGTTTTGTATTAACATTAATGATACACTTTGTTCATTACGAACTCACATTGCTGGCAATGGTTTGACATTTCTGAGTAATATGAGCACTGTTTAAAAGAAACAGTTTGAAGTGTTAATAGGATTAACTTATTTTTTTGTTATATGTGAATTTATTTTTCTTTATTTGTATACGTGTCATTTTTTATGATATAGATGTTAGCGGACACCCGGTATGGATGATGTCATCCGGTATGGATGATGTCATGTTCTGCAGGACGGCCGAGTGTGGATCCTACGGGGAACGACGCACAGGCGGAGGACGGTGGCGGTAACAGCATAAGAGGCTGCGGAGGTCGGCACTGAACACAGTACACAGCACAGTGAGCAATCGAGTAACGGAGAAATGCGTTGTATTAAAGCGAATAAAAGTTGAGTCAGGAAACCTTGCGTTTTATTAAGGGTATTTCACCCCGGAACGTTAACATAGATTACCTAAATATTTAGATATATACTATTTCAATGTACTTTGCAATCTGCGTCTTTATTTTTTGTTATGTGTGAATTTATTTTTCTTTATTTTATATGTATGTTTATATATATTTTGATACTATAGACAAATAAATATTTTAATAAGAACATTTATTTGTATCTTTATGCTGAAATATCCTTCTGGCCGGTATTCAATGGTAAACAAAATATTGATAATAAATATTCTTTTATTAATTAATAATAAATTAAAATATTTTTCTGATAAACCACTGATGTTAATAAATAATACGTAAAAGAAAAATCTATAAGCAATTTGATTATCTATTATTTTTATTTATTGTAAAATCATAATATAGTATGTTGAGGATTACTGCATTTTCTTAATTACAAAAAAGGTTGATTAACAATAAAGTCGCAAACATTGATATTAACGTGGATTATGAAAAAAAAAGAATATTTATAAATAATTTAAGATTATTTAATAATACGGCAGGAATTCTTACTAATGCTAGGTATTTATTATTAACAAAATATTTTGTAATAAATTGTAGAGTTATTGTTAATCAAAGTTTATTAGGTCGGATTTTCAATCTAGAATTGTTTAACAATTACTCTATTAAGGTAATATGTAATATTTCTTTCTCTCAGTGTACGCACCAAAATTAATAAGAACAAGTTAAAAAGTAATCGTAAACGATTTACATAAAGCGCATTTCCACTTGCATTCATTTCCCATTTGTAAGATGCAACTTCTGTTATCGTAAAAATCCGGCAACAAATATGAAAGATAGCGTTGCACATGGGCAATCCATTGTTGACGTGCTACTTCAATTTCAGTTTATGAGAAGAATTTCATTTCAATGCTTTTCTAAATAAGAAAGTTGGAACTGCGCATGCGCAAACCTAAATTTTAAAACTAATGTTAGATTTTCCTTTGTTCCAAGCGCCTAAGTATCAAATTTCACTGTAATAGTTCCATAGATAAGAAAGTTGGCACTGCGTATGCGCAAAATAAAATTTTTAAACTGGCGCTAGATTTTCCTTTATTCCAAGCACCTATGTATCAAATTTCATTTAAATGCTTCCATAAATAAAAAAGTTGACACTGCGCATGCGCAAAACCAAATGTTGACACTGGCGTTTGATTTTCCTTTATCCCAAGTGCCCATGTATCAAATTTCGTTTAAATTCTTCCATAAATAAAAAAGTTGGCATTGCGCATGCGCACAACCAAATTTTGAAATTGGCGTTTGATTTTCCTTTATTCCAGGTGCCTATGTATCAAGTTTCAAATACTTTTATAAGTAAAAAAGTTTTGCAATTCGGTTTATAAATGGTCGAGATGCGAAAAGGGCACTGTGAATTTTGAATGGATTCGATTCCACTTTTGGCATTGCGTATTATATGGCTAAATCTATGCCCATATTGAATTTCATGCAATTCAGTTCATAACTAACGGAGATGTAAAAGCGATCGAACATTTCTAAACAAAGTTATCGTTCACACGGACAGATAGATGGACAGACAGACAAAGGAACAGACGGAGAGACCAACCGGCAGGCGACAGATAGCAATGCAAAATTATAAACGATCTCTAGGATCGTTAATAAACGGCAAAAGTGTAAAATTATGGAACATGTAAAAAACGGTTTTTTGTTTTTTTTACAATAACTTTTTTTGTAAGCGGTACAGAAAAAATTCCTTCCTTGGTACAAGACTCGACACCATAACGAACCAAATAGCGAAAAAAGTAGAACAATAGCTCTTAAGATAAAGAACTAGTAGCGTCGCAAAGTTAGCGGACGGACGGACGGACGGACAAAGTGGCCACAATAGCGCATTTTTATTTTATTTTTGTGGAAATGCGCTAAAAAGTGTTTTCCCAAGAAATTTTGGTGCAGTCGATTTTTGGTAAAAAAGGAAGGTTATACACTGCCTTTTTTTTGGCCAGAAAAAAAAATTGTCTCAGATCGACCGGAAAAAAATATTTTCCTATAGAACGTGGCCTGTAGAATCCATAATTTCAAACAGTTCCAAGATTGGGCTACTAGTTCAAAAGTTACAGCCCTTTGAATTTTTTTTCGAAATTGGTTTCTAGTGTATAACTTTTGATTGAGAAGTCTGATCGAAAAAGTACGAATTGTTTTGGATTCTACGCACCAAAATTAATAAGAAAAAATATTTTCCCGAGAAATTTTAGTGCAGTCGATTTTTGGTAAAAAAGGAAGGTTATACACTGCCTTTTTTTGAGGCTCGAACAAAAAATTGTCTCAAATCGACCCGGAAAAAAAATTTTCCTATAGAACGCGGCCTGTAGAATCCATAATTTCAAACAGTTCCAAGATTGGGCTACTAGATCAAAAGTTACAGCCCTTTGAATTTTCTTTCCAAATTGGTTTCTATTCTATAACTTTTGATAGAGAAGTCTGATCGAAAAAGTACGAATTTTTTTGGATTCTACGCACCAAAATTAATAAGAAAAAGTGTTTTCCCGAGAAATTTTGGTGCAGTCGATTTTTGGTAAAAAAAGAAGGTTATACACTGCCTTTTTTTGAGGCTCGAAGAAAAAATTGTCTCAGATCGACCCGGAAAAAAATTTTTATCCCGTATCCCGTTGGAAAATGATAAACCCTAGGTAAATTGGTCTTTTCGTCTCCTCAACAAGAGGTGGACCTTCGAACTAGAAGTTACCCCTTTGGGATCGAAAATGCTATTGTATAGCGTAAACGCCCAAAGGGACAATCATTTGACTCAGTTTTGCAGTTTCTCGTCGGCTTCTGACTAATGACATTTTATCTGTATTTGGTTTCTGTGTCGCCTCTTCAGATAATGATTTGGGTTACTGACAACTCTGCTGCAGAACCAAACCAAACTTTATCTTGTCGATAGTCTCAATGCTAAACACCATGGCGATAGACCGCAAATGAAATTAATTAGATTAGAAATTGGCGTCAGATTTCGTTTTATGGAACACAGGTCGGGGGTTATCATTTTCGGATCAACTCAAAGTTTTGTTTAGTACCAGTCTGATCTATAAAATGGATGTTTCGTGTTTAACTGCTTTTCTATTTTTTCTTAATGTTGTTACAGGCAAAGTAATTACTGATAACGACAAGGTATTTGTTTCCATTCCATTACCATTTACCTTCATAGTTTCTTGCAGCAGACCAAGTTGAATGTTGATGATATAACCTGCTGCAATGAAAACAACATTGACCTAACGGTTTTCATAGATTGGTTTGATGAGAGGTTCTTGTTGCCCGAACATGATCCACTGGTCAACAAATTTGCAAAGTGTTGGATGAATAAAAGAGGGTACGTCAGCTCGGATGGCGTAATGAATGAGGGTTTGTATCGGGAATGGATACGCGCGACAGTCTTCGGCGGAATCGATTTGGCTACCTTAAAAGAAACTGAAGTGAGGATCAAAACAAAGCTGATCAATGACATAATTCCATCGTGTAAAGATCGCGTAAAGTGCTCAGGCGATGACTGTATTATTATTTTCTATAATTGTGTTGCAAACAAAGTATACAATATAATGCATCTTTAAGTAACAGCGCAAAGTACCTATCTACCATTTTATGCAATGTAAATAAGTGGATGAAACCTTACAATTAAATAAAGTTAGTTATTCCAGTTTTTGGACTTTTTCTTTGGTTAGGTACCGTACGTGCAGGAAAAGGTAGAGAGCAGCATCAGTCAATCGTGGAGGAGATGATATGCTGCACATGGATCATCCACAAATCGAGTCTTCTTGATTTCGTTGCAGTTCCCAATGGGCTTGAGCGCCACTCAATTTCTAACTTAACTCCATGAAATCCATGAACACAGGTAACAATCCAGGCTGGAACAGCTTCATAGAGCAAGTCACAGACGATCTTCATTACAAAAGGTCCATGGTGGTTTTTCTTCTATTCATTCATGCACCTCCAACCAACTACGACAGTCTTGTTAACATCCCTCCTAACAGCCAATGAAAGAAGAGACAGAAAATATGTTTTATGCTGTACATTTCTTCATTTACAAATTAGTTCCATAGTTCGAATAGTTCCAATAGAAGAAATCTATATTTGCTGCTTATGGTGACCGATGAAGATCCAATTTTGACGGCATAAATATAAACTCTCACATTTGGCGAACGGATTTAATTGGTATTATATCGAATAACCCCCACAGAATGTTTCGTTCGATCTAGACACATATCGTCAAAATGTCATCCAAAATAAAAGAATTTTGACAACGACCATTTGAAAGACCGACACAAAATTTCTAGTGCTAGGGATTTAATAAAACGCAAATCAGTAAAGATGACCGAAGAACAAAGCAATCCATTAGAAATAAAACGAATTTTTCCTCAACCTAGGACAAGTCATCGACCTAAATATTCTCTGAAGGTGCTCGGTATAGGACGGAAAAAGCAAGTCGAGAAGAGAGACAAATTGTCCGAATGTGAAACAGAGGTGGACGAACCTGACGTTGAACAAGAAAATTCGATTACTGCCCAAAAAGGTAACGACTGGCGCTCATTCTTTATGATGCTACGAAATCTTTGGAAAAATTTTGTAGCGTCAAAAGGGAGAAATTGAATTTTCGTTAAAGAAGAAGAATAATACTATAGCTAATATTAATTTGAACTGTTTTCACATGCAATAAATGATTCGTACTTATTTATTTGATATTTTTGCTATCTGTAGTCTGAAAAGGCTTGAAAGTAGCAAATGGTCACTGTGTGTGCAAAATTGAAGCCACAATAAAGACTATAAATGCAACACAAAGTGCCATTTGATGTAATGATGGATATATGGACACCAAACCTAAATATTTATCAATCAGATAACATTTGTTTGTAATTCCAATTATCGTTATCAAGTGCAAGCTTGTTGAAATTAGTGTAATTATTTTGGTTAATCGTCAAATTTGACCTATAAGATAACTCACAGCACAGAAACATGAGCGGATTAGCCAAAGACTTAACCTAGATTTTCTGCATTCCATTAGATGGACTTCTTTTCCATTTCAGTTGCTTCAGCTGTATGAGAAAATAGCTATTTGTGTATTAAGAGCGCAAAATGATAGGTATATTGTCGATTGAAAGAGACAGTTGACGCGCGACGAAGGAGCGCGGCAATCTCTTGAAATCGACAATCAATTTGCGCTCGAATTACACACAAGGTTTTTTCTACAATCGAGCAGTTCACATATTTCCAAATATTTCAATTTTTCACTCAAATCATTTTAATCTTATGCCCAAATGAAAGATGTCATTTACTCGTTGTCATTGGATACTCTGAGCAATGCATATTTGATTTATAGTTAATAATTGGGAGAGCGAGCGTTTTTTTCTATTTTGTCGCTTATAAGCGACAAAGTGACATTCCTCGAAAAAGATGACGTTTGCGTTGTCAAATACGAGCGCAAATGCCTACTTTGGATATCGATGGTAGAAAAATGCATTTAAGGTGTATTGCATGGACTAGATGATGTCGCCATATTTTTTGACATTTGTATTAACGGTCGTATGCGTGCACAATTACGAGCGAGACTAGAGACCATTCTCCAGCCTTCGTAGTAACTTGGATGTATTGTCGACGGAACGGACGAACGGACTCGAGCGCCACCAGAAGATTTAACCTTGTTTCTGGTCAAAGTCGGCGGTTTCGGAACGATCTTGGAGGTTTGGAACAATCGGTAATTACAGGTAGTCCAGAATTCGGCGGTCGTTTACGTCCAGGGAACAACAAAAACAGAACTGTGCCGCCCGGACACGGTAGCGAGCAAGCAACAAAGTATAAATTAATTAGTGGTAGCAAATAGAGGAAAAGCAAAGGAATACCTCTCTTATAATTAGCAAAAATATCAAACAATTACCTTTAAAATATAACGATACGGTGATAAAGACTCCTAATGCAATATACTCGAGCACAGCGAAAAATCCCAAAAAATCCTGCACTTCGATTAAACACCAAAGGCAAAAAATCCCCTCAATAACGGGTTTAACTTTTATAAAATTTGGTCGTTTCATGGAAGATTAACGCTTTTCCACCCGACACAGCGTGTTCGAGTAATACGTCTAAAAATTAGAAAGAGCTTCTTTAATGAATAAACATAAATACCTGTCTCGGTTTTAAAATTTAGCTCACTTACGCGCGGTTCTAATGAAGCTACCAACGACTGGTTCGGATGCGATTTACTGCAGCTCAGTTAATTAGCTACTGTTAATTACACTTATTTCATTTTCCGGATTAAAATTTCCAAATTTCTTGTTTTTCAAGAGTGTATTTATGCTTTCGTACAAAACTCCTTCAAAGTACTCTCCATTAGCGGAAATACACTAATCTAATCTCTTCTGCCATTGTTCAAAACGTTTTTTACCTCTTCTACTCTGGCTCGCGTCGGCGAAACGTTTTCCTCTTCATTCGTGGGAATAAAAAAGTCACTCGGAGCGATATCGGGTGGAATAAGACAGTCATGCAGTTTCGTGCCATGAAAGTGGTCACCAGGATGGCGTTGCGAGCTAGAGCATTGTCATGATGGAAAAATCAATCATCAGACTACCACATTTCTGACCTTTTTATCGTCTCACACTGTTGCGCAACCTCTTGACAACCTCCGGGTAGCCAACCTGGTTGATGGTCTGACCTGTTGGAACATCACTTTTGCGTCGAAAAAACAAATGAGCATTGTCCTCACATTTGACTTCACTTGACGAGCCTTTTTGACGCGGGGCGAGGATGGCGTCTTTCAGTGGCTTGATTGTTGTTTGGTTTCCGTGGCATCAAGACTTATATCCGGAGAAGACAATTCTGGATAGAGCAGCCTTGACCCATTCAAAAATAAATACCAAAAATACATAAATAGGATAAATGTCGACGTTTTGGGGGTAAAGTTATAAATGACCTCCTTCAAATGGAAGATGTTTGTTCTTTGTTGTTGTGCTGGTCTATGTCACGAATGTATTTATTTCGTTTGCTCAGTATCTACCAAAAGTTAAGCTACAGGTAAAAGCTTACTGCAGAGATTAGGCAACTGATTCCACAACTTTCGAAATATACCTAATATCAAATTTTATTAACCACAAATACTATCACAAAAACAAAATTAAACTGACATAGCTTACTCTAGAGTTCTTCAGTTGAAAACGTGTACCATACGCATTAAAAATCGTCGTCACTATTTACTTGCGTTTTACTGGTACTGCTTCTTCCTTGAGGAATGGTTTTTTCAATACTGGACAATTCCAAACCTAAAGAATCGTCATCAGATTGCGGCAACTCGGGCTCGTCCCCATCGAGGAGTAAGTCGTCGGTATCCGTGTCGGAACTTTCTTCGGCAGATGACGCTGAACCAAGCGGGTTTAGTGTGCCTAACGGTTTTGCTGTACGCGAAATTTTACTACGTCCTCCAGTTCTGGCGCGTGGGCGCTCCTGTTTAGCACCCATCTTTAGATTAGCATCATCCTTTTCTTCTTCAAGATTGAACGAGTCATTCGAATCTCCCTCAAATGTAACGGTTTCCATGATTTTCTCTGGCACACTCAAGTGCTGTCGTTCCAGGTGGCTCTTTTCGGCGTTGTGGACCAAACGTTCGAGGTGATTAAGTGTGCGCACTCTTACTGAGTACTGTACGAATAGCTTCTCAAGCTCCGCTTCCAACTCTATAAACTCTTCCAAAAATGCTGGCCTAAAGACAGAAACCAACGATCTAAACATACCTAATTTTACCCTAACCTAACTTTCTTTAGCGTCTGCAGTCTTTTGTCATAACGATCAATCTCAACTTTTCTCTTTTCAATTTTGGAATCCAAGCTGCTTTCGGTTGCGGATATATTCTCAATGGACTGTTTAGTTTCAACCATCTCCTTCCTAATGGCATCAATCGCTTCCTTAATGCCATTCTCCACTTCACTCACTTCGTACTGACGCCCAGCGCTGATCTGTCTTAACGCCTGGAAAATTATAGTTACCCACCAAGCTCTTTCAGTGCCAACAATACAACCCTTATATCAACTTCTTTCCCCAGTAAATCATATAATTTAGCCCCCGTTGAGGTAATTTCACTTGCCAATTGTCGCGATCTCTTGAAATCGTTTGCCTAAAATAAAATCGAATTGTTCCACAAGTAAACTGATATTATAATTACATTGTACGAAATTTCGAGATCGCCCAAATCTAAATTGCGAACACTCTCCTCGTCCGTCATGTTCAGTGCGTTTTCTTTTAACGCCGAATACAACAAGGACGTAATCTTGAGCAATTCTTTAACGGAATATCCATCAGCTTGGTATAATCTTTTGGTATTCAGCTTCACGTTCGCTTTTAAAGCCTTAAAAATCATAGTTATGAATTGGGGCTCATTGTATGACGCTTACCATAAACTGGGCAATATTTCGAATTAGCGCGATTCGCTGCTCTTCAGTTTCAAATTCGGCGATCATATCGGAATCGTCGTCGAATCTCTTCGATAACCAAACGAGCACGTCCGCTACCAAGGGAAAATTTGGTTTCCGAAAGCTTTCCATCGACACCAACTTTGGGTAGCCAAGCGCGCGTAGCATTTCAATCACATCTTAAACAATAGAACTGTAACGTGCTTTAAATTTGAAAATAACTCACTTCTCACGTCCCTGTATGACATTTTCGGTTGATTTTAAATGTATGCGATCGTTTAGGGCGGTTGTATGTATGCACGTTGCTTAGCAACACATATTGATTTGATTTAAACGTCCTGATCTGAACATTGCGCACAGGTGGCCCATTAAAAATGGCAAGCAGCTATACCTACACCTTTTTTTATAATAATAGGGACGAAAGGAAGATACCGGACATTAGTTTCATTCGGTAACTACTCGGGAGCGAAACATACACTTTAAAATAGAGACACAGGACACATAGGTATTCTTCCCAATCATGTAAAAGGAGAGGTGGAGGGTGTCTTAAGGAGTCGTAAAAATGTTTACTGAATTGTCAAAAATTTGGCGTGGATGACTCATAAATATTTCAATCGCATACCTGCAATATTAATTAATGGTTATTCATATCCGATAGATGGCGCATAAGCTTTTACTAGATACTAATCACTAATGGAACAGTACCTACATTTTTTAGCGCATTTTTGAAAAAAATAGGCTATTATATTCGTTATGGCTGGCAGGCCGGCTGTCCGCGAGAGATCTCCACAACTCCAATAGCTAGAGAATTCAAATTTTCACTAAAAGCTTTCTGCTATAGTGTAGATGTGCAGGCACTAGTCTATTTTGAGTTAGATTACTTGTGAGATCGATAATTGAAGAAAATAATTTCGATTTGTGTTTCGGAGGTGCTATAATTTTACCGTTAGATAGCGCTACCAGTATAAAAACTTTAAAGTCACTAAATATAGAAAGTACCGCAATCCATTGGGCTCGTGTGTTAGAGAGAGAACGCATGATTTTTGCCCAAAAATGGCGGAAGTTACCAGATTCTAGTAACTTTAATGTTAGGGATTGTTCCACCTGTTTGGAGATATCTGTATATATTTTTATAAAACATGACAGTACTATGAAGTTAGGTTATAAAAAATGACAGCTATTCAGATTTTATTTGTCAATTTTTTTAAGTTGGCAGCAAATTTGCCCAAAAATGGCGGATGATTGCGGTACTTTCTATATCTAGTGACTTTAAAAAACTTATTATTTACTTTATGATTTGTTTAACAAAATGAAGACTCAATTGAAATTAAATAAAATTAATTATTTAACGCAGCCACAATTACTCGTGAGATCTATAATTTTAAACTTCGCTAATAATATACTGACCTGCATTACCAAAAATGCGCTTTAATCATGCATATGCTGATTTACAACTTGTTGTAATTATTTACTATTTCTTTGAGGTTCACTGTAATTGTCAATTCAAATCGGAATTATGCATGACGAATTATCATTGATCCATTAATTTAGTTCCGTTAGATGTGCATGTCAAATTATATTTTTGCTTGTTACCTTGCAGTACTTTTTGATCGGCACGTTTAAGAGCAGTTGTGTGCGTCTTTAAAAATACGTATAAGTATTGTGTCTAATGTTTCGCCGGATTTTTGTGTGATCTCGAGTTAGTTTTGGATCGAGGTACATTTTTCTCTCATGTGGAGGCTATAAATTGAATTCTTAGCGGATGCATACCAACCATCTTGTTATCTCGTTTTATCTTTTTAGTATTTTGCAATTTGAAGATTGAGCCGCAAACATTGCCGTATCTGTTTCCTAAAAAACCCTCTTATTAATCAGAGGTATGTTACAATTTGGGCCTTGAATGGGCCCGATATGTGTTTCTTTTTCTTTTCTTGGAACCAACCTTCCGTGTTTGAGGTTGTAGTGGTTTATAGATCCAAATAGTTCAGGAAGAGTGGAAGAAGGAGGAAATTTTCGGCCTCTCCTTCTTGGAACGAATGTTCTCTGGAACCGAGTCTTCGTAATGAGTTTATCGGGATGCACAAGTTCGGGTGGCAGTATTTTATCTTTTCATTTTTATTTTATTGTATTGCCTTTATGTTATAGTAGATGGAGTGTTAGCTACTGCTTTTACGCCGTGATTATTTCTGAGAGCAGCGAATTTTCGCGATGAATGCTTTTATTCTCAAGGTTATCTTTCCTATTACACTTATAAAGCAGATACGTGCCCTCGAAATGCATTTCAAACAAATTTCAAAATTGTGGTACTGATCACTTTGCTTTATTTACCTATCTGTCTATCTGCCTGTCAGCTGTTAAACTGCTACGCACACATAGCGTCATACGAAAGCTTATTATGCTAGGAGGGGAATGAACTTGACTTGTTATTTTAAAAGGTTAACGGGTATTTACTACAACGAACCGAACTTCCATTTCACCCAACCACTTGGCAAACTTCCTACTATATTCCAATGGTAGGACTAACGCTTAGTGCAAGAAAAGTTCTTATGCATAACATAAAGAACAGAATTATTAGAACCTCAAGTGACAGCAGGGCTGCCCTTCTGGCACTTGGGCACTGTAAAATTACCTCTAGGTTGGTTTCCGAATGTCACCCATGTACTAGAGCAAGAGTATCTGTTAGAATGTATAGATAGTAGTCGGCTGAGAGTAATTGTCAATTAATAAATAAAATAGAAAGTTATCATTTGATTGAATAGTTTGTATTCATCTTCCACATTAAAACAAGAGGTTATGGGCTATCTCAGCACATTGTGAAGTGGTTGTTTTTTGGTGCAGTTTGAAGAAAAACGTTTGTGAGCCGAAACTTAGAAATTTGAATTACATTACACATCAATCAAATGGCAGATGAGGAAAAATTTGTGTTCCGACAATTTGATGGACGAGAATTTAGCAATTGGCATTTCCGGCTACAAGTAGCGCTAGAGGACAAAGGAATTGAAAAATGGTTGGAAACAGATGCAGCCAAAGCTGTAACAGAACCTGATATCCGTGAAAATAATGTGGAAATTGCGAAAATCATTAAGGAAGATCGCGCATGTCGTTTACAAATAACTCGTCGTGTTGCGGATTCGCATTTAGAGTATTTGAAGGAACGGAAAACAGCATTTGCAATGATACAGTCGCTTCGTACAACGTTTGAAAGAACAAGTATAGCAACAGAAATAAGTGTAAGAAAGCGAATGTTACTGCTACGTTGTGAAGATTCAAGTAATCTAACTGAACATTTCCTCAACTTCGACAAATTAGTGCATACACATCTAATCGGTTCAAGGCACAATGCGAAGCATCTGGCATTCAATTACAGTATTCGATTTCGTATACACCGCAACTATATGGTGTCGCGGAACGAATGAATCGAACGTTGATAGAGAGGGTAAGGTCCATGCTCGAAGATGGACATATGGAACGCATATTTTGGGGTGAAGCTGTATATTGTGCAACTTTTGTGATGAATCGTAGTATAACTCGAGCGATTCAGTCGGTTGCAACACCATACGAGCTTTGGATGGGGAAGAAAACAGACATTTCAAAATTCCGTGTTTTTGGTTCGCCTGCATATGTACATATTCCTGATCAACTTCGTAAAAAGCTGGATGCAAAATCAACCAAGATGGTGATGGTTGGTTATGGAGTTAATGGGTATCGACTTTGGGATTCTTCAAAGAATCGAATTGTTGTAAAACGTGATGTAATATTCGATGAATCAAAACGCAATGAATCATCGAACATATTTTACGAGTCAGATCAAGCGAAGAGTGGTGTTGACGAGGCGGAGATTGACGATGTTGGAGATAAAACAAAGTGTAAAGGAAAGGATAGTATTGATTCAGGCGGAGTAATAGATGTTGGACGAATTGATACTGAATTTGATAATCAAGAATTATATTCCGGCAATGAATTAGCACGTTCAAAGCGAAAGCGTCAACCATCAAGTAAATTCGGTAGCTGGGTCGACAGTTCGACAATTGAATTAAGATACGATGATGAGCATGAAAATTATCTATCCACATGTTCATTTAATACGGACGAATGCTTCTCTGCATTTGCACTAAATGCAATAGCATTCATTGATGATGTTCCCATGAAATTTGGAGACATTGCAAAACGAAATGATTCTGATCAATGGATGAAAGCGGTCAATGAAGAAATGAATTCTTTAAAAAGAAATGAAACTTGGTCCCTTGTTGAACGACCATCCAACCGTGCTGTCATTACTTGTAAATGGATATTCTCAAGGAAGCGGAATGCTGCAGGAGAATTGGAAACGTACAAAGCAAGGTTGGTCGCTCGTGGGTTCACGCAACGAGAGGGGTTTGACTTCAATGAGACCTATTCACCGGTGGCGAAAATCACGACTGTACGTCTTTTGCTGGCGCTTGCGGTTGAGCGAGATTTGGAAATACACCAAATGGACGTGAAGACTGCTTTTCTTAATGGCAAGCTTGAAGAGGACATTTATATGGAGCAACCCGATGGCTTTGTCCAAGGCAAATTGGTGTGCAAATTGAATAAGTCTCTCTACGGACTTAAACAAGCGTCAAGAGTTTGGAATGAGCGTTTTCACACATTTGTTGTAAGAATTGGTTTCTTACGTTCGCAATATGATCAATGTTTGTACTTGATGGGCAGTGGGGCAAGTATGATCTTACTTTTATTGTATGTGGACGATTTAATTTTGCTTGGAAAGAATTTGGATAAGATTTTGATTGTTAAGCGTTTGATTGCAGCCGAATTTGAGATGCGAGATATGGGTGAAATAAAAACCTTCCTTGGCATCAATATCCAAAGAAACCGTGATGCTGGGACATTATATTTAAGCAAATATCTCGAAGACGTTCTACGTAGATTCAACATGAATAATTGCAATCCGGTTGCCACACCAATGGAGAATCAAACCAAGAAGATCACACGCAGTGAATCAGAATTCACGAAGAAACCTTATCGTGAACTGATTGGTTGTCTTATGTACATAGCTTATGCAACAAGACCTGATTTGTGTGCCGCTGTTGGTTACTTCAGCAAATTCCAGTCATGTGCGACTGATGAACATTGGATTGGTGCAAAACGAATATTAAGATATGTCAAAAGTTCTCTTGATTTGCGATTATTATACAACTGCCATTATAAATCACCAGTATTGGAGGGATTTGCCGATGCTGATTATGATAGTGAATCAAATGAGCGAAAATCGATTTCAGGAAATATAATCAAAGTGTTTGGTTCAACAGTTGGATGGACAGCACGAAAGCAAACGTCCATTGCTTTATAACTACGGAGTCAGAGTACATTTCTTTGGCGATTGCTGCTGCTGAAATTATCTGGTACCGTGGTATATTATGTGAAATTGGTATATCTCTGGATGGACCAACGATTATTCATGAAGACAATCAAGGAGCTATAAAAATCGTTTTAGGTGAAAAGGTTTCACAACGAACAAAACATATTGATATAAAATATCATTTCATTCGTGATTGCATTGAGAAACAAATCATCAATCTTCGTTATATTAAAATGCAAGAGCAACAGGCCGACATAATGACAAAGGGGTTGTCAAAGAATGTATTCCAGTACATATGCAAGAAAATTGGACTTGTAAATTGATCTGGATATTATTTTTTTTATAGTTATTGTTCTGTTGATTAGATGTAAAGTAAGCGATTCAAATATTTAGGATTAAAATTGAATCGTGGCGGAGTGTTAGAATGTATAGATAGTAGTCGGCTGAGAGTAATTGTCAATTAATAAATAAAATAGAAAGTTATCATTTGGTTGAATTAGTTTGTATTCATCTTCCACATTAAAACAAGAGTATCAAGCAGCAACACCCTTGAGCTCGTATGGATTCATATGGCATTCTGGAACAGAACGTAAAGACAAAGCCGATGAGTTAGCCCGACTAGTCCCAAACCCGGTTTTTTATGATTCATAGTCGGCTCTAATCCAATCGGAACTAATCTGCGAGAAAATAAAGCGCGTAAAGATAAGAAGCGAGTGTTCAAGCGGATAAGAGTCGAACCACTACAGTGTTGCCGGTTCTCAAAACCATCGTGCCGGTGAATGAGGGACGATGTTTCTACAGCTATACCTTAAAAAAGAGAGTTAACGCTTCGGTCTCGTTACGGTCGTTTCATCACTGGAGCTCGGCGAATGTGTAGGCAGCTTGTAACGAGGTTTTGAATTGAATTGGAACCACAACTTTTAAAATTTTGATCGCAAAAAATTTAATGTGGCCTTCGAAACTCAGCAGATTCGTTACTTGGGTGAAAACAATTGTATTAGTAACCTAGGCACCCGATTTGTGATAGCAATACCCAAAGACGGTAGTATAGATACTATAGTTATTATTGTAGATTATATAGTTTGAAAGATATAAAACAGGAAAATGGATACGTAACTTAAATCTACCTAAATATTGTAGTAATACATAAACAGTACCATAAATAAAATAATATGTGATATATATTAAAGTAAATAAATAAATATTTTCATGGCCTATCTATTCTACATAATATGTAGTGTAACAATATCACCAGTGGCAGCGTAACAGCTGGAAATTATACAACTTAATCTATATAACTTTACTATACCTCCTCAAAAAAAAAATTAACGGGTAATTACTAGTAACATAAATTTCGTATTGTCGTCTTGGTCAAGTCAGTCGGTAGGGGTAGTTAGTTTGTCTAAGAAAATCACAAGTGTAACAGCCATAATGATTCATTAGAACCCTGAGAAAAACATTCAAACACACACCCACACATGTCGAAGGGGTCGGTCAGTTCAGTCAGTAAAAAAATAAATGACTAGGAAACACACTATGATTCAAAAAATTTTTAAGTCACGCTTACACTAATTTGATTATTAATCTTAATATCCTACAGAACAATAAACCATAGCTTTACGTATACGTATAATGTTAATGTCATGTCTTAAGTTGCGTCAGTAGGAGTCTACAAGGGAGGAAAACTCAACTTCTATGGGATGCGGTATTTCATTAGCACATAGCGTACTTGTATTGATGCGCATGATTTCAAGCAAAGGTACGGCGGGCTGTACGTCCCCAATCTCGTCGTACGTTCGCCATTCGTGCGCTCTGAAATCACAGTAAAAACGCGTGCACCAAAACAAAAACGCGAAAGCTCACCTGACCTCGCTGGGGGCAATATCCACCTGCAGCAGGGAAGGATTACCACTTCCAGAGTCGTAGTCTTCCAGTTCAATTTCTCCCTCCCTTTGCTGAACCGATATGTAAATGGGACGTTTCATGTCTTCTGCTGAGGTAATTTTCTGACCGCGAATCGATGATATTTTTATAAATTTTTTGTCGTCAAGAGATTTGGTCGAGTTTAAAGGCGCGTGGTGGTAAATAGGCCTTGCGTACGATTGCTCGTTTAAGACTGGGTAATATACGACCTCTGTAGGCTCGTAGTTCGGTCTGTGAGGTTTGTTGTAGGTCGGGTTGTTGTAAGTGTCTTCTTCTTGTAAGTATAAGTACGAGGGTATGGTCACGGGTCGGGTCGTCGTAAATTTATTCGCGTAAATGTTGTAGGTGTAGGGTTTAGGTGAAGTCGCGAAGGGGAGCTTTTCGTATAGCGTCTCTTTAGGTGGTTGGTATAACGGTCGCGGAGGTCCAAAGTCGGGTTTTTTGGTCGCGTAAGGTTGGTAATTGTAGCCGGGTCTTGTGTCAAACTTGTTGGTCGATTGTATGTCGAAGTGAAATCGGTCGTGTCCTCCTCCTGATATTTTTTCCGGGTATGGTTTTCGTATGTTGTCTTCGTCGGGCGGTGAGATTTGTATGTTAATGTTAAAGCTGTAAGATGAAGGTCGGTTTTTGGGGTAGTTCTGTGGTGGGTCAGTTGCCGAAGCCGGAAAACCTAGTAGGTATCCGTCGACGTTAGGAGTTTGTTGTACCGTTGGTCGTTGTTGTGAGAAAGTAGGCCGTTTTGAAGAAATGTGTGTCGGTTTTTGGTCATTTGCAATTATAGGTTTGGAACTGATTACCGTCAGTGGTTGTCCGTATTGGTTCTTCTTGTTTAAATGTACGATGGTCGTGGTCACGTTTTTCAGTTTAATTTTTAATGGTTCGTACCGTATGTTATTGTTGGTGAAGGTCGGTTTTGTTGTCGTCTTCGTCTTTTTACGTTTTGTTGATTTGCGGCTTTCGATGTCATGTAAGTCGAAGTCGTAGTCGACCCCTTCTCTTAAAAAGGTATCGACGTCTTCTCGGGGTTTTTCTGCCCAAGCGCTTAAATCAAAGTTATTAACGGAAGGATCGTTACACGAAACCCTCGAGTTGTGGGAATGGTCGACCGAAAGAAACACGAAGGGTTGTATGGTCTCAATTTCGTCTAATGTCTTACAAAGCACGTGTGCAAGGGTTGTTTGTCGTATTTGTTGCAGTTGCGCCGGCGTAAAGGCCGACTCGAAGTCGCCGTTTTCGTACCAAAACCGATCGCCCTTGCGAAGGTTTGAGAATTGCTGGGCGATAATGCAAGCAAAGGTCGGTCCTACTATGCCTCCACGCACCGGTCTCTCAGCCAATCCGCCCGAAAACAAGTCAATGTCGTCAAAATGTTTATAAAGTGATTTGAAACGATTGATTGTACTTTTTGACATTACTTTCTCAAAATCCGTCCAGGTTTTAAGCGAAATTAAACCGCATGGTTTCCGCCACGACGTATACGACGGTAATCCGTGGTCTCTGCCCCTTTGAATGTTAACAGCTGCTAAATCTATACCAAATCGCCCCCCGTTTGATTGGAAAAGGTGATTGGTTAATTCGGATGTGATAAATTCGTCACGTTTCTGGATCGGTTGATTGCTCAATCCTAGCAGAAGACGATCGACCGATCCCAAACTCCAAATGTTCTCAACGTTAACTTGCTCGTTGTGCAACGTAACATCTAAAAACGTAAGCTTCCGACAAGCATTTACAATACGACAGACTTACTGTTCCGGATTATGCGATGTCTCTTATCAGTGCGAACAAAAGATTTCTGCACTAAACTGTGCCCGAAACGGAATGCGGCCGTGGAAAAAGAGTTGGCAATCGTAGGATTTGTTTTTGAGCGATACCCCTTGTAATAACCTTTCGGTTCCAGTTCCAAACCAAACAATTCGATAACTTCTTTGCCAAGTAATATTGGCAAGAACTCTCGATATGTGATGTGCTGGACAAAAGCTCCAATAATCTTCCTAGCTTCTTGGAACACCTTTTCGTCGCTCCAGTGTGGATTTAAGCTGACCAGCTTCTCTGCCAAACGATTGTGGTATCTCAGCCATGCCGTGTGTAAAGCAACCAAGGCAGGTTGGTCGCCTGCCCTTAAATCCCCACTTCGAAAGCAATCTGTAGTAATCGCCCCAAGCCTGCATAATTCACCCCTCGGTGGATCGGGTGGTTGTAGAGGGCCTTGATTGCGTGACCGTCCGTAACGAAGCTGACCTGTTCAAGATCATATGCACAAGGTGCCAGAAATTTACGAGTTACCTCTTTCAAATGTGCGAAGCAAATCGGAAACATCAGGGTCACTCCCGTATACTGTAGACGCATCGATGTACGATGTGACCTGGTTTATTTGTTCCCGCCATCCCAAATCGCAATCAATCCTTGACGTCGGGGCGCTCCTAACGAATTCCATGCATCGTATTCCGAATTGGCTGAGAAACCAATCGTCGCCGGAGACGCGTATTGGTAAACATTCCGGATGCTAAAACATTTATTAATAATAATTGAAATGGTCAATAGTAAGAGTACCGTTAATTCAGGTGGCAACGTCCCAACACCTCCATTTTCACAGCAACGTGGTACCGATCTATTAAACATACGCGCTTGGGCCGATGATGTAAGGTCATGATCCAGAAATTGTCCCCACTGCATGAACATTAATGTAATCGCATCCACTTCCTGATGAACATCGCGATGGACTAAGGAGCTTATGTCACGCGCCGATGGAAGAGGGCCACCAAGAACGGATTGGCGAACCGTTTGGATATCTACTAACTACATGTAACACTGACAACACTTACTGCACTTACCATCATCGTAGTGCGGCGGTAAAAACCTTTGCATGGGTAGAACTGCGCCACCCCGCCATGGATGGCGAAAGTTATTGCAGGTGCCATCAGCAGCTCGATAACGTTCGAATCCTTTGGGACATCTTGGAAAGCCTCTCAAAGGACACTCGTCCAGGAGCCTCTTCGAGCGTATACTTTGCACATACGGCACTTCTCGCGAGAGACTGTCGGCGTACCTGAAGGAACTCCTCATTATATTCAACTAAAAGTGACCCCCACCCGAACTGGTGCATAGAAACTAAATTAATTGCGCCAATTTATTATTGCGGGCCGTTTACTGTGGACTTTCTTTTTACTATTTACGTTATTAAATTTCTACAATTCTTCAAAATTAATATTTAAAATTTGACGAAAGCTTTCGACTGTAACAAGGAGGTCGCATCTGAAACGAACTGAAACCAAAGCATTTACTTCTTATATCATTTACTTACAGTTGCGACAATTTGCTTCGTGCTTCTAGGGCGGCGTAACCGTAGCGGGCCAAATGCAGTGTTTTTTCGCTAGGATTCCTGAATGAAGCCAATAAGTATGCTGGATGATTTTGATCCAAATATAATCCTAAAATTTATCACTTTAACCCACAGTTATCTGGAAGTATAGGTACCTTTCTTGTAAAACTCCGGCTCCTTCAAGAGGTAAAGATCGCGCATTTGTTGTAGGCCGTACTCGACGGCATCCTCGATTTGTTTTTGAATACGGTCCAGAAGTCTTGAGTCATTGGTCTGTCGTAAGTCGTACGTGTTGTTAGTTATTTGGTCATCTAGTTTATATGCGGGGTGTACCTCCGCATTGTATAAGTCTCGATACGAAATTACACTAACAATTAGTCGCGCCGTAAGAGCTAATTGCGTGCAATATTGTGCTCTGAAACAAATGAGTGCAATTAGCGATGCCGCAAGAAGCCTCACTTTCTCGTGTTGTAATCCGAAACGCACCTCATCATGATGTTGTGCAAGCACCCTTATTCGTCGAAGATACTTTGCGAGAACGTGCATGTATACTAAGTGCAAAATGTAAAATCGCCTTTGCAATGAACAGTTACACGATTTCATCCTGTATAGCCTCCGGTTGCGAACTTTTAATTTTTTTGTCGAACGAGAATCGTCCAATCTCTTAATTACTACAAACAGATCCTGTTAGATTTCGCATGATTCTCGCTTTTTCCGCGCGCCGTTTAAACAAACAAAAAAGCGCAAATGAGAAAATAATAACAAAATTTAAAGGCTCCAGGATGTTTTTAAAAGTACAGTTACCCGCGCACGGCATAAATTACCCACCTTACTTTTTATATCCGCAATTAACTACACTTACACAAACTCAAATTGCGTATAGATGCACCTGGACATTAAGAAAGTAGGATATCTATCGAGTGAAAATTTTCTTCTCCAAAAGATCGCGTAAATACAAAACTTTCACCTATCATTTGCCAATGTCAAGGTTTGAACGTACGCTAATTTGCATCCTAGAACTAAAGAGAAATCCAGATTCCATTCGCCTTATCTGTAGTTAAAAAAATGTATAATGAAAATGAGGTGAGCACCTACAAACTAGGGAGGGCCAAAACTGTATCATGTTTTTATTTCCAAAATTTATAAAGTTTAGCAAATTGTTCTGCGAAGACAGAAGAATAGTTATTTATATAAAAGTCAGGAAAATGATATATTACTGACGAGGAAATATTAGGGGCCGAGTACTTTTTAATGTCCGAGTCAAGTAATGTCATTTTACTGACGAGTTTTGTACTAAATTTTACCCGAACTCATATTTTAGTATAAAATTTCAATTTTCATATGGAACTTTTGATTGATGTTAACCTGTCAGTGATCATAGGGGTCATTATAGACATATTTACCAATATGAGAAGTGCGGGCGGAAAAGTGACAGGTGCCGCCGGTAAAATGACAGATAAAGTTTTACGGCCTCTGTCATGGGAGCTAAAATGATGGAATGAAAATGGTAGGCCAGTAAATGAACGTGGAATACGGCGATACTGTGTAATTTTCCACCGAATCGCATGAAAATTTGGATTTAGGTTCTACCATTGAATAAAAACACTATAAAGAAGCCTAACGCTTATGGAAGAAAGCGCGACATATCCCCTTGTACCCGCATTGGTTGGGACCCCGAACTCTCTTTGAGGTAAATAGGGGGAAAGCAAATTTTCATTCTTCTCAGTTCAAGAATCGACACTATCGACAGTGTTCCCATTATATTCTCAGTTCAATCTCTGTCGTGCTTTATTTCCACGGGGTTATGCTTCTTATAGTGTTTTTATTCAATGGTTCTACTTACCCTCCACTTCAAGTTTAACTTGAGCCCAGGGTTGATTTTTATTTTTTAGGGGAAAAAACTACCCCTATTAGAAAAAATCGTATAGCTAATTGTAAATTAAAGCGGGAAATTGATTTAAATCATCTTTTAAAGGAGTGAATAAATATCAATTAACATTAAACAACATAACTTAAGATTTTACCCCTAAATCTTACCTCTAAAACAGTTATAATTAAAACAATGTCATAGAATACTTTGACCTCCACTGATTTGCATGGAAATTTGGATTTAGGTTATTCTTACCCTCCACTTCAAAATTGGACTTGTGCCGTTGGTTGCTGTTTATTTTTTAGGGGTGAAAACAATACATAAATAAAGTAAACTGTAAACCGGTAACGCTTAATTACAATTGGGGTGCTAATTAGGGGGCGATTTCCTCGATTTTTTTACCAAAAAAAAGGACCAACCTTATTTTGAGCATAACTCACTTAGTTTTGATGTAGGAACTTTTCTTATAAAAACAACAAGAGAGGTTTTTTCAACACTTTAAAAAATATTCATAAGTTACATATACATAATATACAATACTTACTTTTGGAGTTATTTGCGAAAAACCGTCTGAAAAACGTGTTTTTTTTGTCTTCACTCGCAAATAACTCGAATACTAATGACTTAGTGAAAAAACTCTATAGAACAAAAGTTGCTTATAAAATTACTCAATTTCCGGACTTATTTTGAACGTATCTTTTTTCCACTCCGAGAAGGGGTGGCATTCACCCCCCAAGTAAAAGCAACCCTGGGCTCAAGTTCACCTTTGAAGTGGAGGAATCTAAATCCAAACACAATTCCCGATTTCACATGTTGATATTGTATGTTTAATCTTCAATATACATTCGAAATTGGTTAATTGGGTTAATTTCAATATTGTAAACAACTATAATTTTTAACTGCGCACGTTCTGTGGATTTAATATCTCAGACTTTAGCTCGTGCGGTAAATCTATAGAGCAATAGAAACTTTCACGTCAATTAATTGACAAGATTTACTTGCAGTAGGAATTTTTGGAAACTGTGAGAGACTGCCACTTATCCAGTACATACAGCATGGAAAAATCAAATGGAACAAATTCATTATTCCTGTTACTGTACCGTGTCTTATTTTGGTTGAGACTGCCTTATATCTTTAGTGAAACTTTGAATGCCACAATAACAAAATCAATCTAGCTACGTTTGTTCATAAGATACAAGATGAAAACCAAAAGTGCAACATCCTTGTATATCTTAACGTCAATTTTTGCATTCTTTGTCATGATTACAGTGACGTGTCACAACTTAAAGGTATACTTTTTTGTATAATCATGTATTATATTGTATCATATTTTTGAAAATGTTGAAATGGCATTCTTCTACTATCAGCGTTTTTTATTGATTGATCCTAGTTGCCATGGATACAATAAACAAAACAAAATATCCATGAATCCATGGTTTACTTTTTAAAAACCGTAAAAAATAAGGTTTTTATTTTTGGTTCACAAAAATATAGGTTGTGATACATCGATGTAATCAGGAAGAATAATGCAAAAAATGGACGTTAAGATATTCAGGGAAAAGCATTTTAAAAAATACCAATTTTGCGTCAAATCAGAAACGGCGGCGCAAACATTTTTTATAAACATATCTACAATAATCAGTTTTTAAATGGGTAGTAAGATATGATAACATCCCAAAAAGTCAAACTTTTGATTCTCACCCTCTATCTCGGAAACAAGCGTACCGAGATTGATTCTGTTTGCGGCATTAAAAGTTTCACATAAAAGTGGCATAAGTCGCTAAGACCGCAAGTCTCTATCTTTAAAAACAGCTGAAATACACTGCAGTCTCAACCAAAATGGGTCACACTGTACAAATTTATAGAGATTCCCGAACACGTCAAATTTAAATTTAAAATTGACATTCTTTAACGTGATGAGATGATCTCTACCTTCAACCCCCTTCCTGTGACAGTTACTACCCCCAATTTTTTAAATGGGAGGTATAGGCTTGTTATTGTATATCTCTTGCAAGGTCTCTTCATTCTCTATCCAAAAATGTTACTGTTTTCAAATTTATTGCAAATATTACGACTAGGTCGGTCACGCCTGATATGTTTAATAATGCTAGGAGACGTTCGTGGTGAGCATTTTGAACATTTGCCTCAGTGGTATTAATTTTTTTTAATTTCTATTATAAATAATTAAGTATTACCTACATATTAGTGTAATGTAGCCAATGTCGATAATCAGATGTTTTTATTTTTGCAATAAATTTGAAAATAATAACAATTTTGGATAGAGAATTAAGAGACCTTTCAAACGATATATCTCATGCCCATTTCAATTTAAAAATTTTGGTTTTGCAACACTCACTCGAAAAGGGTTAAAGATAGGGATCGCATCTTTTCATTGAGGAATGTCAATTTATAATTTAAGTTTGAAGTGTTCCAGGATTTTGAATAAATATGTACAGGGTGTAGTTTAAATATGCGGCTCACCATTGGGATCTCCGTAGTGTTGAGTGTAGGTTAATTGAAGACAAAGTTACCTCTTTTTGGTTGTTTGAAATTTTTGATAAATCTTTGAAAATAACTGAGGTATCGTCGAAAAACTGAAAATGTCGTTCCCTAGCTCAAACGGTCAGAGATGGACGGCTCTTGTTAGCACCTTCTATGGGCACTTTTTTCCGAGAAACCTGTTATCAGAATTTTCATAACATTCTAGATGTAGAAGCTTTCTTATTTTTTATTGAAGCCATTTTGGATTTTTACGAAATGAGGCGGACAAAAAAAAATTCATTTGAATCCATCGTTATCATAGCCATGCTGATTCAGTAAAATCTAGTTTCTCGTGGAAGTTTTGTTAAAAAACTTCTTATTTTGAAATGTTTCTTGTAAATTTAAGTAAAAGTATACAGTGTGACACTTCATTATTTTTCTTTTTTTTGCTCCAATATGGCGCCCATAAGAAATAAGAAAGTAATAAGTCTATAGCCTTTAGATCTATTGTGCTATGGACATTCTAACAGATACAAATTCTCCGAAAAACGTGCCCATAGCTAGGGAAGCAAGGGAAAGTGAAAACCAAATTTGACATTTTCAGTTTTTCGGTTGTTTTAAATGATTTTTCAAAAATTTCAAATGTGTTTTTTAGTCACAAAAAGGAGAAAATTGTCACCCCTAAGAAGAAAATCATCCAGCTATTTCTGTCGTTAATCCCAAATTTTCTGAAGGTACTCTTCTATCGCTATCGATTTTCAATGAATTACACACACTTGGAGAAAGCCAATGAATTCACAATTAGTTTTCAACGCAATGGCTCAGCTTTCATTTTATAAACAGATTAATTTTTTACAAATTTAGCAACCACGAATTTGCTGAGAAAAGTCTTCTATCTCTGTCGCCATTTTTTAAAGAGATTTTCAATTACTAACACACTTGAGAATGTCAATGAAATTACTGTTTTAGCGAAATGGCTCAGCACTAATTTGAGTAACAAATTAATTTCTTACAAATTCGGCAACTCTGAATGTGGCGAGGAAAATCTTCTATCTCTGTCACAAATCGTTGCTTTGCGATTTTCAATGAATTTGCTGAGAAAAGTCTTGTATCTTTGTCACAAATTATTGATCGGCGATGTTTAATGAATGACGCACACTTGGAGAATGACCATGAAATCAGCGATTCAGTGAGATGGCTCAGTATTCATTTGAGAAACAGATTAATTTTTTACAAAATCAGCAACCCCGGATTTGCTGAGGAAAGTCTTCTATCTCTGTCACAAATTATTGCTCCGCGATTTTCAATGAATGTCAAACACTTGGAGAATGCGAATGAAATTAATATTTCAGCAAAATGTCTCAGCAAAAATGTGAGAAGCAGATTCATTTTTTAAAGTTCAGCAATACGGAATTTGTTGGGAAAAGTGTTCTCTGCCACAAATTATTGATCAGAGATTTTCAATAAATGACAGACTTGGAAAATACCAATGATATCAGTAATTATGGCTCAGCATTCATCTGAGAAACAGATTCATTTTTTACAAATTCACCAACATCGAACTTGCTGAGGAAAGTCTCCTATCTCTGTCACAAATTATTGATCATCGATTTTCAATTAATGACACATTTGAAGAATGCCAATGAAATCAGTGATTCAGTGAGATGGCTCAACGTTCATTTGAGAAACAGATTCATCTTTTACAAATTCACCAATCCCCAATTTGCCGAGGACAGTCTTCTATCTCTGTCACAAATTATTGATCGGCAATTTTCAATGAATGATACACATATTTCGAGAATAACAATGAAATCAATGATTCAGTGAGGTGCCTCAGTATTTATTTGAGAAACAGATCCTTTTTTTACAAAATCAACAACCCCGAATTTGCTTCTATCTCTGTCACAAGTTATTGATCAGCGATTTCCAATGAATGACAAACATTTGAAGAATGTCATTGAAAGTGAGATCAGTATTCATTTGAGAAACAGATTCATTTTTTACAAATTCAGCAACCCCAAATTTTCTTAGGAAAGTCTTCTATCTCTATCACAAATTACTGCTCCGCGATTTTCAATGAATGTCACACTTGGAGAAGTTGAATGAAATTACTATTTCAGCAAAATGTCTCACCAATAATTTGAGAAACAAATTCATTTTTAAACATTACTGAACACTGAATTTGCTGAGGAAAGTGATCTATCTCTGCCACAAATTATTGATATTGATTTTCAATAAATGACACACTAGGAAAATACCAATGATATCAGTGATTCAGTGAGATGGCTCAGCGTTCATTTGAGAAACAGATTCATTTTTTACAAATTCAGCAACACCGAACTTGCTGTGGAAAGTCTCATATCTCTGTCACAAATTATTGATCATCGATTTCCAATTAATGACACATTTTAGAGAATGCCAATGAAATCAGTGATTCACTGAAATGGCTCAACGTTCATTTGAGAAACAAATTCATTTTTTTACCAATTTAACAACCCCAATTTGCCGAGGAAGGTCTTCTGTTCCTGTCACAAGTTATTGATCGGCGATTTTCAATGAATGACACACACTTGGAGAATGTCAATGAAATCAGTGATTCAGTGAGGTGCTTCAGTATTTATTTGAGAAACAGATCCATTTATTTACAAAAACACCTGAATTTGCTCCTATCTCTGTCACAAGTTATTGATCAGCGATGACACACACATTTGGGGGATGCCAATGAAATCAATGATTCAGTGAGATGGCTCAGCATTCATTTAAGAAGCAGGCTGATTTCTTTATAAATTCAGCAACCCCCTATATGCCAAGGAAAGTCTGCTATCCTTTCACAAATTTTTAGTAAGCGGTCCATTAATAAGACACACTTGGAGAAGACTAATGAAATTAGTATTTCAGTGAGATGGTTCGGCATTCAGTTTAAAAATAGATTAATTTTTTTCAAATTCAGCAACCCCGAATTTGCTGCGGAACGTTTTTTATCTCTGTCACAAATTATTACTCGGCGATTTTCAATGACTTTGAGAACGCCAATGAAATTAGCGTTTCAGCGAAATAGCTCAGTGTTAATTTGAGAAACAGATTAATTTTTTATAGATTCAGCAACCCCGAATTTGCTGAGGAAAGTCTTCTATCTCTGTCACCAATTTTTTAAGCGATTTTCAATGTCTAACACACACTTGGAGAATGCCAATGAAATTACTGTTTCAGTGTTATATCGCAGCAATCATTGAAGAAACAGATCAATTTCTTAGTAGACCAAGGTAACCAAACAAAATGGTCGTGCCAAAAGTCGTACTGCGCATACGTCAATTTTCTTATTTGTGGGTGCAATTTAGTCGAAATTCTTATAGTAGGATGCGTAAGTAAATAAAGTAAAAGTGCAAAAAATTGTATTGCGCCAAAGCCCAAAGCTGAAGACCAAATACCACATTCTTGACGGTATTTGTGGGGAATATACTGAATTTTTACCAAGCTAACTGACTCAAAATGAGACTATTAATATATCGTGCTTTGTTGAAGGGAATCAAATTTCTTTTCGCTTTTTTGCATTTTAGAGTATTTCAAAGAGACTTAAAACAACCCTAACTACATGCTCACAACCAAGCAAAAGAAAAAAATCGACAAAATAATAATAAACGGTCATTGCTAATAAAAATGCGGTGACAGACCTATGTAGTTGTTATACAAAACTATAAAGGGATATTTTAACGTAGCCACGAGTGAATTAAGTTTCACGAAATGGTTAGTTTCCTTTTATTTTATAGCAGAAGCCTGAGAAATCACTATAGCACTTCTGAAAATTCCGTAGGTACTTAATTTAGACGTCCAAAATAGCAAACCTACATTCTCTCGTCGTTTCCATAGAAACAATATTGTATTCTGTTCGGAACTTCATTTTATTTCGTGCTCCGCGTCACATTGACATAATATGACATAATGCACAATTTGTTTCATTTTCTCTACCCTTGCCGTTAAAGGGATCAATCATCCTTACCGTTAAACAGACACTTAGTCTACTCGTTCAAACCGATTAAAATGTCAATTTACACCTGCTATAAAATAAGTGATTTTATTGACAAATATATAGCATTGTGGATACGCTCCATGTAAATTTTTTTAGTTTAGCGAATTTATCTCATGATAAATGATCTGTAAAAATGTGGACAAAATTTAAATGTTGCTAAACAGGTACTTTTTTTTAAAATTTGAAAACCCTACATTTTAGAGGAAAATTAAAATTTTGGACTTTTTACACAGAATAACTTTTCCCCAACTTGCGACATACTGTATAAATAAGAACAATTAAAATATTTTTAATGATGTTACTACGACGTTTGCGAAAGGATTTTTGAAAAAAAATTGTAAAACGAGAAAATTTTTAATTTTGGTCCCCTAGAAGAATTATTGTTTTTCTCCATCAAAATCTGAGAGAGCTCAAATTATATAAATACAAATTCAAGCTGTGAACGGAAATACATTTTTGGGAGCGCGATGGACGATGAATGATTTCCAACATATTTTCAATTAAGAATTTCGAAATTTTGAAAGATTTTGGGCAACGTATGGATAGACAGTTCGCTATCAAGTTCTATTCATAGCAATAAGCAGTTATAAACAAATGAAGATTGCAAAAATCTCACCTCTCATATTCGTTTATTTTCGCGCGCCACCCTTTCGTCGTGCTTAAGGCGAGCGATTGCGTGTACAGATCCAAAAAGTACCTTGGCGGTGACCTGCACGCTTTTTCCTCCGCTGGTTTTATTCCTGTCGGTGATGGTACCTTGAAGTGGCCCAGGGTAGGTGTTGTTATTGGCGTCTCTTAACGTATACGATTTGCAGCGATCTGACATTTTTTCTCAACAAAATCTGCAATGCGCTAAAACAAGAAAATTGGAGCATTTCGACAATTATTTTCGATGTACCTTTAAACGTTGCACAAAGCCATTTTTGATAATGTCATTAGAGCAGGAGGCGATTTTTGTAAGGCACCAGTGTTCCACCGACACACTGACTGACTGACTTGGCAAAGTAGGCGAGGTGCACTACAGACGTACCTCCGATGCACTCTCTCCGTTCATTAGGGGGGACCAGGTGAGAGGTCGTTTATATGCTCATTACATTTACATATGACGATAATAAAAATCTTCAGTTTTCTCTTTCTACATGCAAATTTTCGTGGTGTTATTTCATTCGAAATAAGATCATTTGTTTCCGGTTCGAACAGGGTAAAATATTCAAAATGAAGTTAACCTATTAACCCAATTTATTATTTATTTAAAGGTTTTAGCAAATGAAAGTGTGACAATTATTAAGTTGCGCGCTTTCATTTGACGGCGCGAGATATAGAGAGAAAGCCCTAATCGTCTAATATTTTGTACCCGTTTCCAATTTCTGCCCCCGTTAAGTAATTTAGGAAAATACTAAAATTATATAAAACTTAGATTGTTGAAAGCGTGACTGTAATTTCATCTCAATTGTATCTATTATCTAATGTAATTCTTTTGCAATTTCGCAACACGGTTATATTACCTACCTGCCAAACAAGCCACAAACATTATTTTTACGTAACCCGAAGAAGAGCAATTTGTTGCAAATGTATATCAAATAAAACTATGTACCTATGCAAAATGAAATTGAAAGAATAAAGAGATTGGAATTGCGTTGCGGGTGACCAAACCAGGGCACCAGGTCTCTCGGCACTGGGTCATTCGAGTCCACTTCTGTATCGCATCTTGCTTTCTATTAGATGTATGTAATATTAAGAAATTTTACACTATTCAACCAAGCAGAAATATTATAACTGTTGATTTAATACCTTTCTGTTTTTTGTTTATTTTTTATAAATTGTCACACATTTTTGGCAACTGTAACGGTAAACCGTCTGCGCGCGTTCTTCTTAATTAAAACCCTAAGTACCTACAATATGTGAAAGATAAAAGGTTAACGAAATAAAAAATACCACTGATCCACATTGGTGAAAGTTGCTTTCAGATCACTCCTTGCAGAGCAATTAAAGTAGATTTGATTCAGAAATTTGTTGAGAAATTGTCTTAAAACGCTGTAAAATTTAAAAACAGGAGCGGCAAATTCACTTTCTAAAGTTTTATTAAATTATAACAAAGAACTCGCTTTTAATTTGATTATAAATGCGCGTGTTTAAATTGCGTATCTTCCGTACAATAATATTTAACAACTGTTCTCTGAGTAATTAGCTTTCACTTCTTCCTTATTATTGTTATTGTTGTCCATTTAGGTGAAAATCACCACGAACAGCGACCAAAAATTTAGTATATAATATCTCCAGTGTCCTTTCGTCTTTTACCGATGTACGTTACCAATGGAGCATTAATGGGTTCCTCCCCAATACATGCGTTAATAATAACCCATAGGACCGATACGCAAACAACGCACATCAAAAGTACAAACCAAAGGAGCTGCTGGGGCTTACGGGAGAAGTACTTTTCTTGCCTTGGGGTCGCAATTTGGGCTACTGGTTTGTCGATATTTGGATTTAAATTATTAACAGATTCATTCGCCTTCTCCACTTGGGTTCGCACTAGCTTCACTACACCGTGTCTGTGCCGGTAGATGTCGCGAAGATGATAGTTAACCAAATTGTTGGAATCATTATTCTCACGTTCGTCGTTATAAGTATCATTGTCACATTCTAAAGACATCGACAGATCTGCTGTAGTAATTTGTCAGCAAAAATTTTGACACGCTGTCTATGTGTATTGTTTTTGCTACAGTGACTTTATAGAGACCGTGGCGACAACAGGGTATCTCGTTTTTGATTGGGCGTTGGTTCCGGTCGCCATGTTGGAGCTAAATTCCAAACTGGCCAATAGAAAGCCTCCAAAACGACGCGGCTTCACGTTACTAGTTTACACTTTGCTTCTTGTATTTGCTTTATTTTACGTTTTCCGTCTCCAGTTTTATATAAACTCGATTTTTAAAGACGCATGTGTAGCCGAGGATATAGCTTGGATTTACGATATTATAAAGTATGTAATTGGTAATTCGTTTAAAGTAGATGTAAAATTGTGCCTAATCTTACTACTGGTAATTGACATAAAAATTTTTTCAGAAGCCCTAAATACCTAACGAGTTTAGATAGAAAACTGGTTAGAGAAACATCTTATCCGAAATTTTGCAGCAAATTCAATTATGGTTATGGATAACGCAATTGTTATCATAAATACGCTTGAATTGGTTTAATGTTTAGCATTGATGATTGCTGAAGCACAAGGAATATTGATCTCTTGTACTCCGTGGACTAAATCAACGTGTTTTGTCTTCCATTTAAGGGACTAAAGGCAGTGGTTTTCCCGTAGGTTGTTCTGCAAAGCTTTAAATAATCATTTCTGCGCCGTTTGTTTTAAACGAGAATCTTTACTTAAATAAAACTGACATTTTTATTATTTATTCTACGGTCACAATTTGACATGACAAAGTACGAGTATATTGATCCTACAATAAAATTTTTAAAAAGACTAGTTCATCTTTTTCGAAATTCGCCTAAGTAGGAGTCGCCCTACCGTATAGTCCTCGGTAAGAATTTTTTACGCGGAAGTAGTGAAATTTGTGCAATTCTACACCTATGTAAACAAATACAGCAAATATCCGCTTGAACACCCATGTGTTCTTATAACCTCTGAAGAAGTGCGTCGACTTTAATACTGTTGAAGACATGATTAAGTGTACTGTGCTACCTCCTCAAAACCAGTATCTCCCTGTATTATCCTTAAGATGTTTGTTTTCTGTCGAACCTGTTGCGAGGTAAAGGAACTGCGAGTGTGTACTCACGTCGCTGATGAACTGAGAAAAGCTCTTAAATTGGGATATCCCATCATCGATATTCATGAAGTGTGGTCTTATGACATAATAGGACAAGGAAACTAAGAGTGGTGGTCTCTTTACAGGATATGTCGATAATTTCTTGAAAACAAAACAAGAGTGCAGCTACCTTACTGAGTATTTCGAACGAGAGTTTCGATTACACAAAAAGCAACGCTTCGAAGATGGATACGATACTCTTCCTTACGGATATGTTCCGTAATTTAGTTTGTAGATATCTGTATAGGGGTGTAATGTATACAGTGTTACATATAAGTATGCAACTTGATGAGTTATGGAACAAAATTGTCGAGCAGTTTTTAAGAATCACTTTTCAAACAAAAGTTATACTCATTTGAAGATTGATCCTACGGGTATCAAATGAAATAAACGAACTTTGTCCTTATTCGTAAATTATTCTCCCGATCTACTTTAATAAATTGAAAAATCTCCTATACAGTATACATATGTATACGAAAATACGAACTTGTCCACTGATATCTTTGAACTAGAGGAATGCTGAGGTTGCTGAAACGTAAGGACGAACTACATATCCAATTGGCAACATAGGTTGGGGTTTTTGCATTTCCCTTAAAGAAAGAAACTGCACATACCAAAAAATGCCGACCTTACCCTAGGCGAATTTTCCGCTACAAAGGAACCTCTGGATAGGTACTATTTATAACTAATACAGTCGAAAATGGTATTATCAGGAAACTGTACTCTGATAATTTATCAATTAAAAATTTCAATAAACAAATTAAGGTTTCCATTTTATCTCTGATAAGACTTAACCTAGAGGAAGGTTAATTTCTTCTTGAATGAGTTTACTTTATTAACGAGCTCCTAGCGAGTTTATAATTTTGCGGTGTCTATCCGTCTGGCCGTCCGTACGTCAGGACGATATCTCAAAAACGAATGGACAGATTACGATTAAATTTTACAGGTGGATTCTTTATCAAATTTGTAATAAGGAAGGCCCTTTTGACACTTCCGTTAGTTATGAACCGAATTGCATGAAATTCAAAATGAGCATAGCTTTAGCCATATAATACCTTAGTGTAAAGAATGGATTACACTAAGGTAATACCTACCAAGTCATACCAGGAGCCCGTTTGCTACGCCTATTTGTTTAATTTATTTGTTGTAGCAAGATCAGAGTTTTAATTAATGAACCCACTTCTATTTAAACACAATCTTGGTTTACAAATGAGTGCAAAAGTTAAAAAAAATTAATATTAGTTAAGAGTAACTTTGACTTAATTTTTCTAATTCCATATACTCAAAAATGAACCAAATTGAGTAGGGAGGTTGATCGAAATAAGCTTTTATGAGTCAAAAGGCATTTAAAATGTCAAATTTATCCCTACGAGAGTCATAAGGTAAGTTTGAATAAATTTGTTCGATTCAGCTAATCGGCAAAACCCATATTTTCATAATTAAAGGAATCACTGAGCGCCGACGTCGTATACAATATTATAACCTTCCTTTCTTACCAAAATTCGACTACACCAAAATTTCTCGGGAAAACAATTTTTCTTATTAATTTGGGTGCGTAGAATCCAAATCAATTCGTACTTTTTCGATCAGACTTCTCAATCAAAAGTTATAGACTAGAAACCAATTTCGAAAAAAAAATTCACAGGGCTGTAACTTTTGAACTAGTAGCACAATCTTGGAACTGTTTGAGATTATGGATTCTACAGGCCACATTCTATAAGAAAATTTTTTTCCGGCTCGATCTGAGACAATTTTTTTTTCGGGGCTCAAAAAAAGGCAGTGTATAACCTTCCTTTTTTACCAAAAATCGACTGCACCAAAATTTCTCGGGAAAACACTTTTTCTTATTAATTGTGGTGCGTAGAATCCAAAACAATTCGTACTTTTTCGATCAGACTTCTCAATCAAAAGTTATAGACTAGAAACCAATTTCGAAGAAAAATTCAAAGGGCTGTAACTTTTGAACTAGTAGCCCAATCTTGGAACTGTTTGAAATTATGGATTCTACAGGCCACATTCTATAAGAAAATTTTTTTTCCTGGTCGATCTGAGACAATTTTTTTTTCGGGGCTCAAAAAAAGGCAGTGTATAACCTTCCTTTTTTACCAAAAATCGACTACACCAAAATTTCTCGGGAAACACTTTTTCTTATTAATTTTGGTGCGTAGAATCCAAAACAATTCGTACTTTTTCGATCAGACTTCTCAATCAAAAGTTGTAGACTAGAAACCAATTTCGAAAAAAAATTCAAAGGGCTGTAACTTTTGAACTAGTAGCCCAATATTGGAACTGTTTGAGATTATGGATTCTACAAGCCACGTTCTAAGTACCCAGTCCGCCCCTGAATATAAATTGTTTTTTAACAATAGGCGTTACGAAATTCGACCGCAAAATACCAGTAAATTATGGTTAGAGCAATTTCACGTGAAGTTAAGAAATCCACTATACAAGTTAAGTGCTCATTCAAATTGTACTACATTGAAACTCGTTACCCTTGATATAGAGTATGATTTTTGAAGTGCGTGAAGATAACTGCTGATAATATTGCAGATTGAAAACACCTAGGTACTTCGAAACTGAGATACTTACGTAGTTATTGCAGCACGCCAATCTCCAAAAATGAGAAGATTGACAGAATTATTTGGGAAATGTAGATATATGCAATATCTAGCGGTTACGTCAGGTATGTCTTAAAGAATTTTTACATTTGTAAACAACATTTTTTAGCCGCAATGGCGGGCATTTGTTCGTATATGATAGGGTCCTGGGGTTCGCCGTCTATTCCAAAATTAACCTCGTCGGATTCGCCGATTGGTGTCACATTAAGTAGTGTAAGTAATGGACGCATAAGGAAATTGGGTTTGAATTGACTCAGTAATTAGGAGGAAGTCTCTTGGGTAGCTTCGTCGCCTTTGCTTGGCTTCGCCCTAGGAGCACTAACTTCATCGATACCACTCAAAATAATCGGCCCCAAATGGTCCCTTCTAAGCGCTTCACTGCCGATAGCTGGATGTTGGCTTGGAATAGCGTTTTCGAAATCGGCGGTGGTTTTAATAGTGCTCCGTTTCCTGTCGGGAGTGTGCGATGGTATCATTGTAACGGTAAGCCTTCTCTTAACTAAATACTTAAATGCGGAAGACTTTCAGGTGGGGCCACTTTACATTGGAGAAGTCGCCGACAAAGATATTAGGGGGAAATTAATCACATTTTTCCCCATTTTTTCTGGGTTGGGAAATTTGATTGTGTTAGCAGTAGGTCCGTTTGTGGAGTATAAAACTTTAAATTTCATTTGCGCGACTGTTCCAATTTTATTTGCCACCATATTTGTTTTTCTACCAGACTCTCCATACTTTCTTCTAAGATCTGGAAGAGGTGCAGAAAGCAAACGTTCCTTACGAAGACTATTAAGCAACGATGTGGACGATACGACAATCGATGAACGATTGAAAGAAATTGAAGCAACGATTCGGTCTGAAGGTACCCATAAGTTCAATGTTATCCATATGTTTTCCAAGAAGCATTTTCGGTTTGCCATCTTTATATCGTTAAGTAAGACTTGTTGCTTGAATGTTAATCATGGCTAATACCTCTTTTTAGATACAAGATTAATACTGGCCTTTGGGGGAATGACAGTACTAAAATCATACCTGCAAACAATAATTGGAGGAACAGCAAGCAGTATTTCTCCCGAAATTTCGAGTTTAATATTTGCTATTGCTCAGCAACCACCTGGTAATTGACCCGCGCTGTGTTTGCGTTACTGACCATTGCATTGCAGTTATTTTAACAGCGTTCTTGGTTGATAGGGTGGGTAGGAAGATACTTTTGACAATATCAACCCTGGGATGCGCTCTTATGCTTGGACTAGAAGGAATTTATTTCTACTTGCAAAGGGTTGCGGAAATAGACCTTAGCGCTGTGTCTTGGTTGCCGACTGCATGCCTTGTAATTTATTCCTTCATGCAGCCGATAGGAATTGGTGCGATGCCGAGTATTATAGTAGGGGAAATATTTGCAGATGAAATTAAGAGTGCTGCTGCTGGCATTCCGACCACATTTAGTGGTAGCTGCCACTTTTTACTAGCAATATTTTTTTTGCCAATATCCGAGGCGTGGGGGATGCATGTTATGTTTTGGGTATTTAGTGTATTTTGCTTTTACGGTGCCATTTTTGCTATGTTTGTGCTTCCTGAAACGAAAGGAAAGTCATTTTTAGAAATACAGGAAACGCTTTCCAAGAGCAGATGTTGTTGATTAACCGCAGCTTCTGATCAGACATTTAAAGAGTTTGTTTCGCATGTAATAAAGAACCAATTACAATTCTCATGTACGTGATCTCTTCATTTAAAGCGGGTTTCTAGAGGAACTGAAAATTGTGGAAGTTTGAAGGACACGGGAAGTTATTAAAACTATTTCAAAGTGATATAATGATTGAGAGAAGTGCACTGGTTTAAAAGAGAATGTTCAATATTATTAATGTGATATTAAAAAATAAAACATCTACGTTACCTACACAATCTTTTTTCTTTAGTTCTCAATTTTGTTGCATTTTTATAGTAATGGAGGTATGTACGTATACTACCCACCATAAGTATCTGAGCACCCAGTGTACATTGATCAATTTTGATGAAATTTAGTGTTGTTCAAATTTGTTGTAATTGTATCATGTTTTCCTTGTTTCTTATTTCGAAAAAAATACAATTTTCCTGAAAATTTCATCAAAATTGATCAAAAGTACATTGAGTGTTCAAGTACCTATGGCGGGCAGTGTACAATGTACATTGCATTGGGGTTAACAGTGACCCCCCACTTTTTTGACTGAAATACACGCTTTGACGCACCAAGAATCAAACAACATCTCCATGATATCAATCGGTCTGTCGGTCTGTCCCTGTACTCTCATTTCCGGCTAAATCGCTCAACCTATTGGAACCAAATTTGGTACGCATATTCTTAGACACAAAAAGGCAGAATCGCAGATGTGCGGATGGTATCTGTGCTAGCTACAGCAAATTGTTTATAGTTGGTACTAGTCATTCAATATTCAATGTAATAGATGTATGGGTACTAGTACAACATTTATTGACAATATGATAGATACTGATTTATATCGATTATTAAATAATCCATAAAATCAGATATCTATTATATTGTCAATAAATTTCTGACTAGTACCCAAGCATGTATTAGATTGAGTAATTATTAAATCATCGATATAAACCTGCCATTTAATCCAGGGAATAGAGGGTTTCAATTCCTTTTGCATGTCATAGACAGTCATCTGGTGGTTAAAAATGTAAGTTTTCAACCTTTCATCCCTTGTGCTTCCCCCGTACCACTGTAGACCATAAAATTCTACACAACTTTGATGTACACTACTTTTTTGTGAAATGTTTATTAAAAAAGATAAAGAGTTTCAAAATTGCTTATATTTTTAAGAATTCTGAAATTTCTATGTAGATGCGTTTTAACCAAATTTTAGACACAATAATTAAAAGTTTTATGAGAAAATATCTTGAACTCGTGATATAAATCCTCCTACCCTGCACCCTTACTAAAGGGGATGCAATGTTTATTACTTATATTTTCTAATTCTCTTGTTCCAATTTAACCCTTTCCATCCCCCACTGAAATGAGTGGTTTAATCCTCTGTTGTTGATTGCTCGATCACACTTAGATATAATGACATTATTCCGAATACAAATTTCAGAGTTGGAAAGTACTCAATGCGTCGAGCTACTTAAGCTACTTAACGTTTTGTGCCACGGATCGAGGTTTTATTAGCAAACTCATTTTATGCTACAGTTTGAAATATAATCTGCACGCAAAGAATTATGACACAAAGCTACTGCTTCAAACTCGAGCATTCTTCGACGATTCCTTCGACAGTTGTACTTAAAACACGTTTGCAGCCGACCGACCGACCCACCGTACAGCCAAAGTGAATATACAGTGCTATTTATTAAGAAGTAGACATAGGGATTTAGGTGTATTGTTTTTCCCTATGTCTACTTTTAAATGACAAAATCTTTTCTTAAGGACGCCTAATTTTATGCAGCCAAAATATCTTAAAGCAAATAAAAATCTGGTTGCCACATTAATTAATTTGAATATTGTTGCGTTGGCTTCCGTATTTTTATTTTCGTTCGTGTGCGATGTACTTACTACATTCAACTGAAGAAAAAGTTGATACTGTTTAAGGAAAGTAAGAGATTTATTTTCTGTTAAGCTAAATAATATTCATATTATATAATTAATATGAAAGCCAAATCTTTATTTGTTTAAAAAACTTATTTTGGATGCATAAAATTACAGGCGCCCTTCAGAATAGATTTTGTCTTTTAAAAGTAGACATAGGGAAAAACAACACACATAAATCCCTATGTCTACTTCTTAACAAATATCACTGGATGAAAGGGGTTAAAATGAAATAAGACCCCTTTTCTTATTTGATAATTGTATTCTAAAGCGCCATAATCACACAGTTATTCAAATACCTACTACGACCAAGGGGTTGAAGTGCTATCATCCCCTTTGATAGTGGGGCATGGTACGGAAATTAATAGCACCATAACTTTATAATCGAGGTATTTTCTCATATGAATCTTATGGTTATACAGGGTGTCAGTTTTAAAACTTGCAGTCGGCCTCATTTTCCAAACTAATGAAGATATTGAAAATCGCGCAAAACTGTTTCGGGGGTATCGAGGGGGAACCAGAATGGCGTTATGAGTGACAACCCCCCACCCCCCTTAACCACCCAGCACCCCCCTCTTCAAAAACCTTAAATGGCAACCCCATACTTGTGATACATCTTTGGAAAGCCACTGAAAAATGCTTTCCAGTGGTATCAATAAAGTCAATATTCATGAAGACGATTTAACAATTAATTTAATAATTTTTTACGCCAATCAACCGTATTAGTTTTCAATTTTTTGCATACTAAAGACAGAAAATTGGAAAAATAAACCCCCATCTTTTTCAATAATCTGCGATGCCATGGAATTTTCTAAAACAAAAAGATATCCAGTTGTCAATTAGCAGCAGTTCGAAATGGATTTTATGATCGACTTGGTTACTGTCTTGCAGTTAATGGTGACTTATTCGAACGTTTATTGTAAATTGTTATATTAGGAAACCGTTTTTAGTAATTTGGTCTTTCTTTATGTTGAATTCGCTGTTCTAAATATAATAGTTTTTGATAGAATTTGATTTGTTTTATAGCAGACATTCCATGGCAAGACGGATATTGGCGTAGTTTTTGTATTATAAAATTCCACGGCATCACAGATTATTGAAAAAGATGGGGGATTTATTTTTCCAATTTTCCGTCTTTATTATGCCAAAAATTGAAAACTAAATTCCGTAAAAAAATTGTTTCTACATAAAACTTTCATACATTTTTGCTCTAAAATAATTTGGGGAGCCAATAATCGCATGTTATGAATTTTACATTGGAATCCCTATGATGCGTTACGCAAGTCACCACCCTGTATAGTATAGACAGAAACAGTGTTGTCCTTCTTTGGGACTAGACGTATTGGGCTAGATTATGGACTAAATGATGGTCCAATAACACCTAGACGTAACATTTTTTCAAGCTGCTCATCGATAATCCTCTATTTATGGGGTGATCAATCCAAACAACTGAGACAAAAGCTTTTAAATATGCTGTCACAAACACACGATCTCAAAAGAGAAAAAGGTCTTGCGAACACCTTCCTAATCATAAAATTGATATCATGCCCCTGTTCGAAGAAAACAAGGTGATCTTCAAATATTTAAATATTCAAAAGGTAAATGTCATGCCATCTATTTCTCAAATTCCAAACATACCATGGGAATAGGTATAATGGTGAAGGGCACTTTTATAAAATTTAAACGGTGACAAACAATGGTTCGGGAAAGTTCAGAAGGGCCCGCTTAAAAACTCCATGTTTTTCGTATTGAGGACACCATTTTGCGAAGAGATGCGAAAATTGGATTGGAAATTTACCATAGCGTACACTATCCTTGGCCATAGAAAACCTACTCGCCCAAATTTTGTCGTTTGGGGGCATAATCGTCCCCGCCATCTATTTGTTCAAAATGCAACCAGAACCATTACGACTAAAGAATTTTAATCAAAATGAATGAAATTTACCTGGTTCTTTGCAAGTGATAGGTGAAAGTGTGCACTTGCATTCTGTCCAGCGTAAATATACACCTAATACAAGTGCGGCTCACTTTAATTATGCATGCAATAAAGATAATTCGTCACAAATAAGACTAGTAGTAATTTAAACGATAATAAAGCCATTAATAACGAAACGTTAAGTTATCGCATTGCAAATTTTTAATAGTGATCAGTAACATTGCCATTTTTAGCAATTGAGGTTCGCATCAATTTTTGTTGCCATCCAGTTCTCAGTTACTTTTCAGTTTTTTGGATCTCCTTCCATAACGCCCCGTTGTCCAAAATGTATAAGCTGAAAGACTGCAGGTATATGCAGTATGTTGCATCAATCACTAGTAAGTTTGTTTAGAAAGAATTATTTTCCTTTTAGCGGTAGTACTGACCAAACTTTTTATTGGACAACGTAACCCTAACCTTAGATCATATAATATTTTACCATTAGGTAATTTATTGATGTTTTTCAAATTTATTATACAATTAAAATTTTACAGTTTTTACGTATTCATTATAATAATGAACAATGTAGCACGAGACCTATAGGATTTTTTTCTTTTTAATTAGGTTTCAGGCCTTCTATTATAATTCTATTAGGCAAATGAAACTATTTTTAAGCGCTTGTGTTACCCTAAGCCATTTTTATTCGAAAAATCCTTGTGACTTTAAGTGTCACTTTACATTATACCTACTGGGTGTCCATATTGGAAATGTCTCTTTAATTAATTTTGTCCATAGTTATCCATAAGAAGTCTTTACAACCACCATCGACTACTGTAACAACTCAACAAGATTTTTAGCACTAATTTGAAAAACTAAAATACTTAAAGGTGGTTTATGCACAATTTAACATTTAAAATTTTGACACATGCTTTTTAAACAGTGGGAATAAAACCAATTTAAGAATCTTGTTCTATTTTGACAACTTTTTTACAAAATGTAATGAGAACACAACCTTTTCTCAGTGTCGCTAGCAAAAATTGGTAAATAATTAGTACATTTTTGAAATGTTACTTTCTCAACAAAGAAAATCTTAACACACAGCATTTATTTTACCAAACTTTACAATATTGATTACTGCGATTTGTAAACATTTAAAATAACTCTACAAAAGTAATCCAGAGGCTGTAGGTAAGCTAGGGGATCGTGGTAGACATTTAAGCTCGCATTTAAGTCCGCTAAACGTACAATGTTAAATTTGCAAATTTGAAATTCGACTAAAAGATAAAGTGACTGCTTCTAAAAAGCTTTTCAGTAATTTCCTATAGGAAAGACATTTCCTTTGTGCCCTCATCTGGGCACAAATTTTAAGAGGAAGATATCGCAAAATGAACAAAATTCAACCCGTTTGGCAGCTATTGGCCGTTGACTCGATTTCCTTGATCACCTATTTAACCCACTAAAAGACGAAGTGCAAGGTATAAATCCTCGTATAAATCGAAGACTGGAGCTTTATCTACTACGTTGGAAAGCAAAAAGTACGTGTGTTTTGTTTTCGGTGATATTTGCCGACAAACGACATACCTATTTTCAAAGCGACTTATATACAGGGTGGTAATTTTGTCTGTAACACTGAATATACGAATATCTTCAAAACAACATTTTTTTAAGAAGCTACATAGTTTAAAATTGTGATCGGTGACGTAGATCTGCAAAGAGTCAAGGGACATATATTTTTTTAATAGCAACCACAATTTTTTAATAGCAACCACATTTTTTTAATTGCATATTCTGTACATAACAATATTTAATAGCAAAACTCAAATTAAGGAAAATAGTTTTCTTATAATTACTTTTATTTCACTAGTGGGCTTTACAAAAACGTTACTTTTTTGGTAATTTTATGTCAAAGCAAATTATTGTGTTAATCAAATCTACAAGCTTAAAAATTACGTACAGTGGCGTGCGTCTACAGAACTAGGGCCACTTTTAATAGAAAGCACTATTATTCGTTAGGTAGCTATTATTAAAGACGAACTTCTTTTTAATTTCACAACATAAAAATAGTTACACAATTATTAAATTTTTGATAAATTGCCTTTTATCAATTAGCTTTCCAACGATGTGTCACAAGTATGGGGTTGCCATTTAGGATTTTTGAAGAGGGGGGCTGGGGGGGGGGTTGTCATTTATAATGTTATGTTGCCCCCCCCCCCCCCCCGATATCCCCGAAACAGTTTTGCGCGATTTTCAATATCTTCTTTAGTATGGAAAATATGGCCGACTGCAAGTTTTAAAATTGACTCCCCGTCTAAGAAACATAGATTGTGTGTGGTACATCAATGTAATCAGGAAAACAAATGAAAATAATTGACGTTAAGATATATTTATATAGGACGATGCATTTAAAAAATACCAACATTGGGTCACATCTCAAAAACTGTGGCCCAAAAATGTATTTTTACTATGCCGCTCGATTCTACGTAAAAATATCTAAATGAAACTGTTTGTACCTTTTTTTCTATCTTACATGGGCAGTAAGATGTGATATCATGCCAAAAAGGCAAACTTTTCGTTTTCACCCTGTATCTGAGAACAAAAAAGTGGCACAGAGTCGCCATATTGGTATGCCATATTGAGTTTGCGGACTTTGGAGGGCTCCTTGACGACAAAAAACAATTATTACAGTGAAGACTATGATCCAGGGGCATGGATATTAATTACGCGTTTGAAAATTTGCCCCCCCCCCCTCCACGCTCCCTAAAATCTACAATTTTAGCTGGGTGCCATACCGGGTATTCAAAGTGTCCCCCACTTGTTGTCTATCAGCCTCCAAAGCCTCGACGTGGGGCTTATGGTACATGGAAAAGCCATCTCGGCCCCAGGTCTATTACTACAAAACTCACCAGTCACCACCTCTATCAGATCTCAACACTTTTCTTTCCTGTGTAGTTCTAAACCTATTCTTTAAATTCCTTAAAAAATTGTAGTCCTCGAATTTAAAAAAATAGATCAAACTCATTCTGCTGTAGTCATCCTCGCAAGTCTAGTCTAGAAGGATCTAAAACCACCAATTGAGAGCATCTCCATAGAACCACAGAGATCGGCATGAATGACCTCAAGACATAATTGCTCTATGACGTATAAAATTTCCTATACTGGCACATTTAACAATTCTAAGCCTAAAGCGACCAGTTAGGTATGGAGAAAGGAGAAGAACTACAATAGAAGGGTGCCCACGACTTCATATGCTGGATATTGACGGATATATGATAACAGAAACCCAGCGTACACAGAGGTGGGCAGAATACTTTCAAAAAGTATTTGAATACTAAATAGTAAATACTTTACACAAATCAAAGGTATTTGAATACTAAATACTTTTACATCCAGCACAAGCGAATACTAGATACAGATACATTGAAAAGTATTCAAATACTTGTCACTCAAATACATTAAACATTTAAAATAGCACCAAAATTAATAAGAAAAAGTGTTTTCCCGAGAAATTTTGGTGTAGCCGATTTTTGGTTAAAAAGGAAGGTTCACTGCCTTTTTTTGAGGCTCGAAAAAAAAATTGTCTCAGATCGACCCGGAAAAAAAAATTCTTATAAAACATGGCCTGTAGAATCCATAATTTCAAACAGTTCCAAGATTGGGCTACTAGTTCAAGAGTTACAGCCCTTTGAATTTTCTTTCGAAATTGGTTTCTAGTCTATAACTTTTGATTGAGAAGTCTGATCGAAAAAGTACGAATTGTTTTGGATTTTACGCACCAAAATTAATAATAAAAAGTGTTTTCCCGAGAAATTTTGGTGCAGTCGATTTTTGGTAAAAAAGGAAGGTTATACACTGCCTTTTTTTGAGGCTCGAAGAAAAAATTGTCTCCGATCGACCCGGAAAAAAATTTTTCGTTTAGAATGTAGCCTGTAGAATCCATAATTTCAAAAAGTTCCAAAATTGGGCTACTAGTTCAAAAGTTACAGCCTTTTGAATTGTCTTTCGAAATTGGTTTCTAGTCTATAACTTTTGATTGAGAAGTCTGATTGAAAAAGTACGAATTGTTTTGGGTTCTACGCACCAAAATTAATAAGAAAATGTGTTCTCCCGAGAAATTTTGGTGCAGTCGATTTTTGGTAAAAAAGGAAGGTTAAGTATTCAAATACTATGCGAAGTATTCGAATACTTTACGAAGGATCCAAATACTTTGCGAAGTATTCGAATACTAAATATTTGTGAAAGTATTTGAGTTACAAATACAAATACTGCTTCCATAAAAGTATTTAATTACAAAGTATTTGATTACTTTAAAGGATTTGAATACTAAAAAGTACAAATTCGAATACTGCCCAGCTCTGACCGTACAGAATGTAAAAATATAAATACATCGGCACGATACGACGAAAATGACTTGACGTACGTATATAGATCGGTACGCAAAATAGCAGAGTGCGACATCAACAAAAAAATAAGTTTTTCAAAAAATCTCTTACATTTGAATATGTAATATAATACGTTTTTTATACTGATATATCAAAAAAGTATATTCTGTAATCATATACGTCATGGAAATTCGTATTTGCCATTAAAAATATATGCCCCCCCCTTGACGCCACTGACCACAAATTTAAAGCACGCAGATTGGTAGCAAACTTTATAATTGTGGATACCATAATATATTCTTGAAAATTAGGTGAGCCGTTCATTTCTCCACAAATATCACCGAAAGTAAAACACGCACGTACTTTTGGTTTCTCACAAGGTTTTGCCCATTAGAAAACAAAACGCACACGTACCTCTTGCTTTCCACTTATTAATGTAACACAAACGTATAGTAGGTGCCAAATCTCCAATATTCGATTGTACTATGTACTTGGTCTTTTGGTGGGTTGTAGGTGAATTCCAGCAGCAACGGCAACTTACTTTCCAAAAGGTTTGAAATCAGTATCTTATTCTTGTTTTGAAGATATATATATTTAGTGTCCCAGATAAAATTTCCACCCTGTGTGTGATAATTTAAAATAGACACAACGCATATAATTAATTAAAATTAAAAGAAACGTGTAGTGGGTGCCATTAAGGAACTATGGTCTTCCCTATCACAGTGGATTAGCAAATTGGAGTTGAGTTATGAACTAATAAATCCAAGAGGCTTTTGATTATCTACCTCATTCAGAATATATCAGGGTTTATTTAATTACAGGCGCTCTTTTCAGTTACCGTATCAATGGCATGTGCCGCAATGCACATGTCTTGGCCGTCGCCTACGCTACCTCTTCTAATGTCAGACAAATCTCCAATAGGACGAAGAATAACTCCGGTAAATGTATCACCGCAATTGTTTACATGCGAACGGTTTGGTTTTAGGAAGAAGGATCATGGTTGGCTTCCAGTTTTCTACTGGGCTCAATACCCGGGTGTCTCTTTGCAGGATCTGTTATAGAAAGATTCGGGCGTAAACCAAGTCTACTGTTCGCAGGTATTCCACTACTTTTACCGTGGATAACTACGATATTTAGTGACTCTCTGATTGTTCTGTGCATTGTAAGATTTTTCGGGGGAATCGGCCTTGCCTTTATTACAACGGTACGTATTATCATTCGATCGATCACATGAAGCCATGGTTTCCAGGCCGCTCCAATGTACGTTGGGGAAATTGCCGAAAAGGACATCAGAGGGAAATTGGGTTCGGCCTTCAACATTCTGCGATTGGCAGGTTCTTTGTACGTCTTTAGCGCCGGACCGTTTATATCGTATCTGGCCCTGGCGATTACCTGCGCCATATTTCCCGTTTTATTTATCGTCGCTTTCGCATTTATGCCCGAATCGCCCTACTACCTCATGAAAACCAATCAGCAAGAGTTGGCGAAAAGAAATCTGATTAGGTTGTCAAGTACATCGGCCAACGTGGATTTTATTGACAGGCGAATGAAAGAAATTGAGGCAACCGTCGATTACGATATGAGGAATCGCGCAAGCATTCGGGAGTTGTTCACAAACAAACTGTATCGAAAATCGATTATTGTTATTGCTGGTATTGGGGCGTTGTGCATACTTTCAATGTTATAGTTTTTCGGTTTTAGGGATAAAGACGGTTCAGCAGCTGAGTGGTGTGGCCGCAATCGAAGCATATACCCAGAGCATTATTCAAGAGAGTGGTAGTAGCATATCTCCAGCAGTTTCCAGTATAATCGCAGGACTGATACAGTTTCCCGCAGGTTATTATTATTATAACATTTCAATTTGACCATAGGTCGTTTTTAGCACTTCTCGCCGGCTACCTCGCGGACAGAGTTGGACGTAAACCTTTGATGATAGTTTCATGTCTCGGTTGCGGTATCGCCTTAACGAGCGAAGGTATCTACTTTTACCTGCAAAATATTGCAAAGGCCGATGTGAGTAGCATATCCTGGCTACCCACCACGGCTCTACTTTTATACCTGGTGATGAATCCCATCGGAATTTTTACCCTACCATGGATTTTACTAGGAGAACTGTTTGCTACGAACATAAAAGGATACGCCGTGTCAATGGCGACGTGTTATGGAAGTTTACTGGCGTTCCTCGCCACCAAACTCTTTCAACCAATTTCGGACGGTTGGGGAATGAACGTTACCTTTTGGATATTTGCCGCAATATGCTTTTTTGGTGCGGTTTTTTGCTACTTTTTTCAACCCGAAACTAAAGGGAAAACTCTGGCCGAAATTCAACAAAAGTTAAATCGAAGGAAAGAAACCGGATCTCCAGTGGAAACTGGATCCGTACTGGAGACTAAGTTTTAGGAAATCGTCTATATCTTTAGGAGGACATGCGTATAAAATGTCTTTTACCGTAACCGTAATGTCTACCTGTTGAGTTGTCTTGTAACGCGTTGTTAGTCACGAGAAACGCTGTCGAGTTCGTTATTTAAAAATTAAATAAACAATGTAATCTGAGGCTTGCTCGGGCTACGTTTGATGATAGATAATTTTGGACCGAAGCAGTCATTTTCCGGTACTTGATGAGGAACCCAGAAAAATTCAATCAATTGTCATAATTTAACAATTATAGAAATTGTTTACTAATTGCATTACAAATTATTATTTAACTGACGTAGGTATATATTTAAACCATTACCTCCTCGTTATGCCAACTTCGCGCTATAGTCTTCAACATTTTAGCAAGACGATTATATGTTACACAAATAATACTCCTATTAGAGTTATCCTTGTAGGCACAGGTTTTTCCTTCAAATATTTAAAAAAGGTCAAATTGCCAATTTTGTGGTTCACGCTTCAAAAGTGTTAGGTACAGCTCAATTATATTAAAGTATACATTTTGTTTCTTTACATATGGAAGCAATGAAATGAATCCTTTAAAAAACACGCAATTTTGATTTGGAGAGGCGCTCGTAACACCACCAGAATGGTGTTTAAATTCCAAACATCTTATTTAAATATATCAACTTGGCATGTTTATGGCACTATGTTGATTATTGGGCTCACATACCTAGTGGTTACTATGATTTAGAGAAAAGAACTTGCTGAAGATAAGTTCACCTTAGAACAATCGCATCGTATGTTTAAAATTTCATTGAAAGATATTTCCAAACGACCGGGCCTTAGAATTATGTGCAGGTGCACCATCCTGCTGTACCCAACAGTTGCAAACTGTCGCTGTGAGCATATTATCAAGAGATCTATAATATGGATAATAGGAAAGTAATACAAATCTTCATCAATAAAAGTATCCTCTAACTCGTCTTGCAGTAAATGTAATGTTAAAGTATCATGGTAAATGAATAGTCCTACAACTTGTATAATACCGAAAATACCAGCTCACATATTAAAACCAAAACGACGTTGATGCATTCGGCTCGCTCGGCATTGGTGTGCAAAAAAGTGTAGTGTGTGTTTTAGGTACACTTTTTGCATATTTGAAGGGCAACTCTACCTATTAACGAAATAATTGGCGTTAACCCTCGACAATATACTTAGGTCGTATGTTGCTATATTTATGGCGTTAAAAAGCATCGTTGATGATTTGTACAAACCGCAAAGATCAAGTTAACGGTCTAGAAAGACAATTTCGATAATTACTCGCGTTAAATTTTTCATATTTGTATTAATTGTCATCAAAATAAAGTTCCAACCTTTGTTAATCTTGAAATAGACTCGTCCATTAGTTTGACGTTTAGTTTTTTTGAAATGGCGGAAAATTCTCATTTTAAGGAAATTAAGGAAAATACGCGTTTTCGTGGCGACAAAAGGCTTCCAACACATGCGGATGGAAATTTTAGAAAGTTTAAGACCCCGCACAGAGGCGCCCGCGCCCTGTTTGACTCAAAATTGCTAAAAAAAGCTTCACTGATGAAAAGGGTTTCTTTGCAAATTTAAGGGTGAAGGAGTGTAATAATCAAATTTTGGTCGTATGAATGTCACCTCAACTTTTCACAGACTACCTGATTCCGTTGAGAAACTTCAGTTACCTCAAAACCGGCCGTGACCTTCAGTTGCGTTTTACCATTATTGTTTCGTTGCCTCGAATAGATTTTGGTTTGTTTTTTTTTAATTCATCACAGACTACTTGATTAAAATATAAAAACCGTGGATATAACTGGTAAGTTATTTTCGATCTTATGCTATGACAGCCCGTTGAAACGAGAATTAAAAAATCTATCAAGTAATCTAAAAATCCAATTTGGAGCGTATTTAACTTTAGGAAATTGGAAAATGTTCCTCAAAAGTAGCCATCTTGAATTTTTTTGACATCAATTCTAAAAAAATCCAATATGGCTTCTATTTAACATTAAGAAGTTGGTAAATGTTCCTGAAAAGTAGCCATTTTGAATTTTTTACGTCAATTCTAAATTAACCGTATCAAAGACAGCAACTTTTATATAAAACTCTTTTTTTATATCTCATACTTTCTGATGATATAAGACATTCAAGGAAATGACAATTTTTGTTTTTTTGAATGTACGTCGACCTATTCGACATTTTGAATTTCCACAAGGGCATTTTAAATAAGCATCTAAAACTGCAAATTGTCCATTTAACCAATTCTCTATATCTTTAATAATAAGAAAGTTATCCAGGCAATCCCACGCGATCTGAGGCACCGAAATTACGAAATAGAAGTCGAAATTACGACATTGAAGTCGGAAATCATAATATAAAAAAAATAAAAAAGATGTGACGCTTCCGTACATCCTCAGTGATGAGCAAGAAAACATTTTGTACCATTTTTGCATCCAATCTTACTTCGAGAAACTGCCATATGCTTTGAGGTTTGCCAGTAATTTGCTAAAAGTTCTCTTATTTGATTGTCTCCTATCAGGATACTTCTGCAAATACATAACGGGCGATTAAAAATTAATTGCTGCTGAGTCGCCTTTGGAAGTTAAATACGATTTCCCATGTAAACAAAAATTCCAAAGGTGACTCGACAGCAACTAATTTTTGATCGTATGGTACGCTCCGAAACAGAATAATTTCGATTGTCTGAAATGAAACATGCCATTATGTCAAACTTATTTTCTTCGTTAGAAAACATAATGAATAGAAGAAATTCTAATTATCTTTGAGTACTAATTATTAGGTAATTATTATACAATACATTAAACCTCAAAATAACACACTTTTTTCTTGTTGATATATGCGGTGTTCTACCTTTGGACTATTATAATTAACTGTATAGGTAATTAAACATTATATCAATCAATTATGTTTTCTAATGAAGAAAGCTTCACATGGTAGGACCTTTCATTTCATTCAACTGAAACCCTTCTGTAATAAGACCCGAAAAAAAGCTAAACCGCGTTTAAACGAGGCCTACGATACTTACAGGCCGGAGCGCTCAAAAAAGTCACGTGACGTTAGGAGTCATATGAAATACATTACGGCTTATGGAAAATCCGTGCGCGGCTCCACTATTTATTTTTTTACTCCGGATCCGTTCAACATATAGCCACGAAATTTCATTGAGAGCTTGTCAATAGTACACACAATTAAATTATGGTGTTCGTTAATTTTTAATAACACTAAAAATAATTAATTTTTAGGTTTAAAGTATTGAAGATAAAACGATGTTAGTAAATCCGCGTCTTTCTATCTTTACACCATCATATTTCTTTTTCTGGGAACTATATCATTATAATCCTTTTGGTGTCTTAAACTAGAATGATTATGCGTATGTGATGCCTTATCTGATAGTATAGTTTTAACAGGCCCTACAAAATCGCCATTTATTATCCGCGCAGAGAAAAATTCAACATGCGAGAAACTTTTTTGTTATTGCTATAATTGTATCACATATATCGAATGAATTGTGACCAAAGAACACAAAAATGTTTTTCAGAAGGAATTTTTAAGAAATGGTCTCTTGTTTCCTTTTTTTCAGCAGCTGAAGCGCGATTTCAGAATAAGTGAACGCGCAAAGGAATTATTATGTTTCAAATAATTGTTAGTAATCGATTTTCAAATTGTGTTTGTGAGATTCAAGAGGAGTATTTTGCATCAAAGATTTTGTTTCGTCGTGTAATTTAGCAGAAGATGAGGCGATGTTAAATATAAGTATTGAAATATTCTAAGATTTAGAAAACGACACAACAGTTACTTCTGAAAACGAAAAAAAAACGGCACTGCCTATTCCTTACAATCTGTACTTTTTACTAAAACTGCTGTAAGTTGGATAGAAAATGCTATTTTTTAAAACTTCCTTATTCAAAAGGTTATTTTTATTTATTCATAGAATGAAGATGAAAGCCTACGATGCTTACCAGGCCTCTTAGGCGGACAAGGCAGATCCCATTTCACTTTAACACGAGAAGGTATAACTAAAATACTTTATGTACTGCAAAATTCATATTAACGAAGATATAAGAGATACTCCATACTTTTGACTGATAATATCTTTAATTTTATAGTTTAATGTAAATTTGAATCTCACAAACACAATTTGAAAATGGATTACTAACAATTATTTGAAACATAATAATTCCTTTGCGCGTTCACTTATTCTTGAAATCGCGCTATTTACTTCAGCTGCTGAAAAAAAGGAAACAAGAGACCATTTCTTAAAAATTCCGTCTGAACAACATTTTTGTGTCCTTTGGTCACAATTCATTCGATATATGTGATACAATTATAGCAATAACAAAAAAGTTTCTCGCATGTTGAATTTTTCTCTGCGCGAATAATAAATGCGCGATTTTGTAGGGTCTTTTAAAACTATACTAATATCAGATTAGGCATCATATACGCATAATTGGGGGCGAATATCATTCTAGTTTAAGACACCGAAAGGATTATAAGTTCCAGTTCCTAGAAAAAGAAATATATGATGATGTAAAGATAGAAAAACGCGGATTTACTAACATCGTTTTATCTTCAATACTTTAAACCTAAAAATTAATTATTTTTAGTGTTATTAAAAATTAACGAACACCATAATTTGATTGTGTGTACTATTGACAAGCTCTCATTGAAATTTCGTGGCTCTATGTAGTCTCAATATACAAGTTGATAAGTACCTGGACCCAATAGCTCAGCCGCTTTCTTCCATACAGGTTACGTTAATATTAGAACTCTTGTATTGTGGTAACTAGGTATGATATTATGAAGGGTAACTATGCTATTATGAGAATTTATTATTTTGGGGCACTTTTCACGCAAGTTCACTAATAAATTAAGTACGCAATAAATGTCATGTTACGATAAAAAAATAAATAGTGGAGCCGCGCACGGATTTTCCATAAGGCGTAATGTATTTCATATGACTCCTAACGTCACGTGACTTTTTCGAGCGCTCCGGCCTGTAAGTGTATCGCAGGCCTCGGTTTAAACCATAAAGTACCTACCTACACATAATTGAATTCAGAGTGATTAAGAATATTATACCGGAATACCAGGCCCTTTTTTAAGAAAAACTGAATTTGATTATGGTTCCGCAAAGACGAAACGCCGGATTAAAACGATAGCAATTCCACTTTAAAGAGCAAGAGCATTACGAGTTGCTGTAGGGAAGTGTCATTGGGTTTCCTCAAGATCAAAATAGTAGTACATCTGATTTCTGTTTCCCCGTCATTTTGTAATCAAATTTCGATGAAATGAAAGTTGGCCTCACAAACTAATTTGCATTTTTTTTAATGGAACACCCTGTATGTTATTCGATATTTCATTTTTTCTCTCAATTTTGAGCATTGTAAGAAACATAATGTAATCGTTTCCGAGCGTTTGACTTTCCCGCATACCCTTTACGCTTCAAATAACTCCAAAGAAATAAGTCCAATGGGGTCAAATCGCACGATCTTGGGGGTCAGTTGACATCAACTTTTCGGGAGATAATTCGTCCACGGAACTTCTCGTGCAGATCCAGACCGGACCAGCATGTGTTTTGGATGTTATATCTGCCACAAACCCTGGCGTAACGAATTTCTGCACAATTCTACCAACTGTTGTTTCGATAGGCTGATTATATTGACCGAAACAATTACGTAAGGCACAAAAACGTTTTTTAACGCCCATTTTTGTATTTTCGACTTTTGACACCCCCTATACCAGGAAACTATATGACTTACAGTAGAGCTTTGCTGGCGAGTTTCATGGTTCCTGTGAAGTATTTTGTTCTACGGGTCTGGTAAAAATTTTACTATAACAATAAATTTTGTTGTAACAAAATAATTAATACCACGGCTAGCTCAGTAATCAATAAATTTGATATGATGACATCATGACCGCCAAATATAATTACCTAGATTTTTATTATTCGCAATTAGCAAACACTTGGTACAAAATTCTATTCAAAAACAAATTTAACCGCCTTTGGATGCTAAATAAAATTTAACCCACTCAACATTGAACCTAAAATACAACTTCACAATTAATGAGAGAAACATATACCAATGTCTTCGATTTGGGTTCACTTATCATTCATAAAAAATACACAAAGTTGTTCCCTGGATAAATTCTCGTAGATCGACCTCTTCGGGAATGTTAGAATGACTACACATAAATCTCTTGAACAAAATTGTCTCCTATGGTTACACAGTGCAAACAATTCAAAATAACTTACGTTTATCGATGAGTAAAAATTTTCTCCAATCGACAGTTGATTTTTTCCTTTGGGAGGGTAACAGCAATTTAGAACATTGGATGGTAGAACGCCTTGTAAAATACGATTGGATTTTTTGTATGGCTAAGTTTGAAAGTGACTCTCGAAAGCTGGATGACGAATTTGACTCTAGAACAAACCGTTACCAATCTTCCGCAGTAGGAAAATGTCCTAAATTACCCAATTTAGCATTTTGACAGCGAACAAAAACACAAATCAATTGTATTTAAACTCTTTTACCAGTTGCTGTTTAATATTGTAGCAGAAGCTTTAATTTCATTAATTTCAATTCAAGTTTAAAGATACTGCTCGAAATTGCAAACTTGGTTTGCCGTAGTAAAAGCAGGCGCTGGAGGTTGCGTTACAGGAAAGGAAAAATGCGCACAATTGAGAACAAATTCTACTGACTAAAGGCCTTGTGGTTTTTGGTCAAGATAATTTGCATTTATTCCACGCTAGCGCCCGGTTTAGGTATGAATATTACAATTATCCTAGTTAAACAGAATTGTCACGACTCATTCAATTTTAATACAGTACAAATAAATCCAACAGTTCCCGCGATCTTCTTTCAAAAATCCACCCGCCACAGCTACCAGGGGAAACTAGATCTACTACTACCCGTATACTCAATAGAGTGTTGTTTTATAAACTTGTTTTCTAACGTAACTAGCCACTCCAAATATAGCGCAATTACATGTTTTGCACCTTGAACCCCAACGATTTCATGGTAGCAATTTTTGAGAGCACGCTAACCTGATCGTGCAATCACCCACACCTATTCACGTACGGTAAAATTCCCTTGTACATCAAAAACGACTCTTATTATTGGTTTTGTTCGCTAAGGCATGTTTATAGTATCCACGACAATAAATTCGTCGAAAACGTTTGCGATATGAAAAAAATTGAGAACTAATACGGATGATTAGCGTAAAGAAATGTTTTCTACAAAAAAGCTTAATACATTTTTGCTCTAAAATAATTTGGAGAGCCAATAATCGCATGTTATGAATTTTACATTTAAATCCCTATGATGCGTTACGCAAGTCACCACCCTGTATATGCAAATGACTTCAAGGGAAAGCTTAAATTCAGAATTGTGTTTAGCCTCACTACCACCAACCGAAGAAGCTGCCAAACAGCACATTAATATCATGAATCTTTTTTTTTTATATATTGATGTATTGCTCCATGTGAATTATTTTGGATATATTTAATGTAGCAGGTAAGTAGAGGGAAGCAAATAATTGAATGTTTTTATTTTCTTTAGGTTATAGATTTCGAAGCTCACTTCATCATCAGACCTTGCTAAAATATATAAACGACTCTAGTGAGCCGATAACCTAAAGAAAATAAAAACATTCATTTATTTGCCTCCCTCTACTTACCTGCTACATTAAATCATGAATCTTCTTTGGACACCGGTACAGATTTAAAATAATTTTAAGTCCTGATTTAATTAAAACTGCTATATCTGCATTATGTTTTTGAAATACATCTAAGTCTCGACACAGATGTGAATAATTACCCAATTATTGAGTATTTTACTTTAAAATCCTTATTTTCAAAATTGGGCATACAAAACAGTTTTAACTAATTCAGATATTTACCAAAGTTTAAAAAAATCCATATTGCCAAATCATATAAATTTCAATAACTTTTTTGTTTTTTGATCAATAGGTTTAAAATTTTTATTACAGGTGACTTTTGATTTTTTTGATATAATGTATACTTTACGAAATATTTAATAAATTCGAAAAAAATCAAGATGGCGGCCATTTTTTTCCAAGTTCCACCAATGCGGCAAAGTGCGATTTTTGAGGGGTTAATAAGGACCCTGTTGAGTACTCATTTCCGCAGAGATCACTTTGTTACTAATTTTTTCTACCTTAACCACCTATTTTGACTAGCCTAAATTTAACGTAAGAATTTTCAATAGTTTGCTCTAGAAATAAACGTGCACCCACACCCGCAGACGATTCCATTAGCACTTAGACTCCCACTGCCACTCCGTACTTCGGATAGGAGCAAGGAGAAAGATACGACGGATGACAAATAGGGTGAGATACATCACGGAAACTTGAATTCTATATGCCTTAAATGCTGGGAACGCAATGTATTTAAAAACAACGATTTCTGTAAAAACTGGAACGATATCTAAACTTGCAGCGTTTCTAAAATAATGATCTACATATAGCTTTGGAAAAAAAACATTCGAAAACAAATGTTAACTTATGAAGAGAAAATGCCGGCCACCTTTAGCTATTACCTACACCTTTGGTCATGCCATCCAATGTTATTTAGTTTGGTTAATTAGACAAGCCTTCAATTAGTGGCACATTATCTGTCACGTAAGGGAACTTTTAATTGGGTACCTACATAGAGAATGTGGATAAACTAAATTACCTACATTTTTGTGTTTAGAAAATTGAATCTATTACTTTTATCATTGTTATTATTTTCAACTGGTGCGATATGGTGTAAAACGTAAGTAATTATGCATAAACTTTGGATTGTAAAATATATAGGTACCTAGGTTAATTTTTTTTGCTAATTTATAATTATTATTAATTAAGCCCAGTTCACATGCGAATTAGAGCGTGAACTATATGTGTCACTTTCTTTTACTATCGTTATTAATTATCAGTTGAAATACCTAATTGAATTTTCTTTAAGTGAAAGGTGATAAGCCATACATTAAAAGTATATAGACAACTTACACGTACTTATAGTATAACCTAATCCCAACCCCTCTTCTCTAATTATGAAATTAATTAGAGAAATTATTCTACAAGTAAGCTAATAAAATAAATCACACATACAAAGAGGGTACTTAAAATCCATCCAATCCATTGACTATAAACTCTGCAATATTTAATGGTACCTCATGATTCTACCAAATACATGATATGAATGGTAAATAGGGATAAATCTCTATGAGCTCGTATAGAAGAAAATATATACCCTTTCTGCAATTTTAATTAGCACAAAAAACGCTTTTCTTGTAATTAAAGGTCTGTAGCCCAACCTTCCCTTTTTCAAGAAAAAGTTTCACTTTCTGAACCAAAATTCTCAGTTTACCCAGAAGATTTGGTTTCTAAATTTAGCACAAATTAGCAGAAGCATAAAGTGTGTCAACTTGCTCTAATATTTGTTTAAATAAAATTGTGAAATGAAAATTGTTTAAATTATCATTTAAACATTGATATCACGAACGAAGATTATTGAAACTAATTTTTGTATTAAACCTTATTAAGTAATGGAGGTACACATTTCCCATAACAATTGTTACGTGAACGTTAATTGTTGCTGCTTTGTAATAAACAATCGGTTTTGATATTTGGATAAACACACAAGGTTACCAATTTATACAAAACCTGTAAGTCAACATTTAAACGTTTTATTTAATGGCAGAACGCAAACCGCCTCGTATGAATACTATGTACTGACCCATAATAACAACACGCGGCGTTCTCCACACTCGCATGCTACGTGTTTGCGCAAAATACATGCCAAAATAATAAGCGAAAATAATTATGCATTCCTGCAATTAGTATTTCCCACTTATCGTTTTTATTGTGCAGTGAAACTAGAAAAAATGAAAATTTTTCCTGTGTTGGATAACATCCGGTATATGCAATATTGTGCTACAGTTGCAGGTAAATATTTGGCAACCCTTAAATTCTTTAATCAAAAATGTGGTACCGATTCTTATTTAATTTAAACCACCTAACTCCAGCAACCCTTTCCATGGCAAGTTCGTCATCTCATTTGGCTTGGTCATCACCATCTCTTCCGAAAATTACATCGGAAAACTCTCCGATTGGTGTGACGATAACGAAAGTAAGTGAAAAACGATCGCCAGTAAAAGATCTCAAACTTGATTTTAGGACGAAGGGTCATGGGTGGCATCCAGTTTTTGGCTAGGTTCCATTCCGGGCTGCGTTTTTGCCGGATGGGCCGTCGAAAGATTTGGACCACGCAGGTCGCTCCTCTTCAGCTTCTTTCCGTTATTTATACCGTGGATTGCAGTTACCTTCGCAAAATCTAGCATCACCCTCTGTATCGCTCGATTCGTAGCGGGAACAAGTTTTTCTATAATCACAACGGTAAGTTCTCGAACGAACTTAATTTAGACGCTGACGGTCTTTTTCAGAGTGGCGCGATTTATGTGGGCGAAATATCGGAAAAAGACATTAGAGGGAAGTTGTGCACGACATTCAATATAATGAAGCTTTCTGGAAGTTTATTTGTTTTAAGCATCGGACCATTTGTATCATACACCGTATTAGCGATAAGCTCTAGTGTTCTTTCTGTGATATTTGTGTTAGTATTTTATTTTATGCCAGAATCGCCACATTATTGTATTAAAGTAGGGCGCCGAGAAGAAGCTCTGCGGAATCTTACTCGACTCTCTTGCAATAACAGAACTAAAAGTGATATTGACGAACAATTGAAAGATATTGAAATGACCGTCAGTTACGCCATGCAAAACAAATCCACATTGTGGGAGTTGCTGTCCAAGGAGGAGTACAGAAGATCAGTGATTGTGATCACGGGTAGGTATACTCGGAACATACACCGTTTCACTCTTTGTTTAAGGTATCAAGATGATTCAGCAACTGACTGGGTATTCGGGTATTGAGGCTTACATGCAAACTATAATACAGAGTAGTGGCAGCAGTATCAGTCCTGAAATTTCTAGTATAATTTGTGGTGTTGTGCAGTTACCAGCAGGTATACTATCAGAGGGCTTTAGGCCGACCTCCTTCAACAGTACAATTTTAGCACTATTCGCTGCAGTGGTAGTAGATAAATTGGGACGAAAGCCTCTAATGATAATTTCATGCTCCGGCTGCGGAATTGCACTAGTAGGAGAAATGGTTTACTTTTACCTGCAAGACGTTGCCAAAGATAATGTCGACAGCATAGCATGGTTACCAACAACTGGACTAATGTTGTACCTAATAATGAACCCCATTGGGATCTTTACATTGCCGTACGTGCTACTTGGGGAATTATTTGCCACGAACATAAAATCAGTTGCACTATCCGCGTCTACACTATTTGGTGTAACTTTGGGTTTCTTGGTAACCAAATTTTTCGAACCAACTGCGACCGCCTTAGGTCTGCATACGGTTTTCGGACTATTCGCCGGCGCGTGTGTGCTGGGAGCTTTATTCGCTTACTTTGTTCAACCGGAAACGAAAGGAAAAACTTTTCAAGAAATCCAAGTTAAACTCAACAGGGGAAAGGATACAGAAAACAACATTGAGCGATATGCAATTACCCATATGTAAATATTTTACGCTATTAGACTGGCATTTATCCAACAACAAATGGATAATTAATTAATCACGAGATACAATTATTTTTTATGATTGTGGTTGCTCCCACAAATTAAACACTTACAAGTAAATTACCCATTTATTTTAATTGGGCTGATAACAGTGCATAACACGGCTTGTTGAAATGATCCGAAAACAGTATGTGAACAAGAATGCCTTTACGTCGTAGATACATTCTATTAGAGAATAGAATCCAGAAAGACCGTGCAAATAAACAAATTCATAATTGTCAAATTAATAGGTATTGTATTTGGGATAGTGTCAAAAATAGTGAAATTTTGGTTTGCGAAATGCATACACCCTGTAACAATTGCTAGATTTCATAAATTTTCTAAATATTGAACCAAAAATTTCTCCATTTTTATGTCATCAACTAAATTAGTACTATATAGAAAACGAAGCTTTTGCCCTGGCAATTTTTTCAAAATGGAACTTGAAATACTGACAATAGGTAAGGAACAGCCTAAGGATCATATCATGCGGAAGGGCGCTTTCGACCTGGGGGTGGTTTTTATTGTAATTTTAACACAGGAATACATAGAAAAATTGATTCTAAGCAAAAAGTGTTCTATACCTACATTCTTTTGGAAAGTTAATACTTCTCCAGTTATTCGCGACCGAAGGTACGAGCTTTTGATAGAAAATGACAATGTTTTTAATTGGTTATTCGCGAAAAACTCGGAAAAGTATACATTTTACAAAAAAAAACTGTGAAGAACAAAATCGTAACTTTTAAAAAAATAAAGAAAATGTTGTTTTAATAATTGCTGTATGACCATAATACGAACCGAGGTTAGCTCTTCTTCAAACGCTAGGTAAATTAGAGAGTTTAACAGTCAAAACTATGCATTTTTCGAGAAAAACTTGTAGAATATTTTTTTTAGTATTTAAAAAACCTTTCTTCTTTTTTTAAAAACAGGCTTTAGCATAAAAGGTGAAAATAAGGTAGATCCGTATTTTTTTCACCGAAAAAATCTAATTACCACCCTAATTAAAATTAGTCCTTCCCCTTTCCCAGTTTTCTTTAATTACGTATTATTAATACATTCTAGAAGTGTGACCAGTTTAGAAGACTTAATTTTGAAATAATTGAAGCTAAAAGTGAATAACGAATTTATGCAATTTTGTGAAAAAGAGATACGTAAAAAATGCTATAATAATAATAATAATAAGTTTATTTCTGTTAATATGCTATAAAGAGGCATTTACAGACGTCAAAATAAAAATATATATGTTTGCAGTTCTCTCGATAACCGACCATTCCCAATACTCTTATAGCCCTACGTTGTAGAGAAAATATTCGATTTGCCGAAGACGTGTTTCCCCAAAGGATGTTACAATAAGAGATTTGCTTGTATTAGGGAGGCATATACTCAGCGACGGACCTATGGGGGGAGGGGGGGGACAGGCTACCTCTCCAATTTTCTTGTCTAGGTCCGTCCCTGTTGGATTCTATGCACCAAAATTAATAAGAAAAAGTGTTTTCCCGAGAAATTTCGGTGTAGTCGATTTTTGGTAAAAAAGGAAGGTTAATCACTGCCTTTTTTTGAGGCCCGCAAAAAAATTGTCTCAGATCGACCCGGAAATAGAATGTGGCCTGTAGAATCCATAATTTCAAACAGTTCCAAGATTGGGCTACTAGTTCAAAAGTTACAGCCCTTTGAATTTTCTTTCGAAATTGGTTTCTAGTCTAAAACTTTTGATTGAAAAGTCTAATCAAAAAAGTACGAATTGTTTTGGATTCTACGCACCCAAATTAATAAGAAAAGTGTTTTCCCGAGAAATTTTGGAGTAGTCGATTTTTGGTAAAAAAAGGAAGGTTAAGTATTCAAATACTATGCGAAGTATTCGAATACTAAATATTTGTGAAAGTATTTGAGTTACAAAAACAAATACTGCTTCCATAAAAGTATTTAATTACAAAGTATTTGAATACTTTAAAGGATTTGAATACTAAAAAGTATTTACAAAGTCGAATACTGCCCAGCTCTGCATTGAAGTACAATTGCTTTACAATTCCTACATGAAATTGCACATTCATTCTCAACTACCCTTTAAGGAAAATTGAGTCGGACGTGGCTATTAAGTGCATAAATTAAATTTTCTTTGGAAGGTAATTTCGTACGTGGCGACATCTCATTGGAACAGGTTCAAATATTACAAGAAAATAATAAGGAAAAGTATAGGGATTACCAAAGAGATGGCGCAAATGTACAAATTGCATACACAAAAGACAATTACAGATACTGGATCATTGAAGTACAATTGCTCTACAAATCCTACATGAAATTGCACATTTTCAACTGCCCTTTAAGGAAAATTGAGTCGGAGGTGGCTATTAAGTGCATAAATTAAAATGTTCGTTGGAAGATAATTTCGTACGTGGCGACATCTCATTGGAACTTGTTCAACTATTAATAATTAATAATAAGGAAAAGTATAGGAATTACCAAAGAGATGGCGCAAATGTACCAATTGCATTCACAAAAGACAATTACAGATACTGGATCATTGAAGTACAATTGCTCTACAAATCCTACATGAAATTGCACATTTTCAACTGCCCTTTAAGAAAAATTGAGTTGGTCGTGATACGCCGAACAAAAATAAAATTTATTTGCCCAAACCGACACTCTTTTTTTAAAAAATCACCGACACACCGCAGTATATTATACTATAACTTATTACCCCAAACAATAAAAAGTAGCCGATCACTGAAGCAGTTCAAAACTAAAATACGACGTTTCCTAGCGGCCAATGTTATTTACAATGAGGGCGAGTACCTCTCTGTATGTGAAAATGTTATTGTCCATTAAATGTTTGTTAGTCTGACGTTGTAATACAATTGTGCATTGTTTTTTACAAAAATAAAAATGAAATGAAATGAAATGAAATAAGTGCATAAATTAAAATGTTCTTTGGAAGGTAATTTCGTACGTGGCGACATCTCATTGGAACTTGTTCAACTATTACAAGAAAATAATAAGGAAAAGTATAGGGATTACCAAAGAGATGGCGCAAATATACCAATTGCATACACAAAATACAATTACAGATACTGGATCATTGAAGTACAATTGCTCTACAAATCCTACATGAAATTGCACATTTTCAACTGCCCTTTAAGGAAAATTGAGTCGGACGTGGCTACAGCCCTTTCAATTTTCTTTCGAAATTGGTTTCTAGTCTATAACTTTTGATTGAGAAGTCTGATCGAAAAAGTACGATTTGTTTTGGATTGATATACTATCCTTAGAATGTCGGTTGAAACACTCTGAGATAGACGCCGTAATAGATATGTGTTTCGATTGATAATTTTCCCAATTTCGTTTATACGAGTATGCACACTAAATGTAAGTTTCGGGTCTATCTGTACTCCCCAGGAACTTCACATGAGGAGGATTAGGAATGTCATGCTGTCTAAGTGATATCAACATGTCCTTCGTTTCATTTAAGCGTAATTCATTTGCGTCACACCATTCTTTTGCCCGACTTGTAGCAGCCTTACAACCAAGGACAACATTATGAAGACTTTCATTGCTGATCAGTATAGTTGTGTCGTCGGCATATTGTATACATGTTCCAACGTCTTCTAGATGATACGCTAAGTCATTTGCGTATATAATAAATAGAAATGGCCCCAGGATAGATCCTTGAGAGACGCCCTTCTTTAACTGTAGAAATTTCGAGATAGTTCCATTTACACATACAGATTGTTCCCTATTTTCCAAAAATGATGCAATTAATAGTAAACTTGTCTCGCCGAAATTATATATTGCCTCTCTAACTTCTTGATTAGAATTTCATGAGATACGCTGTCGAATGCGCTGGAGAGGTCGAGATAAGTGGTCATGGTAATGCTGCCCGTTTTCAAAACAATCAAGATAGAATTGTATGAATTTTGTAGCAGCATCGGAAGTATTCCTATTCTTGCGAAAACCATATTGATTTTCAAATAAAATACATTGGTCTTCAAAATGCTTAGATATTTGGTTATGAAATACTTTCTCTAATACTTTGGAGAATACGGGTAAGAGTGAGATGGGTCTATAGTTCTCAGGTTTATCTGTTGGACCTGTTTTGCATAAGCATTGCATAATTTTACATTTTTCATAGCATCTAATTGTAGCTTTTTTAATCCCAAACATTTTCCTCACCGGTAATTTTCTGTACGACAAAAATTAAGTTTATTAGGCGTTTAAAATGTGTATTTATATGAGAAAATTACCCTGTTTTAGCCCTAAGCTCACTCAATTTTAAAACTAAGGGTTTTAAAGGGATTTGATGTAAATAGCGTTGTAGCTCTTGTAAAAACCTACAAAATGGTTTTTTAATGCACTTTCTATCATAATAAATAAAGGATTTATGATTAAAAAATGAATCACAATTTTTTTCTAAAAATTCTGAAAGCACAAATCGGAGCATGATGATCGGTATATATATTTCGTATACTCCACATTGGAAACTTACATGCACACTTTCGCACACGCTTCAACTACACCAACATAGCTACCACCACCAACCAGCAGCCAAGAATACCCCCAATATTAATACCTAACTTGGACATCGTGCCTCACATGTGAGAGGCATGGAAGCAATAGCCCGAAAACTCGTCAACATCCGGGCTACCGCGGTAAGGGACCAGGACCAACGCCGAAAATGCCAACAAATTCTTCGTCGGAACGCGATCGAGTTGCATGCGTTTACTCTGTCCCCCGAACGCGACATTAAAGTAGCGATCAAAGGACTCGGCTCCTGTCTTCGCCCCGAAAAGGTTGTGCAAGAGCTACTAGAACGGGGCTTCCATCCCACCTACGTAAAGAAGCTACAAGCAAGGGGTCGCGAGGACAGTAACATGTTCTTCGCTAGATCAGGAACCTGTCCGGAGCCAGCGCCAGCGCCATCACACCGCAATTATATGATCGTTCCTTATGCCCACGTTAAGGCGCTACTTGTTAATTAAATTTACGCGTACGAAGTGTACCTACACTTGCAACATCAATAAGCGTCTCTCTTAGCTAGCCGCGTGCTCAGCTATTTCTATCAAACTAAAAACGGAACCAACGAAACTGCTGAGTGCGACGTCTATCTCAAACCAATAGCAAAGCAACATCTTTTGTTTCTAATGCATTTTTCGTCTCGGCAAAAGGGAAACGTTGCATTTTCGAGATTCCCTGCTCAACCCACGCGAGTTAGATACGTACGTTTCTGGTTAATAACTTACTATAAAACAGAGTGCATGTTTTTTCATACAAAAGTAAAATTACAAAAAGAAAATTTATTCTGCAAAGTGGGGCTACCGTTACATCCTTTTTAACAAAATTTACGTAAAAAATATTCGGTTAATATTAATCATTTTTTAAAGAAATAGGTACGATATCCTTAACAGATTTTCTTTTCGAGTTAAAATATATTTTGCTTTAGTTTTGATGCAAATATCTATGGTAGTACTAACGAACGTATTTTTGTGTGAAAGTTTTGCTGTGAGGATATTTTTTAACTGTCAGATGTCAAATGATGTGCAAATTGGATCGATACTCGCGTGATATTAACTCCGAAATTTTCTTTGAACATTAATATTACTATGACCAACAAATAGAGATCTATTTCGTCTTCCTCATGTTGAACTTTCTGTAGTCGAATGAACGAATCTAGTCCCCGGATTAATCCCTACCTATTTTTACTGATTATAATTAACTTAATTAACTCTATTAAAATGGCCCCTAGTTTAATAAGTAAACCATTTTGTAAAACTGATTGGATTCGTTGTACCCCCTCCCTTCCCCCTGCGCCCGAGTTAATCTGTTATTTTAAAACCCCTGAGTTTTCTGAAAAATTGCATTCTTACAACGTAAGCAATCTCACCCTAATGTTGTGTTTTTTGAGCAAGTAGAAATAAATTAAGGTAAAGCTGAAACCATATACAAAACATAAGCATTTCCAATGCTAAAAAGTTCAACCCGTTACAGAATTCAATTACGCAGAAGCAGAACAAAAATATAACTAACGGAAATGTTAAAATTATCAATACTATACTTCGACCAGCTTGTATACTCTCTGCTTTGAAACTGATACCCATGCGCCCCCCTAGCGAATTTTACCTTTTAACTTTATTTATTTATTTATTTATTATCCTATCCCTCTCTTGTTCTGGGCCCTCAACAGGCTTTCGCCCAATTACAGAGTAACCCGCATAATGCTTTTTAGAAAGCTGATGTTACAAACAGTATCTCCCGTTTTTTGAAAAATCTCTCAATGAGGACTAAAATATTTAATCCACTGCCTATCAATATCATCGCAAGTGGTACACCATAAAGTTTCAAAAAAATGTTCATATGCTCCCTACAAGAACGGGCCTTTTACAGAATATTAATGAATTCATACGGAATAGTCAGAACCTTAATTAATTCAATTGTAATTAATTCAAACTTACACTATCCCTATGGGTCCCACGAGGAGTCAATTGACCCTACATGTATTTCAACTGAATGTTCGTGTTTTTAGATGGTGTACATTATATTGAAATTCGTTAATTATCGTTACTACTTATGTTCCTTATCTCTTAAAATTTTTTGTAATTTCCCGTGGACAGTGCGTTCGAGATAAGAGGGTCACCTCAATATCTCTTTTAATTGGCGAGGTACGATAAACGTGCCATGTATATGATCTCTCCGGTCGCATATTGAAACTTCCGGTACCACTTCCGCACTTCCGGTTCGGCCGGAATTGGGAACAACTTTTGTTTTTCAAATTTAAGATATTGGAAAAGAGCAATCAATTTTCTGTACGACAACATAAAATATGCATATGGTTCTGATATCCAAACAAATGAAGAAATTCGCGATTCCATTTTTAGAAAAATGATGAAATCTAGCATGCCATATGTTGTCAGGATGTGCGATGCCTGTTGTGTTACACGAGGAGCGTAACGCTGAAAAGGAAATCTTCAAAACGGAATGAGTATATGATGTTGTACTGCAAATTGATTGCTCTTTTCATAGATCTCAAAAACACATAGGCATTGTATTTGAATTTGCATCGATTTCCGGTTTAACCGGAAGTTAGACCGGAATATGCGATCACGTAGATCGTAGATGGTGTTGTCGCATACAAAATTATATTTGATCCTTTTTTCGGATCTCGCCAAATAAAAGAGATTATTATCTCGAACACATTGTCTATGAAAAGTCGTAGCTATAAAAGAATTTAAAACAATATTTAAGGAAAGTCAACACGAAAACCGATGCGTCAGCAACGAAACAAAAGTAGGTTAGAGCAAATGTTATCCAATACAGTACAAAACCCAACAATAGTTACAATGAAACCTTTCGTTTAATAAATCTAGTGCCCAAATAAGAAAAAGTCATAAAACCACAAACTTCTGTTTCCAAAAGTAGGGAAAATTAATAAATTTAAACCTTAAACTTGGTCAATTGAATCCTTTTGGGACTTCTAGTCAGATAGACCCATTTGACGTTTCTATAATTGTGACCACAATTTCTAAAGAAACAGATATTATTATTAATAAATTCTGTTTACTGTACTATATGCAAATACCACATTTAAAAAAGACTGATTTTCACAAATCGAGGATAATTGACCGTTCCTGAACTGTTTACTCCCTCTGTATAATTACATAAATTAGGCTTTGAGGTAGGATAGACACGTTCGTCTAGTAGGACGTATTCGAGCGGAGCATGAGACACTAATTAAAAAAGAATGCAGAAAAGTTCACTCCCTGTGAAGGAGTGAAACGGAAACACAACAAAAAAATAATGTACAGTTAAATTTTGAATTTTCTGAAAAAAAGGCTTTCAATTGCAATGGACGAGGTGGAAGATGCTCATACGGCTAACACTCCAAATAGTGACGATCCTGTAATTAAAGAGGTAAGAAAATATTGCAACATATTTCATAAGACAGGTTAAAAAACCATGTGTTAAATAGATACCAGTCTTCTTATCGAAACGTTTGGAGGATCAGCTGTACTTGTTCCAATACCCTCTACGTCCAACGACCAATAAATTACCCGACGTTAAAAAGTGCTTTATAAAACCTAATAATGAAACTGTTAAACTTGAAGTGCAGCTCGACGTTGTTTCGCCTAATTTTGACATTGGAAAGGCGGAAGATGTCGCCCTTCGTGTGGATGGACCCGCCGAGCATCGGAAAAGGGACAAGGAGGTGTTTTTCAAAAATAACCTTCTCGATAAAATAGAGTATGTATCTTCAAAAGTAGGTGATAATGTGGAACGTTACGGTATAGGTATTTTTGATGGACAAGAATATCACATAACACCTCTTAAGGGTTTACTCCGTTTAAAACCTTATTATCCGCATTTGGACCGTGAAGCTAAAAAGAAAGTCGACGCAAAACAGAAAGAGGAGCCCGCTCCTAGCACTAGCACCGCTAAGCAGGTGACTGTAAAGTTCTCGCAGGGCGGAGATGCCGAGAAATGGAAGAAATTGAACGAAAATAGTTACAAAGCGATAATGCAACGTCAGGCCGAGGAGAAATGGATAGAGTGCGACTGGAAACCCCAGAAAAGCGAGCTGAGTAAGTTGGAGAAGATGAAACTGTTCGCGGAAGAAAGTCGCGAAACTGTGTCATCTACAGAGGAAACTGACAATATTGTGGATTATCTAAAACGATTGGTACCTGAAGATAAAGAACACGCAATATCTTTGCCGTCACTCCCTTCAAATGTTGTTTCTTTTAATTCTCTAAGGGTGTTACCGCTCTTGGAGCAATGCAAATTACTTCTAAAGGATGGTATGTTGAAACTTGTTTGTGCAAATGTAAATTTTCCATTTTTAGCCAAAATTATGACCTTTCAGCAGTTGACCATGCTCTTAACTGGTTGCGAAGGTTTAACCGCCGACTCTTTGCTGAAAGTTTTACCGCAAGTGGCGGTATTAGTTAGAGGAAATTGGGTTGTAAAGTCTGAGATTCTATTTCCTAATGGTAGTTTTTCGTCTGTCAGCGGTGTACCTGCAGATATTATGTGTCGCGCTCGGGACTACGTCGTAGGTATCTTTCTACAATAGCGGACATGCGGCTTAACGTTCACTTTTAGCTGATATTATTTACAAAACAGCAATACATAGAGCGGCGGAAGGTTTCCGCAATCATCAAAGTTCCGTCTGAAGAAACCAAAGAGATATTTACGGGCGTGTCAAAACTGAGGTACAGCAAGGGTTGGGAACTTAATCTACCTATCGATTCCGAATTTATTAAGAAGTACCCCGAAGTTGTGAACAAGCAGAGCTCATTATGGGAAATGCGCGAGGTACAGCTAAACAACTTTTTCCACACCAACAAGGAGAAAAGGAGGCGTAAAAGCAAAAGTGTCAGTGAAGATTCGGCTAAAATCGCGAAGAAAGATGGTCAAACCCATGTTAGGGATAATCATTTAAGTGATAGTGCGGAAACGGACAAAGTGAAACGTATAAAAACTATAAAATTAAATGACGTCAATCATAAAGATGAAGTCTCATGATGAACTCTATTTTTAGGTTTTTTTAAAATATGTTCAAAACTAATAATTGTGAATATCGATGGAATGCGTAATGTTAATTTATTATGTGTATGTAAATATATTATAATTTAATATTATTGTTAATTGGAAAACAAGCAAATGTAGTCAGTCTGGAACCAGCCTAGGCTCTTCTGCAGATATAGCTATTTTATTCACTTTTGACATAGGTAGCTTACAGAGTAGCATATTGTCAGATGCTATGGTCATTAATAAAACTTTTGTTACACTCAGACTAAAGACCTAAACAACTGGCGTTTTATAAAATGCTGACAACATGATAATAGGGATACACATGGTGGATTATTGGGGAAAATATACGATAAGATATGAAAAAAGAGGTTCTTCAATGTCTACTAGGATTATGAAGGCGTGCCACATCAAAATTGCATTTTTTTAATGGAACACCCTGTACCTCATTCGATTTTTCAATTGTTCTCTCCATTTTAAGCAAATTTGTTAAAAGCATAATGTAGGAACCAAAATTCAATCGTTTCCGGGTTATCGAGTTCTGAATATAAAAAAACACATGAAAAGAACATTGATTATTATTTATTATTATTATTATTACCACCTCAACCTAGGCGGTGTTTTATGCAAGGCTACCAACCCAAGCCACACTATACATTTACAAGTATCTATGCTCAAACCAGGTATAGGTAGTAAGGCACCCTAATTAGTACCTCAGTCCAACTTCTACGCCACTGCGCTACTAGCTTACATTTGAAATATTTTCTCCAATGATTTCATCAGCTAAAAACGATAATAAAATTCTGATTTTAAATTTTTCCTTAAAGGTAACCAATCTTATAGGCGATCTCCTTTATTGGTTAACCCATTGATTGAGTTATTTCTTCTAGATAATTTGTTTTAGTGTAACTTTCGGGGTTTAAATATGGGTTGAAAGGGGTAATAAAACTGTTTAAATTTTTTTAATTTTTGACCACCCACCACCGCCATCCCCGAAATTGCTGCCAGACGCTCGGTTATGCTATTAGCAAATAACATAAGAAAATGTGTCAATAGCTCTCCTACTAATACTATTATATGCAGGAGATTTGCACATTCAGTTTAAAATGTACCCACTGTATAACGTACCATTGCTGTGTATACAGCGCATATTCTTGTTGGAAGAAAAGGACTATTTCGTTTTTTAAAAATTCGCGCCTATGGATGGCCCACGTAGTAGTAGTTCAAATGTACTTCCGCAACGGTCGATTTGACCTACAAAGTCTAAACTCGCCCTGGCTGTAGCGCGCCCGCTTCTTCAGCCATAATGGCAATTGCAAAAAAGAAAGGGGATGATAAAAGCAATTACAGTGCTGATAGTGCAAGAAACGATGGTGACATATCCTCAAACGAAGAGGAACCTAATTTCAGTGATCCTGATGACTACGTTGATGATATCCCAAATGAAGGTTAACTTTCCTTTATTTTTAGCACCATGCTGTTATCTTACATTTTTTTTTGATTATTGATAATTTGCCGAGGTTTGGATACCTTTTTGGTAGCCAAATACCGGCAACATTAATATTTAATTTAATAGGTTCGCCAATCTGTGAATAAGTGAGGTTATTTTTTCTTTTAGAACTGTTGGGAGATATTCTAAAGCAGAAACCCAAGGAAACCGATGGCGTGGAAAGTGTTATTGTAGTAGATGGTGTACCGCAAGTTGGCCCGGACCGTATTGAAAAGCTTCAATCCGTCATAAACAAAATCTTCTCAAAGTTCGGAAATATTGTGAACACTCACTTTCCGACGAACGAAAAAGGTCACACTAAGGGTTTTATATTTTTGGAATACTCCCTACCGGTACATGCTCAAGAGGCGGTTAAAGCTACGAATAATTACAAGTTAGACAAGCAGCACACATTCTTAGTTAACTTATTTACGGATTTCTCAAAGTACGAACAAATACCCGACAATTGGAAGCCGCCCGAATCGCAAAAGTACGAAGGACAATCGGATTTGTACTCGTACTTGCTGGAACCCGACGCGTACGACCAATTTTCCCTTGCGCTAACTGGGGGAGCGCAAGTCTGGCAGAACACACAACCGGACCCGATCGTACTTCATGATAGACCGGTACCGTACTAAACTACCAATGTTGATGTTAAATTTTTGTATTTCCAGAACTGGACGCAGAGTTACGTTAAATGGTCGCCGCTCGGAACGTTCTTTACGACCTTTCACAAGCAGGGAGTCGCGTTATGGGGAGGTCCCCAATTCTCGCAATATAAGAAGTTCAGCCACGCGGCCGTGCAATTCATCGATTATTCTCCGTGCGAAAAGTATGTTACCACCTACTCGTCGCAGGTTGATGTTCACAATCCTGATCAGAAACGCATCATCATCTGGGATATTAGGTAAATGCCACTTTGAGGCTTGAGATTTAATTAACTCGTTAATTAATCCTTACTCATATTTCTTTGTAAGATTTTGTCTAGGATTAACTGGCTGTGTTTTGTTTTTAAATATTTAACAAAAAGTTCGAATTCATCACCATATATCTTTTATGTACAGGGTGAGTCAACGATTGCGTGGAGTAACTTAATGCCTTGACGATAAGATTTTTCGATAGAGTGCTTTTGTATTATGATATGGTTGAATATTCTCCACATTTTAAAAATATTTGGAATTATACAGAGTGCGCCCACAAAGTAAGGGCGCCAAAATGGTACATTTTTTTAAATAGAACCCCCTGTATTTGAATGCATTTTTGAATTCCACGTGTAATTCGACGTCTTTTTTATTATATGTTAATATCCGAAAAACTAGTAGTTTTAAAGATTTGGGATTTGGCTATCTGAATTCATCAATTTGAAAAAGTTTTACGACACCTATAGTTGACTTACAATAATTTATAATTCTTACTCTACTTGCGAATGTGCTTTCTTTCATTTGCTTCATTACTTTTGATTTTATATGCAACTTTAAAATAACAAAATGTTAGTGGATAAGATATTTCCCCTTTATCGTCGTGTATAATACAAAACTTTATTTTATAGATATTTAGCTGTCAAAAGTAGCAAGCTTCAGTTATACGGTTGTTTTCTTGGAATTTCTGTTCTGAACTACATTTTATTTCGTGTTCCGCGTCTCCATTTTTAATAAGCATAGAATCCATCATTTCTTTCACTTTATTTACCCCTGTGATCACTTTATCTACTTTTAACTGTACCCACTCATTGAAAACTATTAAAATATCAAGTTAAACTCGATTATTTTATGTGTAGGATAATGATTACTTTTCATGGCAATTGGCAAGCAATGAAAAGTTACTTCTCCATATAAAATACGCTATTTTTTATTCAAACTTCTGTAAATTTTCCCCGGAAACGTTTACTTTATTGATAGGTTGTTAAAGGATATTAATAGCGTTCGCTAAATTAAATGCCAAGTAGATGTTACACAGTTAAAATCCAAGATGCCGGCTGAATTTTGTATTTTTCGTTGAAAAATTTAAAACTTTGATTTCAGTGAAATTGTTAACATTGTTTAAAACGCAAAGATATAAATATAATAACAAAAAAATAACCGACGACTTTGTTTTAAAATGGCGGATATCTTGCTATTTAGCTTCAAAGTATTTAAATGGTCGCCATTTTGAAAAAGTGAAGTAGCCAGTGGTTATTTTTTTTATACTTTTTCTCTTTTATTGTATATGTATTTTAAATATTGTTGCTAAATTTCATTAAAGTAATAAACTTAAAAGTTTTTAAATGAAAAATACAAAATTCAGCCGCCATCTTGGATTTTGGAGATTTTGAATATGTTAAAATCGACACTTCACAATAAAAGGAAAAGTATAATCTAAGACTTTTGCTTGCAGAACGGGTCAAGAGAAGCGCAGTTTTAACCCGGATGGTCCTTCCGCATGGCCGATTTTCCGATGGTCGCACGACGACAAGTACTTCGCAAGAATGGGCACGGACGTACTTTCGATCTACGAGACTCCCTCCTTCGGCTTGCTCGAAAAGAAATCCTTGAAGATTTTGGGCATACAGGATTTTAGTTGGTCGCCGACCGATAACGTAATCGCGTTCTGGGTGGCGGAAGATAAGGACGTGCCGGCTCGCGTCACCCTGCTCGAGATTCCGAATCGTAACGAAATTAGAAACAAAAATTTGTTTAACGTCGCCCATTGTAAGATACACTGGCAGAAATCGGGCGACTTTTTGTGCGTGAAGGTGGATCGTTATTCGAAGGTGAGGAAGGAGAAGAATGAGATTAAGTATTCTGGAATGTACTTCAATTTCGAAATTTTCCACATGAGAGAGAAGGAGATTCCGGTGGATAGTGTTGAGATCAAGGAGCTGATACAGGCTTTCGCTTGGGAACCTATCGGTTCTAAGTTTGCGATAATCCACGGGGAGTCGCCGAATATTAGTGTCAGTTTTTACGAAGTACGTGTCGGACAGGCACCGCTTCTTCTGAAAAAGTTGGAGAAACGTGCCTGTAATCATCTTTTCTGGTCTCCGAATGGACAATTTATCGTCTTAGCGGGATTGGGATCCAACGGTGGAGGTTCCTTAGAGTTTGTCGATACACAAGATTTCGTTATAATGAATACGACTGATCATTACCAAGCGTCGGATGTCGAATGGGATCCCACCGGAAGATACGTCATTACCGCCATTTCCAATTGGAAGACAAAGGTCGATACTGGTTATTACATGTGGTCATTCCAGGGTAAAATTTTAAAAAGGGTGAATTTAGATAAGTTTTCCCAGTTGTTGTGGAGACCTCGCTGTCACACTTTACTAGACGATAAGCAATTAAAGGACATTAAGAAAAATTTGAAAAAGTATTACGCTCAGTTTGAAAGTAAAGATCGTATGCGACAAACAAAGGCGTCTAAGGAACTAATTGAAAAACGCGCCGCTCTAATGGAGAAGTTCAGTGCCTATCGCCAAAAACGGATACAGGAATGGATTGAACAAAAACCTAGACGTTTGGAACTTAGATGTGGTACGTAGCCTCTCATCATATCACTCCCTGATATTTTGCTTATCATCTTTAAAAAATAGATGTCATAAGTTATACGCACAGGGTAAATGAAATGCATTTTTGTCTGTTCGCTGGCTGTCATTAACAGTTCATCATTCATTGGTGCCACATCATATTAACTAATATCATGAGAGCAGTATTAATCAATTCTTCTTGCAGGCATTGACACAGACGAATTAGATAGTGATGTACAAAATACGGAAGAAGAAATTGTCGAGTTCTTTGTAAAGGAAGAGTTTATCGAAATCGAGTAGTCGCCATTGTTTCTTTGTTATTCTTTCTTACACCTGCATTGTATTGGTGTAAGAAGGGCCCTCTGAACAATGTTGTACCATTTCAAAAGGTGTCTTATTAAAATTGGAAATAAATACTTGATTTATACCATTATAGCTTATTAAAAATTCTCCCACCCACAAAGAAACTTTTAATCTAGAAGCGGTCACCTCGGTGAGTATATTGTTAGGGTAGTAATTTGTGTGATTTTGGTTTTCATGCTTGATATTGCTTAGAGAATCCACAAACCACCCTTTAAATGAATATAAGAGCACAACCTCTCCTCGTTTTAAAATTATAAATTACTACTACGAATGCATTTGGGGATTAAGGTGCAAGACATTCTTCGTTGCGCCAGATTTGTACGTAGTTACAAGTTCTGTAAAGAACCAATTTATTAACCATATATGAAGTGCATATTACAACCAAAACTCCTACTGGTAAAAATGTTAATGACAATTAATTGAAGCTTCTGTTTGCTGTCAAACATGATAAGTTACAAGGGTAAGTATGTCTTTGACATTTAGTGCCCCTTCACACTGGCCGACTTAGCAACATGGGTTATAATTTATTACTGTGGATAACTCGTTCGACCAATTAAATTACAGTTTAAGCATTAATCAACAGTTGCGTCCATCATATTTCGAAATTACTTTTCAACAAGCAACCCAATTCAATTGATAACACGGGAGCTCCATTCGTATTGCCTCGATGGCGTTCCACTATCCAATTTTGTAAATATTACTGCTGCCTTCCAAAGGAGACATCGAACTGACAATTGGAGAAAGTTTCAAAGTTCCTATAGGAATCGATCATTTTTGGGAGTTAAGGAATTTGCATTTGGAGCCATTTTTATATTCCTGAAGAGGTCGATTTACACGGGTTTATCCCGTGAACAAATTGGTGTATTTAAATCAATGATAAGTGTACACTCGGGCCAAGGATAGTGGTAATCCTAGCCGCTTTCATAAAAGACTGACATATATTGTTACATTTTAACCCTGATTTTAACTTACATTTGTTTGGTTCGCGTTAAACCAAGAGCAACTAAAGAGAACTGTGGGATATTTGGACGGAACACCCAGAATGCAGACAATGGAAATTTATTATGTTTAATATTTGTTATTTATGTGTGTAAAATACTAATTCTTTAGGAATTCCAATGGAACCTATATGATTCGACATTTCATAAACGTACTTTACATTAATATCATTATAAACAATTAATTTTGCTGTAAAGTTTACTTAATATTAATTTTATGTGTGGTTTTTTCTTGGCGAGTTCTTTTTTTCTAGCATACTTAGGTATATACATATTTGTACTCGGTGAACTACCAATTGCAAAAATTTATTGATTGGGATTGGGCTACTAGTTCAAAAGTTACAGCCTTGAATTCTCTTTCGAAATTGGTTTCTAGTCTATAACTTTTTATTGAGAGGTCTGATCGAAAAAGTACGAATTGTTTTGGATTCTACGCACCAAAATTAATAAGAAAAAGTGTTTTCCCGAGAAATTTTGGTGCAGTCGATTTTTGGTAAAAAAGGAAGGTTATACACTGCCTTTTTTTGAGCCCCGAAAAAAAAATTGTCTCAGATCGACCCGAAAAAAAATTTTCTTATAGAATGTGGCCTGTAGAATCCATAATTTCAAACAGTTCCAAGATTGGGCTACTAGTTCAAAAGTTACAGCCCTTTGAATTTTCTTTCGAAATTGGTTTCTAGTCTATAACTTTTGATTGAGAAGTCTGATCGAAAAAGTACGAATTGTTTTGGATTCTACGCACCAAAATTAACAAGAAAAAGTGTTTTCCCGAGAAATTTTGGTGCAGTCGATTTTTGGAAAAAAAGGAAGGTTATACACTGCCTTTTTTTGAGGGCCGAAGAAAAAATTGTCTCAGATCGACCCGAAAAAAAAAATTTTCTTATAGAATGTGGTATGTAGAATCCATAATTTCAAACAGTTCCAAGATTGGGTCGCGATATATTTGCAAAAAACCGCAAAAAGCAACGAAAATTCATTTTCGCCTCTTTTATGAATTTCCTAGGCTAAGAGATACATCTAGGCTAACTTCTGAGTGTCTACCTTGTAAGAAATTTCACGAGGAGCATTTTCAGCTAAAAATATTTCATCTAGCTCTAAAGCTCGCGATATATTTGCAAAAAAAAACGCAAAAAGTCACGAAAAATGATGATTTTCGCCTCTTTTATGAATTTTCTAGGCGAAGAGGTAGACCGGCTAACTTCTGAGTATCTACTTTGTATGAAATTTCACGAGAAATGTTTTTAGTTAAAAATATTTCATCTAGACCTCATAGATCGCGAGATATCAGCCAAAAACGGCGAAGACACGGTTTCTGGGTGGTGGTGGGGTGGCTGAAGCCTTTAGCACAGGGTCTGGGGGGTGAGATTTTTAATATGTTGTTTCCGAGGTTGTCATTCTAAACCTTGAGTTGCGTAGTCTCTCTCGGGGCTGGTCGGTGTAGGTACGTTATAGGTAAGTTTGTGGGGTGGGGTAGATTTATGTTTCGTACACGCATTCATTTTAATGTTTACGTTCTCCCTTTAATCCGGACAGACTAGTAGTGGCGGTGGTCGATATTAGGATGAGATGAAAATGGCACTACTGTGTTACTTTGAGATGATGGCCATATCTATATGGCAGATTATATGTTCTTAACTATACGTTCCTAAATAGAGACTACATTGTTGGGCATTTGTTAATCACAGTAGCAAGCGTTTAAGACTATGATCTAGAGTGGGTAAAAAACAGTAATTTTTTATTTCGAAGTTTTAATAGCGCGAAAAAGTTGCGAGTTGTATAGATAAAAAAAGAAAAAAAATTAAAATCGGTTGACCTCTTCCGGTCGCGCATAGGGACTAAAAGATTGAAAAAAGATGAAAAAAACTTAATTTTTGAATTTGGAGGCTTTTTTCGTATTGTGTTTTAATTTGGTTTAGAGCAGTTGATATCTTCCGGTCGCATATAGGGCCTAATACTTGACAAAAAATGTTTTCTTATATCCCTGTATAAAATACCTTTTTAACTTGATAAATATACAGTATGTTTATGTTTGAATATAAGGACATAGGTACCTATTGTCTTATGATAGATGTGAATAAATTTACAACTTTCAGTGGCACCTATGATCCCAATGCTATAGAAAAATAGGACATAGTTAGATCTATATGCATTGAACTATAGATACTCGTAACTGGAATGGCATCACCAGTAAATAACTGTTGCAAAGGTGTCCGGACCATTTGGCTAGTGCAGTGGTTCGCAAAATTTAATGGGCTCCGACCCATTTAAAAAACTTTCCATTCTTGGAATCCACCTCTTAGTTGTCTTACAGTAAAGAGGGTGTAAATATTGCCAATGCTCAGAGTCAGACTCCCTAGTAGCGAGTTGTGGAACTACTTATTGTCTTATTTGTTGTAATTGAAATTTCAAAGTTACCACTTCCTATTTTTTTTATTCATATTTATCTCCATTCAATATTCGCTTGCGACCCACCGGTAGATCGCGACCCATACCTACTTAGTCTGGGAAATACTGGGCTAGTGCAAATGGTTGTTGTTAGGAGGCGAATGCTTTGCATGGGAAATTTCACTTTACAATTAATTCATCAATTATACCTGATGTCGATCAAGAATTCAAACCTTTGTGCCCCTACGCTGTGGGATATTTTGTATTTTTTTATTCAATGATTAAGCATAATCCGGCATTTTTTTGTATCCTTATTCAACTACAAATGAATAAGGAAATTCCTTTTTCAATTCAACTATTAATACACATACGCTATTCTTTTCTGATGTGAAGCACGTATCTATGTTTTTCCGTAACGAAATCAGCTTTTCTACCACTAATACCTACAGACAGTTTCCGCTTTACACAATTCAATATAGGATCAGCCCGATTAGCATGAGTTTTTTTATTTTTTATATTATTATGACCTTGTCTATAAACAAAGCAATTACTCACTAAACTTGATCGCCCTACAGTTTTCCATTTTCCAACAAATTTGTCCTATATAGGCACGATTAGGGCGTATTGTACAATGTACGCGAGTGCACCATCCTGTTTGAAATAAACAGATACCTACCTACCAACTTTTGTTTTTTTTGTGTGCCGTAGGTAGGTAGGTACATATCGTTGCATTTGTAATAAAATATACTCAATACAGTATCTATGCATATTTTCTACGGGCCATATGAAAAATAAAGATGCTGATGTATTCTCCGGAACGAAACGTTATATTGAAAATCTCTCAACGGTGTCTTATAGAGTTCAAAAAGTGGTAATGAGAAAGTGTTTTTTGATTTTTTTTGTATCTGTTCAAATAACATCAGAAATTAAAAAAAACAAAACCGGCAAATTTCGGTTTTTCTGGTATGGCCTTTTATTGCGCTGATGCTTCTGGAACCTTTCGAAAGAAAATGTAAAATGTAAATTTTGTAATGAAATGAGAGGTTGCTATGACGGAAGAAGTAACACCAACATCCAAAAAAACTTCATTTTGAGTTGTCCAGCCCCAAGTGTTACAGGTGCTTGCATTATAACGGAAGAACACGAAAAACTTTTGTTGTAGATTTTCAAATTTTTTTTTAATCGAGTTATAGGTACCTACTTATTGTACCTACTAGGTAATTGTTGCCGCTTAAAACTTTATCGTAGGTACATGCTTTCATTTCTTAAACGGTTTCATAGAAATCAAAACTAATTTCAGTTCTTTTCAAAATAAAATTGCTATAATCTCAAAAATGAAATAGCAGCTACGTTTTAGCTACCACAAAATCTAAAATTGTTCATAAAAATCGTTTGAGTAGTATACGTCGTAGGTACAATTTCTTATACAGTTATCAACAAAAGTTATAAATCATCAAAAGAATCAAAAATTTGTAACCGCATGAGATTACTATCTACACTGATTCCTTTTGCTAACTTATATACCTACATATGTAGGAATTTTTAAATTTTACTAAGAAAAAGTGTTTCCCGTGAAGTAGGTAGCTTCCACGTTAAGCGGCATTAACTTGCATGAATTAAAAATTTGAGAAACAACAGTATATTACTAGAATTTGAAACTCACCCCTTCACGCAGTAGAGACGAC